TATGTGGCCTGTATGTGGCCTGTATGTGGCCTGTATGTGGCCTGTATGTGGCCTGTATGTGGCCTGTATGTGGCCTGTATGTGGCCTGTATGTGGTCTGTAGGTATGTAACAAGGAGGTCGCTAAGGTAGCCTAAGGGCCCGACTGGTTACGTGCCGGAGTTGAGAAATCGTAGATATGGAACTCGGAGCCTACACATATCTGGCGAGGAGGTAGAAGTCGAAGTTGAAGTTGAAGTACTGTGTACTACCAGGGCGGCTGTGATGACTATTCCACCCCCGTCGTCCATGAAGCCTCGGTCCACGGCTGTCGTCAACGAGGACGGATACGGTACCGATGGGACAAGTGACTCGAGTCGCTCATTGGCACATTCCGAGCCCCTAAGCCCACTCACGTGCAATTCCCGGCCCTGCCGCTTTTACAATACGCGGTAGAGTTAGGGTTAGGGTTACGGTTACAAAGTCAACATACAACATGACCACGGCAGCCTCCTGTACTGTATCACCACATCAACTTCACTACCACACCTCTTGGCTCTCATGCTCGTGCACTGACAGGTAATATATTAAAGTCTCAGAATTCTCCTCAACAATTCCAGACCTGTTGGCTTAGTGGTTGAGCACACTGCTTTAGCAGGCTACCTACACTAAGTCACCAATCCTCTCTGAATTGGGGGGTTCGACTAGCGACTTTCTGAGTCGCTTCTTGACCTGGTATTTCTCTCTCCGAGGACCTCTACTGATTCCCTGCTGCGCCGTCTGTAAAGGCGAACCTTGCGGGGATGTGACAACTTAGAAGAGTTACCAGCTGCTCAGAGCTGACAACAACGAGGGAATGCTTGTCGAGCCCCTACTAAAAATTTAAAAAAAAAACATGATTCAATTCTAGTTTTCACTTCTCTAATCAGTTCTTCACGGGGCTGGTAGGAGAAGTGTTTTTGTTCTTTGGAATATATTCATGGGGCATACAGTATAACCACCTGCACTCATCCCTGCACCTTCGCATTCACGACCACCGCCACGACCACCGCCACGACCACCGCCACGACCACCGCCACGACCAGCATCGCGTGCAGCGCTGACGATATCTAAATTTAGCCGCGTACTCTTCAAGACCAGTTCCTGTCCTCCTCGCTCGACCGATACTTGAACTTCCTACCTCCTTTCTTCCAGTAAAGTACGAAACAACTCGAGGTGAGCAACGTGGGTCGGGTGGCATAGGCCCGGCAGACAACGGCATCAAGACGACCGTGCTTTGACGCATTTCTGTCCTCACTCGGGCTGATGGCTCTTTTTTTCTCTCTCACACTATCTTTCTCTATCTGTTCTCTAAGCGCCAAACTCACTATGTCACACGCTAGTTTGAAGACCCATCCCGAACATCCGAGGTCAAGGAAAGGTCGTCAACAGACACCATTGACGTTTCCCTCGTCAAAGGAACATTCCGCCTGCATTAGTAGGTGCATGAAAGCTGCTCCCACTTCTACCGAAGCAGGATAGGCTACACTGTCTCGTTCTCGGCGCCCGTGGTCACGCAGGATGTGAGTGAGTTACTGATACATTATGCGTTTGAGAACCGTGTCGCGGGTCTGCTCAGCCATGGTCACAACGGCCAACTTGTATCCTAGCCCGATATCCATCTGCATTGCGTCAAAACGCCCTCTACCTCAGATAAAGCCATGGAAGACAGACCAAGAAGGTAACCCACGTTGCCAGCCAATAACCTCTTGAATTCTTCGGCTATATTGTGGCGAAGTTAGCATGACTAGTCCTGGTGGTCGCATCTGCGACGGCCAGCTAGTCTTCTCCATGAACACCAGAGCTGTGGCTGTGTGGTCCCACCGTTACACTTATCTCAAGGATGGCTGTGTATGACTTTGGGTCGGCATCGTTGTGCCTTTCGGGACACATTGAAGATATAAAGATGGGTCGAAATCCTGTGGATATTCTCACCTCCTACCACTACAAATCAGGACATAAAGCACATACAGTCTCTGATACCCAGTCTCCTGCACTCAACCCAATATGCATACGCTTACAGTCGACTCACTTTGCCAAATTCTCGGCATCAAACATCCTGAGGACCATCCTACATGCATTGGCTATGGCAAAGCCAAGCCAACCTGCGGAAATCTGGCATCGCAGCAATCTCGCAACACAGCCGTTCAAATCTTCCAGGAGGTCTGTCACGATCTTGCATCCGGATGCAACCCTTCCTCTCTGGACGCAAGTTTGGAAGAGGCGGCAACATTGCTCCATTGCAAGAGATGGCACCGGGGTCAGGCCCCGGCTATGGCTGATAAATGGCTTGATCGTCTAGTCCATTATACGACTTCAAGAAACAGAACACCACGTCGACGAAGCGGTCGGCCTCGAGATCCGTCCACTTACCGCGGGATTGATACTGGTCATGTCGCACGAGCAGAAACATCGACAACCACCTCTTACCTCTCATCCGCGCGAGACGAAGATCTCCTGGCCGAGCTGCTACATCGCTATCAGACACTGGATCAAACGCTTGCATCTATCGAAGCACTTAGCAACGGTCTTGGTACGGCAAATAGAAGAACAACACACAGGAGGACATCTACCAGAAGGACGCCACCTTCAGAAACATACCATGAACCTCCTGATTCGTACCCTGCAACGACTACGCGTTCTCAAGAATTCGATCTTCGAGAGCCATACAACGCAGACGATGTCTCTTTGCGATCTCGTCCAACGACTCGCAGCCGGGAGGGCCACCGTCACTCTGCCCCTCAACCCGCCTCGTCCATGCCGTCCCCACCAACGTCCACGACGCGCCGCTCGCGCACGCAGTCACATCCGCAGCCACAGCCCGAAGACTCTTCCCAGATCCCTGGCGGGCGCTCCCGTCAAAGTGTTGAGCATCAAACGAGCCAGGAGGCTAGAGGACGCAGGGTATCGACGCCTACAACAAGATCTCGTAGTTCTTCGTCCTCATCCTCATCCTCGTCCTCCTCATACTCACCCTCTTCCTCGTCCTCATCCACGTCTTCAGCCAGCGGACGCAGGCGGGTATCGGCGCCTACAACAAGATCTCGTAGTTCTTCATCCTCTTCATCTTCCTCTTCCACGTCTTCAGCCAGCGGACCAGAATGCGGAATCTGTCTCTCAGTCTTGCCGCCACGGAGTCAAAACAATAACACCAACGACAGGAGCTCGAGCAGTGTATGGGAAAACAATAACACCATCGACAGGAGCACGAGCTCGAGCAGTATATGGGAATGTACCACCTGTCACAATGCCACTCACACCGAATGTTTTGATGCGTGGATGTCGAGTTCTCTGAGTAGTGGGAATGCCACGAGGTGCATATACTGCCGCTCGGTTGTCTCGACCACGGCATAGGACTGTTTTACGAACGCTGGGCTTATTGTATTGTATGTATAGGACTGTTTTACACTCGACTTATTGTATGTATAGGACTGGTTTACGCTCAGCTTATTGTATGCATGTAAGATTTTGGTTGAGATCTGCAAAGAATGCCTGAACCTATGAAGTTCTAGTTGCTGGCTGTGAATACCTAGTTAATCATCATGTACAGAGACATTCGATACCTCTTCTCCTCTCCATCCCTTCTCTTTTCCTGGTAGTCGGGGATCAGGCTGGAGTGCTCCATACGGATTAGATTAATGATACGGAGACGGAGACATTAGCTATAATGCCTTTCTCTTGTCATCTCCGTCCCTTCTCTTTGTATTGGTCGGGGATGATTCTCTATCCTCTCCCGTTCCTTCTCTTCTCTTGGTATTGGTCGGGGATGAGGCTGGAGTACGGATGGAATAGGCAGGAATACGAGTACTCCGTCCGGATGGTAGAGAGGAGCGGGGGGGTGTACGTAGCCACTATCCGTGCAACGGGGACCACTCAGGGACCCTATTTAATCTTATCTTATCTCCTACCTCTCGAATCCCAAACTCCGAAAGCAACTTTTTTTTGTTCCAGCCCGCAGTGTCTAGCCAGCCTCTCTGTACGCAGTACGCAGTTGCAAAGCAAGGCGGCCGTTTTGCAACGCAGTACTTGCACAGCACATTCGGTCCCGACTCACGCTCACGCTCACGCTCCGACCCAACAGCGACAATAGAAGGAAACCGATTCAACAGCGACAACAGTAACCAGCCACTGAAGGAGGGAGAGGCATTCTTTTTCTTTCATCCGCCATAATGGCCGGTCTCAACGCCCTCCCAACGCATCGCATCCACAGCACTACCCGCCTCTCTCACCGCGAAGCACATAGCTTCCTCACCGGCTTCCTCGAGCGCGCAGACATCGACGCCGCATACCGGCCGGACTCGACGTTGACGGAGCGCGGCCCGCAGGCGGTGTCGACCGGCGCCAGCCCCAACTTGACCCTGCACCACCTCAAGCGCATCCTGTTGGGCATGGAAGGGAAGCGAGTCGGAGGTGATTTGGCTGGGGTCGGGGCCACTGACGATGGGGCGGAACCCGAGAACGAGAACGAGAACGAGAACACTACAGCCACTACCACAGCTGCCACAGCTACCGCAGCTACACGCAACAAGCGAGGCCTAGAACCTACTGCACGAGACGACGGAGGCGCAGCAGCGAAAAAGTCCAAACGCAAAATTTCCAATCTGGCCGCCGAGGAGGGCGAGGACGCAGACGCTGACGCAGATGCTGGGCCTGCCGCTGCCGTGATGGCTGGCTCTGACGCCGATGCCGAGGGCTGGCAGGACAAAGACTCGTTCGCCCTCACTCAGACCGCGGATAACTTGGAGGCCACGGCCGAGGATCGCCATCCCGGCGCAGACCTCGAGCAGCCGGCCGATCAGGCCGAAGAGGAGGAGATGATGCACGTCGAGGTCCAAGGGTCGGCCAAGAAGGCCAAACTGTCCCAACAAGACAAAGACGAGAGAAGGAGACTCAAGAAACTGCGCAACAAAGAAGAGAAGGCCCAAAAAGCAGAGAAGGCTAAGAAAAAGAGCAAGAGCAAGAGTAAGGAGTGAAGGTGCCCTCACGCTTCTGCTGCCCTGCATCGAGGAACGCTCCTCTATATTGGATCCAATCTTCCATCGACGTTCTGCTTGTGGCTGGCTGCTTGCCTCCAAATTTGCCTCCGAGGTCGAGTTCAACCTTTGTTGAAACATAGCCTGATGATTCGACACACCTGCGGTCTCTGCGTTTATGCAAACCACCTCCCGCGAAACGCAACCTGGTTAAACCAGCAAGGCGTATCGACGGAAACACTCCAGTCTGATCGTGCCCTAGAGGGCCAATGATAGGCTGCCACTGTTTACCTCTTCATCGGCCGGACTACATACCTTTGATCATGTTGGCACATGTACCCCCAATGTGACTTTGCTCATGAGAGCAACATCCTCAAATCTCCCTCCTCACAGCTCTCGGTCCGTGGCCTTGACAACCTGGGCATCCACGACCTTCTCGTCAAGTTCCACAACCTTGTCATTGGGCGCCGGTTTCGAACTCTTCCATCCCAAGGCCGCCAATCTCTCCGCCAAGATGGGATGGCTATAGTGGTAGCTTGCATACATCCAGTCTGCGTCCATGGTACTCAGGTTCTGCACTTGCAGCTTGACGAGACTACTGGCCAATTCCTTCTGGAACCCCAAATTTCTGGCGAATTCGTCGGCTTCAAATTCAAACTTGCGAGAAAGTATGTTCATCAACAGTTTCACCACTGCATCCATGGGGGCCAGAGCGTCAGAGAAAAGGATAAAACCGATAATGATGGGGTGAGAGTTGTGAAACCCAAAGGACGAGTAGAGGGAGTGGTTGTCAATGAAGACGCTGAAGAGGGCGAAAATGTAAAACATATGGAACTGAAAATGACGTGTCAGTAACCAGGAACAGATATTTTCGCAGGGACAACTTACTTGGGCGATTCCAAACAATTTGGTCGTATGCGAGAGACTCCAATGTCCCAGCTCATGCCCGAGGACGGCGACTACCTCTTGAGGCTCGCTCTTCTCAATCAATGTATCGTAAATGACAATGTGCTTCTTCCACGGCAGACCGAAAAAATAGGCATTGCTGTGAGCACTTCGTTTACTTCCATCGATGACATACAACGACTTCAGCGGGAACTTGAGCTTCGACGCCAGCGTCTCGACCCCCGACTTCAACTCCCCAGGCTCCAAGGGTGACAGCTTGTTGAATAGTGGAAGGATAAAGATTGGATAGATTGTGATGGCGAAGAGTTGGACCGCAATGCCGAACAACCAGAGGTAATAGAAGAATCTTGTCCCAGTCACTTGGATGATCTTCAAGAACGCGCTGAGCAGTGGCGTGCCTAACGCCACCATCAAAGCCTGACCCTTGAGCATGTCCGTGAACCAGAGCTTGACCGTTTGCTTATTGAACCCAAACTTCTCTTCCAAGACGAAAGTGCCGTAATACGAGAGTGGAAGTGACAGAATCTGCGAGATGAAGCTGAACGTCAAGAAGAACAGGACTGAGTGTGAGATTTCGCCAGAAAACCGTTCAGGGAGGTAGCGGGACAGCCAGAGGCCTGTCAGGGACCAAAGCTTGGGAAGAATGTCGTACTGAATGAACAGGACATTTTGGATCTGCGAGTATAGGCCAGACAAGAAACCAAATTTTAGTTTCGCACGCCCATACGCCTGTGGAGAGAGAGAATCAGTATGAACCACCGCATGCGACAGTGCAGATGCCATACCTGACTTTTGTCGTACACATCCTGTGAGATCTCGTCTTCCAGCGTCTTAGGGGGCTTCTTCCTCTGCAAGACCCTATACTGCCTCAACGACAGGAACCCTTCCAACACAAATTGGCCCAGAGAAAAGCCGAGGATCAGTTTTTTCCATGGAAAGCCAGGGCGGTCGAGGAAGGATGTAAGGCGCTGCTCCAAGTTAGTAGGATATTTCTAGACACGAGTGAGGGCGCAAGAGGAAACCAACTTGAGGGAAATTGCCCAACATCTGCAACAGCGAAGCCATCCCGAAGCCCAGGACTCTCAAGCACAGGTGATTAGGTCACTTGAGAAGAGATGCAGATGGCAGCATGAGATTGTTGACAGGGATGCGTCACAGAGAGCACGGTTCGAGGCAAGGCGACTATATGAGGAGTACACAGTATGAACTGGGAGTCGAATTAGGCAGGTGCGGCGATCTGACAATTTCGACGATGGATGGCCGCCCGTCTTTCACTCACGGCCAAGTCACATCCAACGGACCAACACCGGTATTACAGGACTCTCTCCTCGTCCCTGGAGCCTTAATTCTTGCTTCAGCTTCAGCCGCAGACTGTGCCAACATGTGCCGTCTGTGCGGGCGTGTCGTCAAATGTATTTTTGACACCATGCCATCTCGAGTCCACCATGTCTCTAGCCGGAGGTGAGCTCTCCCGACCGAGGGTTTTTGAGAACGACCAGGCTGACCAGTACCCCTCGAGCAGAGCCTTTACCACGATCCGACGACTCACAGCGCCTTCTGCGACCGTCTCGCAACATGTATCATCATCAGTCACCTCACTAACCCGCGCTATCAACGGACTGTCCTTCCAGACAACCACAACCTCTCTGTCACCCACGAACACGTTGCTGGGCACAACTGCCCTCCGGTCTTCAATGTCGAGATCGACCCCTCAATCTCATCTTTCTGCATTCTCTCTCGCGCGCTCGTTCTCGACCACATCCGCCCTGTTTGGCTACCGACGGCGAATGGACACGTATAGTCCCTCCCGAAGAGTTCAGAAACGCCGGCACGGATACCTGGCAAGGTTGAAATCTAAAAGTGGTCGAGAAATCCTCAAGCGTCGGAGACTAAAGGGGCGGAAGTATTTGTCTTGGTGATATTCACAATGGCTCTTTTATGGGGGGACGAAAGGAGCAACGATGCGTCCCTGATGGGCAAATACAACCCTCGGGAGCCGTCTGTATTTGAATGTGCATGATACTCGAGGCGCATCTACAATATGAATTCTTGGGTCGGGGTTTATTGACCACTTGGCTTTTTATGACGACACTCCTTTTGTATATCTAAAAATCCAATATGCCTTGTTGAAAGCCCATGTCGGTGCATGTTTTATGCGGCGGCCTGAGGAGCAGACTTGCTCTCCTCGCGTAAATGAGCAAAGCTCTGGGCCTCGAATTTTGGCTCCGCGACAATTTGGCTGGCCTCTGTCTGCATGGGGGTAAGACCCCATCGTTCAAACATGGCCTTGTCTTCGTCCCAGCCATTACACTCGGTGGTGAGCATTTTCTCCCCGGTGAAGATCGCATTGGCCCCCGCCATGAAGCACAGCATCTGCTCGCTTTCAGGCATGGTGACTCTTCCGGCTGCAATGCGGATGATGGTTTTGGGCATCACGAGACGAGCTGTGGCGATGCAGCGGACGACATCTTCGATTTTCACCGGCTCTTGGCCGAACATGGGTGTCCCTTTGATCGGCACCAGTTTGTTGACAGGGAAGGATTCAGGATGTTCGGGGAGGGTGGCCAATGTGTAGATCAGGCCGACATGGTCTGTCTGAGGAGTCTCCCCAAGGCCGAGAATGCCACCGCTGCAGACATGAATGCCGGCCTCGCGGACATTCTCGAGGGTTTGCAGGCGTTCATCGTAGGTCCGGGTGGTGATTATGTTGGGATAGTGTTCGCGTGAGGTGTCGAGATTGTGATTGTAAGCAGTCAACCCAGCTTCCTTCAGCTCTTTCGCTTGTTGCTTGTCAAGCATGCCGAGGGTGACGCAAGCCTCCATGCCCAGGCCCCGAACACCTTTAACCATCTCGACAATGTTTTTCAAGCCTCTCGTGCGTCCGCGCATATCGCGCCAGGCGGCGCCCATGCAGAAGCGGTTCGACCCATTGGCTTTGGCGATCTTGGCTGCTTCAATCACAGAATCGACGGTGGAGAGTTTGGTGGTTTGCAGATTGGTCTTGTACCGCGAGGACTGAGCGCAGTAGGAGCAGTCCTCTGTACACCCCCCGGTCTTGATGTTCATCAAAGTACATAATTGAACTGCCGAGGGTTTGTGGAATCGACGGTGGACTGTGCTCTGTAATATTCATGAGATCCAGGTCCAATCCCACCACGGATTGATTGACTTACTGCAGCAAAGGCGAGTTCCATGAGAGGCGTCTGGTGAATCTGTGTGATCTCTTCTTTTGTCCAATTGTTCCGAGGGCCTGTAGCATTGACGGCTTGCTCGAACACAGATTGGCCCTGCGCCTGCGGTCGTGGTGGGGGAGGCGTCTGGCTGAGGCTGGCCGCAGTCCGGGGTACGTCGTGCACGATGCTGTAATAACGGGCGGAAGGCACGTGGTTGACCGCTCTTCGAGCCACGGACCGAGTCATGTTTGCGAGCTCCATGGCGACCGGTGTGTGAGACGGTCGGTTCAAAGGTGACGGGGAGGAATGCAGTGTCGTGTTCGATGGATGGAGATTATAAGTCGGGGATCGGAGGAGGGTTTTGGTGGGAACGGGTGGGAAACGGGAAACGGAACACTACAAATCCAATCGCCGGGACTGGCTCGGGCAGTTTTGGCTCTTATTACGCTCTTACAGTACCTAGGCTTAGGGTGGGTGCCAGAATTAAAGGCGGTTTGTCCAACTGCTACTTCCATAAGATTAGGGAAACCTCCAGCTCTACCCGGATAATTATCTTTCTAAAATACTACGTAGATATACTCTACGGCCTCTCTAGAGTAACTCTGCTATCCGCCGCTTTTGAGGGTGCTCTTGCCTTAATGCTAATGACGCGGTTTCCAGTGAAGTCGCGTCCCACTTTCAGTAGTTTTCCCCCCCTTACCATTTCGTGAACAAAAACAAACGCCATCACCACCACCGCGACGATGGCTGACGGAAACCCTCTCGGTCCGCTACCAAATTTTGATCTTATTAGTGATGAGATCAAGAAAACACGAAATCTACCTGTAATCACCAACGGTCAATAAATTCTAGCCGAGCTCCGGGCTATTCGTCAAGACATCGCAAATACTCGTCAAGACCTTATTACTATGATAACCACATCGTATGTGTAACCCTCTATTTTAATATTACTATACTAAGTCTATAGCAATCATAATACTACAGCTCGATGTGGGTAGGCGGCCAACAATTGGCTGCGTATGCTCACAGCCCCCAAAGCCGCCGACTCCTTGCTCTGCCTGGTGTACGGATAGATCCTGCCTATGTTTTAGGCAGCATCGTTCAGAATGCCTACCTTACAAGCCGATCGAACCCTCTTTATTTAGCCTTTGCTCAACCCCTCCAACGGTGCTCCCATTCCCGAATTCTCTACAACATCTATAGAACTTAGGCAAATGACCGGACGGCAAACGGATACTGTCTTACAACAACCAGGTCTTCAACCTACCCATGGTGCAACTTTAGCAGCGAAGAAGAAAATGTTGAGAGCGCACATCGGCTTGAGGGAGGTCGCTGCCCAACCAACAGGAGACGCTTGAGATGATAAGTCGCAAAAACAAGTGCATGAAGGGCACGCATCAAAGCTGTATTGATAGATTATAATCAATGAGTAGCAATATCATGGGCTAAAGCAGCAGCTGATTTCCCTGCAACGACTTTACAAATCCAATCGCCGGGACTAGCTCGGGCAGTTTTGGCTCTTACACTCTTACAGTAGGCCTCGGCTCGCGACTCGCACTGCTGCAGGAACCGTTGGAGTCGGTGAGGTTACAGATCCTGAAGCATTGTACTGTACACTGTACTTGTACCTGACCATGCTGCCTAGTACCTCCTACCTCCTACCTCCTACCCACCTACGACCTACTACTACCTGGCGATTATGCCTTGTACAACCTTGGCCCCAGCAAGAAGTTCCTCGTCATGCCACCGCTTGCCTGCCAATTGTAGGCTGATGGGCACCTTGTCGAATTTCTCTGGGGAGTCTGATATGGAGGGGAGGGTTAGTAACCAGGACCACCGGCACTCGCCCCTCGAGCGGTGAACTCACATTTCGCATATTCTCGGGCATCGAGCTCACTTCGCGGCTGGTACGATGCATCCGCCACGTCAATCTTTGCATCGACCTGTAGCCCGGTCGGGAAGACCACCGCCGGCTGCTCCAGGACGTTCCACAGGGCCGTATAAAAGAAGTACTGGGCCGTGCCATGCTCCGGTGCCACGCCAACATACGCAGGGCTGAGCACAAAGTCGACTCCAGCTCGCTGCCACTCGGCATGGTGCATGGCGCGGATGACCTCCTTCTGGTAGTTCAGATCCCAGCTGGTGGAAACATCGAGCCCTCCAGGGCTGCCCATTGCCAATGCCAATGTCGTCTGAGGCAACAGCGGCTCATCGGCCAGCGCGCTCCGTTGGGCTTTCCCACCATCGGCGAAGTAGAATTGTGCCTGGAGGGATCAGGCTCGACTTGATTTCAAGTTTGGAAGAGGGAGACATCATACTCACCGTAAGATCGCTTGATTCTTGGTACTGGTATGGTTTCCACTCAACGACCCGGACTCCCGCCGCGATGAGCTTCTTCTCGGCGAGCTCAAGGGCACGTGTGATAGGTGGATGTGGATGCACCAGGCTTGAAGGGGTCGGTCATGTCAGTCAATCTGTGCTTTCAACGGCAAGAAGAATGGGAAGATGACGAGGAGTACTGACCCATTATCCTTCATGATGCCTACTGTCAAGCTTGCGGTCGCTGGAGGCCCAGCTGTTCGCCAAGGGACAGGCACGAGGCTCATATCCTCCTTCCATGGGCATTGGTCCAGAAGACTTTTCATGAACAACTCCAGATCCTCGACGCTATGCCCAAGCGGACCAACTACTCCGTGTATAAAGTCTTGTCCCATCCCTGCGGCTCTCAACCCTACAAGGGGCAACCGATGAGCGGTGGGCCTGAGCCCATACACGCCGTTGAATGCTGCCGGGCCTCGAATAGACCCTCCGATGTCGCTGCCGACCCCGAGGCACGCGCATTTGAAACCCATCGAGGCGCCTTCTCCTCCCGACGAGCCCCCTGGTGTGAGATTCCGGTTATGAGGATTCAAGGTCCGCCCGGTGATGTTATTGTCCGACTCGAGCCACTGGAAACTGTCAGCATGAGCGTCATCAACCCTGGGAGCACTATGGGCTGGACTGCCATCAATGATTGCGGTTCGTTGGTGCGCACGATAACAATTCCTCCGGCTTTTTGAAGCAGTTGAACCACGACTGCGTCGTCGGGCGAGATATAGTCCATCCAGGAAACGTATCCTGCGTTGCACACCCTTCCCTTGATTCCAATATGTTCCTTGACTGATACGGGCACCCCATGGAGCGGCCCAACGATCTTGCCGGTCTCGTGAAAAATCCGGTCCAGTTCTTTCGCCCGAGCAATTGCCTCTTCGGCCAAGAATTCGGTCGCGAAGTTCAACTGTATGGGAGCCGGCTTAGCTACAGGTCATCTGAGGATATCTGATACTATAGGGGGGATACCAGTTGCTGCCCAAGAGTGGCTCGTTTCAAGAAAGCTATCGTGACCTCTTCCGCCGTCCAGGTTCCGGACGCCATCTTGTCCACCAGACTCGTCGCAGTCGATTCCGTGATTATGAGTTCTTTCTCAGATAGCAATCCGCTCTCTTTGGGCACGTCAATGACGCACAGCTGACTGGTCGGAGGCAGTCGCTCGGGGGCTAGAATCCATTGCTTGGGAATGGATTCTTGCTGAATCTTTTTTCCTCGGGCCGCTTTGAGCCTCCAGTCTCCAGTGATGGAACCCATGATTGAAGAGATGAAAAGAAAATGCCTCTTCGTAGAATGGTTTCCAGCCACGCCAACTGGTCAAGGAAAGCTACCGGGTTTATATAGGGCCGTCTGGCCCATGATGCTACGTACTACTAGTCCTGTGAGCCGGCTAGTCTTTTGTTCGAGCGACAGGTGAGTTGGCGGGGTATACCTGTTTGAGACCTCTCCGTACAGTACTACAGACAGAAGCGATGTCGTTCCCGCAAGATAAGCGCGCATCTACAGGTAATTGGCCAGGAGCCCTGGGTTTGTGTATCTAGGTACGGATTTGTCTCCTGCTCTCGACGAATCGCCTCGTGGTTTGCTTCCTTTTATATATATATTTCATGCCAGTCTACGCCTCAAACACTGATACTGTCCTGCTGCTGCTCTTATTTCCAGCAGCAACTTTATGACTCTATGAGGAAGGATAGGCCATCCTTCAAGAGTAACAAGTCAAACGCGGCGACAGGGCCACCGATGTTTGATATCGTCAAGTGAGAACGGAATGTCCCGCCCCTGTACCTTTCTTTGGAAATGCGTCTTAGGACCAATAGCGTTCTCTTCACGTCGCCCCAATGCGAGTTTTCCCAGATTTCCTCCAACCGCAAATCCAAGTAAACCATATCATCCTCCTTTAGTAAAGCACATGCAAGAATGGTAAACGGCCAGCAGTAATGTTGGCTCCAGAAGTGTCCCTGAATGTTACTTTGCTTCAATATGTCAAGCATTTGCTGGACCAGAGCCTGGATGTGCGCATGTTCTGCGGTCAGATGAGGGTGCATCGTTTTCCGCAGGAGCACGTCGGCAGCACACACGTAGAACTTGGTTGCGTCCCAGAAGTGTTTCTCGTCTTCAGAACGACCAGCAGTACTGGGAGGGCTGCGCTTGCCCGACTGGGCATCTCCCGTGCTCTTGACAATCATCAGATCCAATTCCGTTCGAACAGCCATTGCATATGACTGATCAGCCGGCTGCAATGGTGTACGACGCGCCAGACAGGAGATCTCCCGGACCAGACGACACAAGGCCGGGTCGATGCCCAAGAGCAGGCTCACACCAGGAGCAGGAGCAGGAGCAGCTTTCTTCGGTCCGGCTGATTTGGCTGGGTCCCATATCTGTGACAGATACATCTCCACTTGCTGCCATACGGTCTGTCCTGACAACCACTCGATATTGCTACTTAGCAGGGCCGTCACCGCGGCCTGATAGAGCAACGATTCGGCGGAAGTGCGCTGGAGGGGCGTGGTCGTGTCCTGCTCGGCAGACCATAAGCTGTGACTTTTCCGCCGTACTCGTAGCGCCATCATCTTGGCTGCTGCTTGCAAGTGAAGCGTCGCTCGACACAACAATCCCGACTGTTGACGCTGGTTGTTGGTCTTCCGTATTAGCCGAGTTCGCGTAGTCTCCCAAAAACACAACAAGCAGCTCCGGTTGGTAGGGGAGCGTCTAGATATGCCCCTTACCTCGAATATACACAAAAACATAGTAGCCAACAGCAGCCAGTCTTCGGTGCCATCTACGCGGCCATTTGCCATCTGCGTGCGGAGTGATGACATGGCATGGGAATAATAGGTCAAGGCCGACTGCATCAGTTCCGGCTGTTCATGAGACCAGCTCGCCGCTGAGCACGCCAGGAATACATCCATAACGCAGCCGTGTTGGAAGGCAAGTTGGATGGCTTCGTCAGCATAGGTCGGTCGTGCCTGGGGTATCTGCATGCGCGGAATGAACTTGGTGGTGAAGTATGCAAAGAGAGAATGCCGCTCCGACGAGTTCAGAGCCGTCTCGCCTGTCACCCCCGTCACCGTCAACGTCAACATCCGTCGTAGCGGACACCACTCCTCTGTCCTGTCCTGGTGGTGACTGTTACTGGGCCTGGGGTTGAAGACGTGGGAATAGTCCACTACGATCCGGGGATCCAAATCCGGATATTGTGAAGGAGAAATGCCCTTCGAAGGCCAAATACAACGGAGTCCGTTTCGAAAGCAGCCAGTGCATCTGCTGCCATCCTCGTCACACTTTTTCCGCCGTTTTCGACCTGTACTGTCAGTATGTGACTGGAACTGAGTAGGTAGTTGCTTCCATTGGACGAGCAAAACATACATGTAAGACAGCCGCTTTTGGTCCTCCATTTGGCCATGTCCTTGTCCTCTTTAGGTTGGAACCGGTCGGTCAAGGTGGGTAGGTCCTAGACATCTAGAAGTCGTACAGGTAGGTACTCTCTGTATAGCGAGGAAACTGGACTCGTTGTCGTTCTCCTTCTCGTTCTAGATGGCTCACCGATAGCATTGATCAAGGAATAAAGCGGGAGTTCCAGTATCATCAATCATCCCACCGATCTGACCTTATCTCTCCCGCGTCCCGAAATGGAGATGGGAGGGTCGAGGGTCGGGGGCTGAGGGGCTGTATCCCCGGCACGATAGGATTTCCAAACTAACACGGTTAGACTTGGACTGGGCACTACGAGTGACTACTGACTATCCCGTCAGATGTAGCTTCATGCAACCGCGCGATAGAATATCATTCGTCGCAGAGAGACTACATCTGTCCTCTGTACATTCTACCGTAGCCTGTGTAACCTGGTACTCTGTAGTCCGTACTCGGTATATTTCCCGCTACTTTAGTGGTAATTAGTTATTACGCACTACCTAAGTTAGTAGATATGTTTTAGTAGCAGTAGTAACATGATGGTTTGGCTGGATTTAAAGCGGCACGGTCTGCATGGCGCTGCTATCTGTACTGTGTAAGGTACATAGGTATGTACTTTGTCTGACTCACAGCACTCTGTACTCTGTCCTCTGCACTCTGTGTCCTGCACTCTGTCCTCCGTACCTCTGTAGCACAGTTCTCTCCTCTGATCCCTGGTGCCTCTGCCCGAGCCGCTTACCTACAGTATCGTCTGCAGTACCAACTCCAAAGTACAAGTTCAAGTTGCACGATCGATCGAATCACCACTGGTGTCATCTTTCACACGCTTCAGCCTGATCTGCCACGGCTCAGGCTGTCGGATTCCTCTGACAGACGGGCACTGGAGTCCTCTCTACGGAGTACTACCACCCGCGCAACTCCGCCCAAAATGCATGTCAGACCTGCTCAGGCCCGAGATCTGGCCGACCTAGCCACCAACGCTACCCATGCCATGTTCGACGACGAGTTGACGTCTTTTATGGCCCCCTACCGCCATCAGCATCCGCTGTGTCTTCGCCAAAGATTCCTCGCACGGTCCAAGGCACGCTTCTACAGTGGTAGTCTGCTATTGGCGGCAGTGACAGACCCAACAGACCCCTGGTGGGACGGCACGGAGAAGATAGTTGGATATCTCTCGGCGACGCCACACAAGCACGCTGCAAAGACATCAGAGACATCGTCTTGGCTCCCCTGGAATTGGAATTGGAATTGGAATGGTACGGTTGCATCTCTGGACTGAATTGGGGACGTGCATTAACACTCACTGTCAGCGCTGGAGGTCCAGCTACTTCGGGTCGAAGATCTCTTCCGCTGGTATGCTCACTCTGACAGATCGATCTCCCGAGCAAACAATCGAGAATTTCTGAAGAACGCCGCTTCTTCTGACCCATTTGCCGAGATCGATGTCTACTGGAAGGTAGATCATTTGTCCGTCGATCCGTCCTGTCAACGCTGTGGCATTGGCTCTGCTCTGATGAAGCATATTCAACGCGTGGCGACGAGCGACAATCTTCCCATCGTGCTTCTGGCCAGTGACAAGGGCCGGCCTTTGTATCAGAAACTGGGATTCGCAGATCTTAGACCCATTCCCTTTGCAAGAGGCCTTGCGGTAGAAGCTATGGTGTGGTATCCAGAGAAGTCTCCAAGTGAAGACTCTCCTTCTTGAAACGACTCCGACCATGTCCGGTAATAAGTATTACCGACTGAATTTGTTGTCGACAATGCTTTGGCTTAGAACTGTACCAAGCCGACGCTCAGTGCTTGGGGAGACCTATAGCGACAATTTCGAGCACAGGCTTTCTTCGTGCCTTCGCGGAGTTGTTGACTTGAAAAGGTGAGTTGCAACTGCTGGTGGAAGGAGAGACGCCAGGAGCACCTCAACCCATATATACCTAGCCTGTCAGCCTCTGATGTCGACTTCCAAAATATCCCTGAATCTTCTCTTGACGGGTTTCGGGGCATGGGCGGAGATGCACCTGTGGGCCTGGAAACTCACGTCAACAACACATAGACCTGGATTCTCTCAACGCGCTCATTCCGCGACTTTCATAACACGAACCAGATCAACAGCTTCGGTTCCGTCCAAATGCATTCGGTATGGATACTAGAGTTTGAGAGCCCATCGGCATTTAGCGCCCGGAAATCTATTGTCCGGACTCTACGTCCGGGGAATCCACCAACACAGACATGAATCAGAAAATTCCATGCTCATTCTACGCTCTCACAACCCATACACTCATTCTATGCTCTCACGACAGACACATTCATCCTATACTCTCACGACAGACACATTCATCCTACACTCTCACGACAAACACATTCATCATATGCTCTCACAACACCTGCTGGTCATCAAGTATCCGTCCTTGGTTAATCATCTCCCCAAGCTGCAACCTACTGTCTGGTACCTGATTGTGATACAATGCTGCAAATACCTACATACATGAACGAGGTCCGACACATGGGGCATGTTGCCCTTTTCGAGGACTGGAATGTTACCGTGCGACCATGGCATTCTTGGAAGATTCCTGCGTGGAATGTCTGCAACATACTCTTTGTTGTCGCAGCGAAGCTTTCTGGTCTTATGTTAAACAAGTTCGAACTGCCCTGGAGATTTGCTGGCTTCCGCACAGGATGGTGGCCTCTTTGTTTTCCAGACAGAGAAACCCATTTTTCTGGCATGTCTGACACCCGAGCGAAAGATGGTGACGATGCACTTACTACCAAAAAGCACATAGCAGGCAAAGGTGGTCTTCTTGCCGGCACAGTAACTAGTCAGCCAAACCCGAAGAAGGCCAAAACGACGGCTCAGGGTCCTGTGCGTGCTACAAGTTTTGGGGTAGAGTTTGAATTTGTTCTCGCCTTCAAACAGAAGATGCTGGAATCTATTTTGACCAAGTACAATATCGAGGCTGATATTGTCAAACAATTTACAAACAATGAGCATCGAAGCCTACTTGGAGAATTTACCTCGCACTATGATGAGAATCGGTCACATAATTGTAGGCTGCGATACCCATCCTGGGCTCTCCATGTGGCACAGGGCGATGCTGTGTGCATGAATGGGCTTCATCACGGGAGCTTCATCACCAAGGTTTCCCATGACAAGCAATGGATAAGGCGATACGTGATGGAGCCACTTCTCATGGCCACGTCCTGCTTGAAGGAGAAAGAACTCCCGGCGAATGTTATCGGATGGGTCGAGCCAGACCCTGCCCACCTCAATACTCCTCAAAAGGCGGAAATACAGCTCCCTGGTCAATATCAAAGCATCATGATCCGAAAGAACCTGGTCGACTATACAAACTGGACGTTGACAAATGACCACACCCTGATGGGAGCACTGCCGAGCCAGCTACGGGAGCATCTGGAGAAGCAAGGGGTCGCGGAAGACGAAGTGGCAGACTGGGATAGCTGCGGGATAGAACTGGTATCGCCTGTGTTTGAGCTGGAAGCCAAACCCAAAGCCTTTCAACAAATCGACAAATATATGAACTCTCTCACGACCAAAGACACGTCAATTCTCGGATCGGTGTGGGCCAGCACCCATGTCCACATTGGACTTGATTTCGATGCACCCGAAGACATGCCCGTCCTATTGTTACAGCACCTGGCCTATGTTCTGGTCCTGCACGAAGACCTGCTATCTAAATGCCATCCACGAAGCCGGTGTGGGATCGAGGTTTCGAAATCAAGTTCCGATGAACCCGCCTGGGACGACTACGACGATGAAGAATTCGATCCAGATGCACCCTTCCCCGAACCTCCACCATCGCCCAGCGAAGAAGAACAAGAGCAGGAGAATGAAGCCAATGTGCTAGCCTTCGAGGCCGAATACACCGGAGTTGGTAATGTCGACTCCAATGCTCGATACCTACGAAGCCAGCTGGCCAGCCGAAGCCCTCGACATCAGCTTCTCGACATCAGGGACAAAATATTTCAAGAACAAGGGACCATCTTCGACTTGGTCGAGTTCCTACAACGACCAAAAAACCCTTCAGACGTACACGGGCCCAGACACCGTGGATACATGTACAACTTCGCCAACCTTTGGGCTCTGGCTAAGGGCGAAACGCCATGGAAACCCATCAAGCCAACCATCGAATTCCGCCAGCATGCGTGCACGCTGGATGCCGAAGTCGTCCGTCACTGGGTCACGCTGCTGGAAGCGACTGTGAGAGTGGCGGAGAAGAAAGCCGCAGAAACGAGGCAGTTCAACAGTTCGGTTCCGCTCGGTGGAATGCAATCATTTGCCGAACGAGAGGCAAGCAAGTATCCGACAAAGAGCACCACGGCTTGGCCTTGGCCGTACGAGACGATGAGCAGTCTTTGTGTACAATTTTTGGGGCTGGACGACGAAGAGGGCGATTACTGGGAGGGCCGCTTTGAGCAGTTCAAGGACGACAGGCCCGGGGAAACATGAATCATGATCGGCCATGAATGTGGAGGACATTGTTTAAGAAGGATATGAAGGACACTGGAAATTGTGGTCAAGCATGTGGAGGCTATTGTTGTTGCAAAATGCACTACAGAGTATAGGTGGCATAAGAATATAGAAGCATCAAAGCATCTAATCACACCACAAATTGATGTTTGATCCCCCATTCCTCCCTCCCTCCCTCCCTCTGTCCCTCTGCTAATAATATGTAACGTGTAATGCACAAGCACAGCCTTGCCAAGACCTAGTTCAGCCTTACCGGCACGGTCAAGCCGGTCTGGGCGGCGAACGGCCGGCCCGCTCTGCAATCTTGACCAATGGCAGTGCAAGAGCAGGAGCAACGGGGCCACCTGCCGCAACCGGGCCTCGATCGCTGCCGGACCTTGTCCATCAATCACCTAATTTTCTCTCCCCAACATGATTTCACCCCAGCTCATGGACTCTGACTGACTTTGCAATCCAAGCAATCCCGCAATCCCCTTCATGTTTTGGGGCTCCAGCATCAATTTTCGAGTATTTATTTTCTTTCTGGTCCGGCGTAGGCATACTCACTGCCTTATCTCAGCCCAGCATCTGATATCCCCGCTGACGAATGCCCTCGCCGCCCACCACGACTACTAATGACTTCGACAAGCAAGATGTAGCCGACGACAGAGCCTCCTTCCCTGAGGCATCTTTGGCATTCCGTGCCCACAATGCCAGTGTCAGCGTAGAGGAAGAGCAGAAGCTGCTCCCGAATTCTTCAGTGGCCACACGGCCCATCCTGGCGCCAGGCTTCCCCTCCACAGCCCGCCGGCCATCTTTCATCGATGAGGAAGACGACCCATTTACCATTACCACGGGGGTGGCGACAGACAACCCTTCCGAGTACTCGACCAAAGAGGCCCCGGAGGCCCCGGTGACATGGATGTCCCTCCCTAAGAAGGGCCAGTTGGCCATCCTCACTTTTGCCAGGCTGTCAGAGCCTCTCACCGAACGATCGCTCGCTGCATACCTGTTCTATCAATTGCGCTCTTTCGACCCGAGCCTGCCCGACAGCACCATCGCCAAACAGGGCGGGATGCTCACGGCGTCTTTCGCAGCCGCGCAGTTCCTCACAGCAGTCTGGTGGGGTCGAGCCGCCGACACGCCTTGGATAGGTCGCAAACGGGTTCTTCTCGTCGGCTTGTTCGGCACGTGCATCAGTTGTGTCGGCGTGGGCTTCTCGACTTCCTTCGCCCAGGCATTGTTCTTTCGCGCCTGCGCTGGATGTCTGAACGGGAATGTCGGGGTGATGAGGACCATGATCAGCGAGATCATCAAGGAAAAGAAGTATGAGAACAGAACCATCCCGGCTCCCCCACCTTGGATTTTGCCCTAGAGCCCTTCTTCTAACAAGACCACCAGATACCAGTCCCGCGCTTTCATTCTGCTACCCATGTGTTTCAATATCGGTAAGCGCTGCCGACGTCTGCCTTTGTTCAATTCTAAATAGGAACTTACTCGCTGTGCAGGCGTCGTAATTGGGCCCATCCTCGGCGGCTTCCTCGCAGACCCCATCCAGTCATTTCCCCACGTCTTCGGCCCAGGATCGCTGCTAGGCGGGAAGAACGGTGTGCAATGGATGCAATCCTTCCCCTACGCGCTACCCAACGTGATCAGTGCATGCCTGATTCTCAACTCGGCCTTCTGGCTCGTCCTCGGCCTGGACGAGACACATCCGGCCCTCAGAAGTCGACCGGACCTCGGGCGGAAACTGGGCAAATTCCTGTTTCGGCTTGCCTTTCGCCGCGGCCAGAGAACAATGGACGATTACGAGTACACCCAACTTCAAGATGAGGCTGACTCGCGAGCGTCAGGAGACGACCAGCACTCTTTTACCTCCTCTCCACGAGGCAGAGACGCCGAATCATCCAGGCCGATCCCGGATGCCGATGGCCATCGCAATGCGCTCGCCGCCTCCAAGCCCAGCTTCCGGCAGATGTTGACGAAAAACGTGGTCCTGACGCTGCTGACGCACCACATCCTTGCACTGCACCTCAGTGCCTTCAACGCCTTGATCTTTCTTTTCTTGCCGGCCCCACGCTCGTCCAACGTGCACGCCAAACTCCCCTTCTTGTTCACCGGCGGCCTCGGCCTGTCGCCGGAGCGCGTCGGGCTCGCCACCGCCATCATCGGCGTGCTCGGATTCCCGCTGCAGATCTTACTGTACCCGACCATCAACTCCAAGCTGGGCACGCTGCGCAGCTACAAGGTCTTCCTGCCCTTCTCGCTGGTCGCGTACGCCGCCATCCCGTACCTGGCCCTAGTGCCCGACCGTGCGTTCTTGGTCTGGCCCGCCCTGACCCTCGTGCTGGCCTTCCAGGTGCTCTCGCGCACATTCACGCTGCCGAGCAACACCATCCTCGTCAACAATTGCACCCCGCACCCCGGCGTGCTAGGCACCATCCACGGCGTCGCCCAGAGCGTCTCTTCCGGCGCCCGGACCCTCGGCCCCACCCTCGGCGGATGGTTGTTGGGCTTGGGTCTGGGTGGAAACTGTGTCGGCGGCGTGTGGTGGGCCTTTGCTGGCGTGGCCGTGGTGAATTGGGCTTTACTCTGGTTCATTTTCGAGGGCGATGCCGGGGCTGCGGTCGCGGCAGCTGCTGGAGTGGTGGGAAGATGAAGACGAGAACGACGACGAGGACAAGGACGAGTCGAAGATGACAATGTGCAAGAAGGTCTTGCTTGACGTGTTCGGGGCCGATGATAATGTCCAAAGGGATTTCGACTGTCAGTACCTTCGACGAAGACGACGGATGTGCAAATGTCCCAAGAAGGGCGACCCTGTCGGTGGACGACGGTCATGGGTCACTGACAATCACGGTGACAATCATGAGAGAAGATGGTAGTGTATGTATATACATTCGACGGCGGATGGAATGTCCGAATATCCAACCAACCAACCAACCAATCAATCGTTCAAAAGTCTACTATTGCCTTGATTGTATTGTGTCTGTGCCTGTGTCTGCGGCCCATCTGCCCATCTACCCATCTACCCATCTAACTATATAGGTGCGGACCTATGGCCCTAGTCACCTAGCGATAGACTTCTACTGCAGGAGTCGCAAGTGTCATCATATATATCATCATATATATCATCATATATATCATCATATATATCATCATATATATCATCATATATATCATCATATCTTTCATTACTAGAGACACAGACAGACAGACAGACAGACAGACAGACAGACAGACAGACAGACAGACAGACAGACAGACAGACAGACAGACAGACAGACAGACAGACAGACAGACAGACAGACAGACAGACAGACAGACAGACAGACAGACAGACAGACCCTAGCTTCGACTTCGACTTCACAGCTTCTCTCTATATCTGCTACAGTACATATACTACATTAGATTAGATTAAACAAGTAGCGTAGCGTCCTCTGTGCTGTAAGCTTCCATCAAGTGTCAGTCCCGGGCTTACTCTTACTGTACTCTTAACCTCTGAGATGGCCAAGGCTCACAAAACTTCCGGTCCAAGTCTGCTCCGTGCGGCGTCCAGCCTCAACAACCTCCCCACGTCCGACCCGGCAGGCTGAGCGTCAGCAAGAGCATGACCCTGAGAATCTCGGGCCGTCCTTGTCACCGCCGCACCGCCCATGACCTCTTCGCGCTTCCTGACTCGGCTGAACAGACACGCCCACAGGTCCTCCTTGTCGACCATTTCACCACCGTTCTTGCCCGCGGTGAGGAGCCGCGAAAGATTGGCCGCTTGTAGCTCCATCGAGTTGGCCGCGTCGATCGCCGTCTCCTGTAGACCTCCACTGGGCGTGCTGGTGTTGCCGGGCAGGGACGATGGCGTCGCCGTGCCCGAACCCGTGCCCTCGGTCGCCGCGACCGCTGTCGGAGTCGTGCTCGCGGTCGCCGTCGCCGTCTTGGGCTTCCCTCCACTGTTGCTTCGCAGGTGGGCGAGCCGACGGGTGACGCTGATGTCGTAGATGGCTTCCTCCACCGTGTCGGCGATCAGGTACATCCACACGGTCGTGGGCCGGTACTGGCCGATACGGTGGACTCGGGCGATGGCTTGCAGCTCGATGGCGGTGTTGATGAGCGGCTCGCACAGGAAGACGTGGCTCGCCACAACCAGGTTCAGTCCCGTCGAATGGGCTTTGGCGTGCAGCAAAAAACACTCCACGGCCGGGTCCGACTTGAACTTCTCGATGCCATTCTTCACGTCGATGCGCGTCGACGAGATCTTGTGCTCGGCGAACGCCCGGGCCAGAACGTCGATGAACTCACGGTACTGAGAGAAAATGATAGCCTTGGAACCAGGATCGTGTTCACGAAGCCACAACAGGTGGCGGCAGAGGAAGTCGATCTTGCTGCCGAAGCTGGGCCCGCGGAGGTCGATGTTCTTGATCTGGTTAAGCATGGCAATGCTGATGTCCGAGTAGATTGACTGGTCATGGGGCCGATCAGCACCGGAGCCCGAGTTGGACGACGTCGGGCTGGATGGAGATTCGGCCTGGACCGCAATCTCGGCTGGTTTGTAGGTGATGTCGTGGAAGCTGCTCGGGTGCAGAGATGTCTTGCATACGGGACAGTTGCGGTGTTGATTCCACCATGTCAAGACGCAATGCTTGCAGAACTGATGCCCACAAGAGGTCATGGTGCCCACTTCGAAACTGTCCGTACAGATGGTACAGGTCCTCGGGGCCGACGATTTGGACTCGGTCTTCATGTGGACCAGATAGCGCAGTTTGGCAGACAGGGAGACGATTTTCTGCTGCCACCGCGCCTCCTCATTTTCGAAGCCGCGGTACTCTTTCTCCGACAGGGGCTCGCCCACGTTCTCTTCTTGATAAGGCGCCACCGTGTCGGAGATCTTCTGCAGCGCCCGGTAGTAGTCGAGACGGCTGTTCATGGTGTCGCGGAACTGATTGACCTCTTGCTCAAGCGCATTCAGCGCCTTGGTCTGGACCACCCCCAACTGCTGAACGTGTTTGAGGATGCGTTCTAGGATCGCCAGTTCGTGGCCGGCCCGAACGTGTCCATTCCCATCCTGCCATTGTAGCGATATGACCAGTTGACGGATTTCAGCCGTGATACCACGAAGGCAGCCATGCTCTTTGACCTTGACGCGTTTTTGTTCCCGCTCAGCCAGAAGTTTGACCATCAACTCAGGCGCTGGGCCTTCGCCCTCCTTGGCGGCACGGAGGAATTGCTTCATCTCTTGTTTGATCAGCATGTTCTCCTGGCCCGTCATGGCCTCGCTGCGGTCGGCAAAGAGGGCCCGTAGAGCTTCCATGTACGCATACATCTCATCTTGATGTTTGGTCGAACTTTCATACTCGTCTCCTTGCAGCTCGACCCCTTCGTCCTCATCAATCAGTGCTTGGCTCAAGAAGTCGGCCATCTTCTTCCGCAGTTCGCGAAACTGTTCTGCCTGCACGTTCATAGCCTCACAGTAGACAGCAACTTTGTCGAAAATCTTCCTGGATTCGATTCCCACCTCGTCTTCAGGTGCCTGCATGTCAGGGATCTGTGTGAGCCCTTTCGCCACATTGACTCTCACGGAGCCGATCAACTTGTTCACATGCCGCAGAACTTCAGCCAGCAATTCGCCACGAATCGCTTTGGCCTCTTCGTATGCAGCGGTCTCTCGTTTCTCCAGCGCCAGGGACTTTTCAGTATCCGGCTCCTCGAGCGACTTCAGTTGGAAATATGCGTTGGCAATGAAAAAGATGGAGATGTGTTGGATCTCCAGGGCCGTTCGTAACCGTGCCCTTGCTGCTGTCAGTCGCGGGTTGGCTTCTTCTTCGTCTTCCTTCTCTTTGTTGAGGTTGGCGGCGAACTTCTCTTCTTCGAGTTGTTTTCGGCATTCTTGTACGATTATCACCGACTCGTCATAGACGCTTCTCCATATGTCGAGAGCCTCGTCGGTGACTTTCGCATTCTCCTTCAGCTGTCCTCGCCGTATCTGCGCCAACAATTTACTGCGCTGAGCGGTGCGGAGTTGACTCTCGTGTTGATCGATCATCACTTCGAGAACCTGTTCCACTGTCCGAAGGGGACCGTTGGTGGTACGACCCAGTGCCCGACGATTCCGCCCACCAACTTCTGGGTGAAGACATGTTTGGCGTAGACGAGTCAACCAGGTCCGCATTTTCTCGACCGTCGCTGGGGAATCCGGGTCCCAATCGTCATTGAGGGGTGCCCCTGTCCGATCAACGTCGCAGTCTTCGCAGAGTTCTTGAAGGAGCTGTGCGTAATGCTGTTCTTCAATAGGTGTGAATGGAATTGTGATGGTATGTCGGCTTTGGGGTGGCAGTCGCAAATCTTCCCGGACAAAGTCCTTGGTATGTCTCATCGCTACCTCCTTCAACATCTCTCTAAATAGGGGTCGATGGTAGCTAACAAGCGAATCCCAAAGTCGAGGAGACTGACACCATGGGCTATAACGAAGGAAGAGTAACAGACCGTAGAGATCCCGGTGGCCAGAACGTAGCGGCGTCCCGGTGACCGCCCATGCATTGATGCGAGGGATCAGCCGTGCCACTGTGGCGGCCGAAGATACACCGCTTTCCACCATCTGAGCCTCATCCAGGCAGACGCGCCACCACGAGATCTCAGTCAAGGGACTCTTGGGGGGATCCTTACGGGGGCGGTTCCGGTTCCGGAGATTCCGATCCGGCTTCTCCATCACATAGTGTATTTCTTTGGCGATGACGTTGTACGTTGTGAGAACCACGTCCTGGTGTAGGAGTTCCTCAATGAGTTTTTCGCCGGTGCGACGGTAGCTGCCAAGGCCCTGGTAATGATGCACTCGCAATGCAGGGGCATGCTCGTTGATCTCTTGTTTCCATTGCTCGAGGATTGAGGGGGGGGTAATAATCAGTGTCGCGGAAGATTGCCTCAACCCGGGAGGGCTCTCGATGCTGGCAGGTTTTCGATGAAGGCAGATTAAGGATATGACCTCCAACGTCTTTCCGAGACCCATTTCCTCGGCAAGAACACCTCCTCTTATGGTTGAGAATTCTTTCAGGACCGCCGCCCGGTCCTTGGAGACCACTCCCAAAGTGTGATTGACCAAATACGTTTGCTTTCCGTCGGCTTGGAATATCTCGAATCCTCGAGGAAGTTGCCCGTCAGGTTCTTCAGCAAGGGTCGTCACAATCCCGGTGTCTTGTAAGACAGCCCGCTCCCTCGCCAAAAGCCATCGCACAGCACGTCGCTGGAAAGGGAACAATTGAGACTCCAGATATGGAACCTTGATGTCCGCCGAATTTGCATTGGATTTCTCGGGAACATGAACATTGTCGTAGAATTGTCGGGGATCCCAGGTCTCGAAATTCGGAGCGGAAATGCGGTTGGAAGGAAGATAGCGCCCCAGCAAATCGAGGAGAACCGGGTCTACACGATCTCTGACTTTGACGGTATTCTCCCAAAGGATGGAAACTTCGATGCGTGGCCCAGAAGAGCAAGGGCGGAGCATGGCGTACACACAAGCAAGAGGTAAGGCAGCAGGGGCCCTGTATTTGACGGCGGAGTCCAGGTGCAGGACATCCTGCAAGATGGCGTGACTTCTCGATGGATAATCCTCAAGATAAACGTGGTGCAGGCCCTTGCCTCGACCGACGGAGAATGCTATCCCAAGACCTTCCTGTTGTACGTGTTCCTGTGCTTCTTGAATAGTGATTTCAACTGGCCTCCCATCCGGGCAAAGATCGGAGGCGCGTAAGTCGTAGTCTCGGACGGTCCACCGGGCGCTGGCGAGGACGGCGTATTCGGAGAAGGGAGGAGGAGGCAAGGGCGTAGACACATGGAGGTCATCAGGGCCGTCAGAGATCCTCCGTCTCTTGGCAGCAGGCTCGCCTGATCCTGATGCCTCCATTGCCGCTTGATGAGAGCTGAGAGACAAATGAAGGCAGCGATATGGAAAGAGGCGAGGAAACAGCAGATTGACTGCGCCGATGGAAATGGATATGGGAGAATCCAGGTGCAAGCGCGTAGAGATAAGATAAGCGGTCACGTGCGCGGGGAAGTTCAGGGCCGTGAGGGGACTCTCTCACGTGAGACGTGACGCTAGCCTTATCGGGCGATATCACAAAACATGAGGGACTATTTACTGTACATACAAGTCAAGATGCACGAGCTCTGTTCCAGGCGATCCCGGGCTATACAGCCCCTCGAGAGTCTAGAGTCAGAGCCTATAAGGCGTGCTGTGATAACAAGCACCATATCCGCCTCTGAGTTAGCGGCTGCCTTGCAGCAGCAGGGCCCCATTTCCATTTTCATTTCCATTTGATTTATGATTCATGATTCTGCTGAGAACACACCGTTCCCACCTGTGCCGCCGGGTCTGCAAAAGATCACATCAGGGACGGAGTTGCGTCGGTGTGGAAATAGTCCCTCCCGAGTCCGCAACCTGACCAGAGCCCGTGGTTCCTCCATTCTTGTCTCTACTCGTCGTCAGCATCTCGATATGCTTCCTCAGCGACCGGTTGGCTTCTTTGAGTGATGCGATCTCCTCCGTTTGCAACTGAGCCTTAGACCTAAGCTGCTCTAGCTTTTCTTCACTCCGTAGCCGGTGATTTCGTTGTGCTTTGCGATTCTGCTCTTTTCGTCGCTGGACGCACCTTTCGTCAGCCCGCCTCGGCTCGCAAAAAGACAGAACGGAGATGCAGGCAGTACACGGGGTTACCACCACTGACCTCTCTCTTTTCACGGTCACAGGACATGCAGGAATGATGGTGCCGATGGCTTCGCGGTGAATGTGCTGAATTCTCCATCTCGGTGGCGGGGCTCTCTTGAATGGAGGAGTCGGTCTGCATGTGCTGAAGCAGCTCAGTATCTGGGTTGCTGATTGCATCCAGCGGCAGTGACTCCATTGGCGAGCCGACCATCGTTATCGAGTCTTCGAAATTGACTAGACTATTGTGGTGGGAGTTGGACATGAAAGTCTGAGGCACTTCGGTGGTCTGTAGGGCTGTCAAATCAACTCTGGCAACACCCTCATAGGACTGTGTCTAACTTACTTCGGTCATCATCCCAGAGCAGATGCCTACGGTCATGTTATAGTAATCCAGAGTCTGCCAATATTGCCCAGGTATGTAACTGTAGGTCGGGCTGACGGGAGGTTGCGATCGCTGGGGAGGGAGGTTGCCTGGGTGGAAACATGGCATGAGGCTGTCCATGTTGGCAATCGAGTGACCATGCTTTCCACCTGTAATTGACAACTTTTCTTTCATTGTTCCAGAAACACCAGGCCGTCTGGACAAGGAGGCCAGTAGCTTCGTACAATTACGCAAGACAGAAACTGTTCAAGTCCACACTTCAGCCTTGTACTCTGACGATCATAATAAGAACAAACGATCAATGGCAAGCCCACCAAAGACCCTGTGAGGCGAATGCGGGAGCGGGAGAAGTAGTTAAGAATAAAAGGAAGTGGTAGAGAATTGTCCACAACAATCAAGGTTGGAACATCAAGCGCTGGGCACGTCTTTGAGACTGTGAATATAGGTATAGGTATCGGAGATCGGAGAGAGGTTGACAAGATCCAGAAAGCAAAGGAAGGGAAGAGGCTCGAATTTAGGCACATTCGTCGGTTGGCGGGTATCCAGCACAGCGCCCGCGCCCAACGACTACAAAGCCGCATGCAGGATGCGGGAGGAGTTTCCTGTGGGAGAGCACACCAAAGTACGAATGCTGCTTATCGAAGTGACGCCCATTGCCCGATTATGGGCAGCGGATCGTCTCAGGGGGTGCAACTCAACCCGACATGTGTGGAGCCACGTGCTTGACGGCACGATTCAGAAGAGGATTGTGAACTGTAAAACTGATTCGAGCTCTCAGAAGGATCGACGGGGGAGAAAATAGGAATAGGGGCAGTGAAGCCGTGATCACTGTATCAGGCGCCCTGTTGGGCGGTTGGCCGTCGTTGCGACTCTGATGGAAGTCGACCATGTGCGGGAGGCCGTGGGGAGGGCCTGGCGGTGGGAAAACACCGAATCCCTCTGAGCGTAGCTCTCTCCATGTAAGACGCTGGGGTTCTCTCTGCATTGCCCATGGGAGAGTATTCGACTTTGGCAGGCTACAGCCTGCCACGCACTTGATCATTGGACACGGCCAGTAGAGTGGGAGAGAACTAACAGGGGTAGTTGGCCTGATCCCTGTAGTGAAGAGGGTTCGAATTCCAGGATTTGCTCCCCGCTGCGATAGTCCAGAACGTGCCAGTGGAGTTTCAACGGATTGCTAGTTGGCCTTGCTGTATTGACATCTGTGGATGTGCTGAGGAGGAGGAGGAGATGCGATGCAGTTGATTGATCTGTCACCCCGTTGCCTCTTGACCCCTCTTTGGCATCTGCAGGTTGCTCATTTGCTCGAAGTCTCTGTGGGCTTATTTGTTTCTCCCTGGCCGTGCTCGCTTGCATTCAGAACAGCGTGACCACATCCATCGGCTGGGCTGCGGAAGGCAGTTACCCAACTTCACCTCCCCAGAGACCAGGATTGAGGCCCAGCCACATGTGCATGTGTGCCTGGCGTGGGTTTGTCGGATTTTGTCAAAGTGATTCTGATCCAGGAGACTGCGGGCCAACATTCAGAGCACAAGTTCCCCTATATGTCCCCCTCCAACCTAGAGCGCAATTGAGTTGATTGTTTCGCCGTGACAACTGCAGAGTCCCAAACCTTATGGGCAAACCCACTTCCTATTCACTTGTGAGCTTCACCATGTGGTGATATCATGTAGATCTGGAAACAGGAGCTCTCCCATCTTCAGATAACTTTTCCCACCCCTGTGAGCGGGGTATAGCACCTGTCCCGGGCGAGCTGAGCTGGCCGAAGTCGCCCGGGCCTGATGAGTGCTTATCTTTGGAGTGTCGCTTGAACTCCTCCAAGGACCAGGACCCTGCCTATTGTATACGACCTCAGCCCCAGCTTGTGTCAAGTCAAGATAACCGAGACCCGCCGAGTCCCCAATACCTGGAGATGCCCCCTCTGACTCAGCCAGCGGCATTGGATAAGTCAGCAAAAGTCACTCCCCCTGGTGCCCCGATGTTGTATAAGCCGAAACTTAGGTCCAGTCAAGGATGAGGACGGGGAGATGTCGGGACGCTAGAAGTCTTCAGAGCACTCGATGCCTGGGTGTGTAAGTGTAAGTCCTAGGGCTCGTTCCCACGGGAGCGTCGATACTGTACAGGTACATGCAAGAGTAACCACCGAGTGCGATGACACCTGTTAGGTGCCTGTCTAGCTGCAAGATGTCGACCGCAGGTAGCCCTGCTGCCACTGGAAGTCCAGACTCTCTGCCTCTGTCAGCGATAGCAATCGAAATGCCCACGGCCCACACTGGCAGTTCAAACGGAGCTGTTGCATCGTTGACCTCCCTCGATGGCCAGCACATGCTTCGCCCAAGGCTCCTCAACAGGCTTGCATCTTCACATGGTCTAGTGCATGCCGCGCATTGAACAATCTTCGACTGCCCCGGGCCCTGGCTTCGACGCGCAGGCCTGACACATGCCGTCCCGCGAACCGGAATCACCGGCCACCAAGGCAGTCAGAGATCCAGCTGGGAACCGGGCCCGGATCCAAGACCTCACAGCGCAGGGACGGTAGAATAGAGGCAAGAGAAAAGGTAAAGGTAGCAGGTTTCTGACCAATATCGAGAAATGCCCTTTGGAAGGGACATACAAGCGTCTTATGCTACTCACACAGTCTGGGATTCAAGGGTTGATCCCTTCACCCCAAGTCCTGTGCCCCTGGCCCGTGTCAAGACCGCGATCGTATTGTACAGATCAGTCCATCTCCATGTCGCTTTCTTCTGCGTCGCCGTCGCCGTCCAGCTCAACCGACTCATCATCGCCCATGTCTTCATCGCTCCTCTCAGCCAGCAGATCTTGTGTGATCTCGTCGTTCAGGTCTTGCTCCGAGGTCCGCGTTGCTTTGCTGGCTCGGCCACTGACAAGATTGTTGACGCGCACCGGTGGTTCTCGCTTCCGAGGCTTCTTGCGTGTCCCATTGGCGGCAGCTCGGACTGGTTCTGGGGCGACATGTTCTTCCAGGACCTGCTGACGCTGCTGGACTCGCGCATTGAACACGGCAACATCGCGGTCTCCGCCCCAGACTTCCAGGCGTCGACCGGCCCTCTTCAGAACCTTAGTCCAAGTCTCAGCTTCCTCGCCATTGTCGTCGGGTTCATACCCGGGCGGAACATGACCGGGATGGCCTTCGACATCTTCACCATACCATCTGCGAGCAATCAAGCCCGCGAACCCCACACCGTCGTTCCCTTCTTCCTCTTCGCTGTCATATGTGGGAGCTAACTCGCTGATACGCCTCGCTGCCTTGAGCAGCCATCGACCCCCCTCCCTGAGCTGTCGGGCTTCTTTAAGAGCCTGCCTTCGCCGCCGTCTCAAAGCCCAATCCACTCGCCGCAGTCTATGTTCCTCAAGTTCGCGCTGGTACCCTGTTCTGGCCCTTGACTTGGTGACTGATCCACCCGCCAATGTCTCCCCTGCTCGGCCCGTGCTTGAGTCCACATCATGCTTGCCCCGGTGAGTGCCGAGCTGACTGTTGCCATAATGGTTACCGCCCGAGTGCAAAGGCTGGGGAGTGCCTCGATTGCGATCCGCCGTATCCGGTGTGGCAGCGTTTCGCCCCGATTTGAGCAAACTTCGAGGGCCGTCATTCTGTTTGGCACCTCGGGATCGCGTCGGCGTATTCTTTCCCTTGACACGCTTGTAGCGTCCGCGTCCAGGATGTAGCTCGACCGCTTCCCAGTCATCGTCAAGGCTATCTGCTTGTCCACCGAGCGGAGTCATCACGTGTCCAGGTGGACCGAAAGTGTCGGGCGCTGGGGAACGCCCAAAGCCAGGGCTCCCGCGCGAATCGGCATCAGATATCAGAGAATCGTCGTCCCCATACAACACGCCCTTCTTGAGTCTCTTCAAGACCTTGTGGTCAGGGTTGCTGGGATCGGCCATCATTAGAGGTGGCTCGTTTGCAACTTCCAGCATGATTCGTTTTCTTTCCTTGGTCATCTTCTCCGCAAAGGTGATTTCTTCTGGAGGGTCTGCATTCTCGGCATCCCCTTCCTCCTCTGTGATGTTGATCAATTTCGGGACGAGTTGGGGGATCGTGTCAGGATCGTCAGGGGATTCATCTTCTTTGTATTCGCCAGGACCGTACGGATTTCGCAAAGCATCTTCTTTGGTGAAATCTGATTCCAGGTACCACCACATCAGCCACAGGAATGCCCTGGCTCGACTGGCGGAGGAAATGGTCGGTCGCATGGCAAGGTCAAAGAAATCAACCTTGTCAGTGAAATGTGTTTCGCTAACGGTGGGCGCGTACTGTGAAAGAACAAAGATGAGGTTGACGGGATTGGTCCGCGGAACTGGCTTTGTCTTCAGTGCGGCGATGGTACGGGGTTCGTCTGTGTCCTCGCTGGCACCTTTCAGGATGCTCTTTAATCTTGGGGCATCCTGAAGTGACTTGTAATCTTTCTGGCTCTTGTAGGCTTGCAATGAAGGGATGGAATGGTATGTTCTCAGTTGCGCCCTCATCTCTGGGAAGAAGTTCAACGTTGTGTTCATCCTGCCGACATTGACCAGGAGGCAAATCATGGCCATGTTCTGTGCAGCCTGTTCATCGATTTGAAGCCTATCCTTGAGGATCTTGCTTGTCTTGGAGCTTCTAGCCATGCAATCCACGTAGATCTCGGAAAAAGTACATCCTTTCTGGCCGTCGCTAATTCGGGTGAAAACTGGTTTGTTGTCCTCGGTGACGATTTTGAGGAATTCAAATTGGATCTCCTTACGCCACAGAGGAGTGCCATCTGGCTTTTTGATGTGTCTGATCTTGCTGCCCGAGTAGACGGAGCCCACGGTGCCGTTAGCTTGTCTCCTGGTCCCTACTGCCGTTCCTACTACTGTCTTGGCTTCTGGATCTGGGCTGGCCTCCGACTTTTTGGTTCTGGTGGTAGAGATGACGCTGCCTTCATCCTCTGTCCCATCTTGAGGCGTTTCGTGAATCCAGATCGCACCACCCCTGGGCTTTGTCTTTCTGCCTGTGGATGTCCTTGCACGACCTGCCCGACGTCCACTCACGGGTGTCAGACTTGAAGAGAAATCTTCTGCATTCTGAGACTGGTCGGGGTCTAGGTCTGCAATGTCAGGCTTAGTGTCTTCGGGTTGGTCATCGATGGTGTCTCCGTCCGAGGGCGCTGGGGAGGGCTCGCGGGAAGTCATTTCGACTGGCTGTTTAGGAAGGGATCAAACAAAGCCAAGCGGTCATCCTAGAGTGCTGCCGTGGAGGAGATGGTTAGAAAACGGTTGCCTGGATAATGAGCGAAATCATGAACGCGATGGAAAGATCGACTCGACGCCGTGTCTGGCTTGACTGTCCCTGCGACGCTCCACGGGCGTCACTCACTGCAGTACAGCACTAAAGACGCGCCAAGTACCATTCGGCAAACCTTCTCTGTAAACCAGGTTAGGACTAGCTAGGACTAGGAGTATACTAGCAGTAATTGAACCACTAAGAGCATATGTGGCCGCACCCTCATTGTTTACCAGGGCCTGGCATTGTCACACCGTCTTTTCAGGCCGCCTACCGGGCATTAAGGCCTAAGGCCTTCTGGGGTTCCTGAACAGCATATAATTAATCTGTCGTCTGGTGAGTTTCTGGGGGAAAAGTACTTTCTCTCATCTCCTCCACTTCGGTGCATGTCCCTGCCAAAATGACCAACTGGACTCTCGGCGAGAGATTTCATCAACGCTATCCTCACCTGAGCGGGGTGAAGGCTCTGTGGGAGACGAAGTGGAAGCTTCCCTGCAGCTTGGGTGTCTACCCCTTCCATGACGGCAAACTCGAAGACTTTGCGCCCATTTTTGAGAAACTGATTGAGGATGATGTTAATGATGCTTACTCGGACTCGTACACCGAGTACTTTCTGCCCACGGCCGAGAGACTCACCGATGCCGCCATGTCGGCTCAGGCGTCGGACCGTGCCAAAGCCGCGGAGCTCTTCAAGCGGGCGGCGTGCGTCTACCGCATCTCCAGGTTCCCCTCGGTCGACGCCGGGACAGGGTTGAAGAGGAAGATGTTCGAGAACCAGAAGCAGGTCTACTTGCGGGGAGCAAGTCTTTGGGCAGACCCGATCAAAGAGATAGTGATCCCTCACCTTGCCGCCCAAGGTGAAGACGGGACAGATATACCGTTGTACGTCAGACTACCTTCAGGAGCAAGCAGCACCAACAAATGTCCTGTCGTGTTGCTGATCACGGGGCTTGACGGCCATCGACCAGACAACACCGGAGTAAGCAGTTTTCCTCCTCCTCCTCCTCCTCCTCCTCCTCCTCCTTCTCTTCTTCTTTCTTACATGCCTCGACACACTAGACACACTAACGGACCCGTATAGCGAACTGACGAGTTCCTCGCTCGTGGGTGGGGCTGCGTGATCACCGAGATCCCCGGGACTGCAGATTGTCCTGCTGCGCGGCGCGATCCCCAGTCTCCAGATCGGTTGTTTAGTTCCATCCTGGACTGGATGGATCAGCAGCATTACCTCAACATGCAGAAATGCATCGCGTGGGGACTATCGGCTGGCGGGTACTACGCCATCCGGGTCGCGCATACGCACCACTCACGACTGGCGGGAAGCATCGGACAGGGAGCTGGTAGCCACTTGTTTCTGTCGCGAGAATGGCTCGAGCACGTGGACGACCATGAATACCCGTTTGTTCTCAGCGAGGCCTATGTGGCGAAATACGGCTACCAGGACTGGGAGGAGCTTCTCGAGAAGGCGCAGAAAGACTTCAGTCTGGTCGAGAGTGGGTTACTGAACAGGCCTTGCTGCCGATTGCTTCTTGTCAACGGCACCTGGGACGGCCTCATGCCGATTGAAGACAGCGTGTTGTTGATGAACTATGGACGACCCAAAGAAGGCCGCTTCTACGACCGGCTGTTCCATATGGGATATCCTCCTGCGAATGAGAGCATCTATCCTTGGATGGAGTCGGTGATGGCTACGGCGGGATGAATCATGAGAGCACAGAGATCCAAGAGAGACTGTATCACATAATAATGAGAATTGCTGTTTGTGATTTGGGAGCTTGATGGTCAGAATTGATGTGCGTGATTTTGGGGTTTGATGGTCAGAGTTGACCGTTCGACAGGTTCGTGTCACTACCAAGGCCTCACTCCGTCCTTGTAGACGAACTTGCCGACATGACTGTCCCTTTTCCCCTCGACAATATCCAGAATCAGCTGGCCCGACACTTCCGGGTCTTGTGCAGCCCCGCCAGCACTTCTGGACTGCTCATCCTTGCCGCGAAGATTCGAGCGAACCAGACCCGGACAGACGGCGAAGACTTTGACGCCGTGAGCGGCCAGCACCTTGGCATCCTGCACAGCCAACATATTCAGCGCGGCCTTGCTGGCTCGGTACGCCGTCGCACGCACGGAGTACGTGAGGTCCTCAGCCAAAGCCAACGACCCAAGACTGCTGGTGATATGCAGCAGGTACGGCGACTGCAGGCGTGGCTCTGGCTTTGGCTCTGACTCGGACTCGGACGGTATCAGAAGCGGGTTGAATGACTCTGTGACCCGAGCCACGCCGATCACGTTTGTCGGAAGGGTCTGCTCGAGCTGCTGGGTGAGGCTGCTGCTGCTGCTGCTGCTGCTGCTGCTGTTGGGGATGCCATCCTCTTTTCCCGGCACATAGACGCCCGCATTGTTTACCAGCACGTCCAACCTGCCAAATGTATCTGTGACATGGCGCACTGCTGCATCGACGGACGCTTGGTCTGTCACGTCCAGGGTCACCGTTGACAGGGTGCCTTTGAGCAGAGAACTCGTCGGGTTCGGGTTCGAGGTCGATGCTTGCTCCAACTCCTGCTCCAGCGTCTCCTGTGCTTTGCGGCCGTTTTCGCGGTTCCGGCTGCCCATGATGACATGGTACTTTGGCGAAGTGCTCACCAGGACCTTGGCTATCGCGTAGCCGACGCCCGAGTTCGCTCCTAGATGACGGAAGAAGATTCGGAACGTCAGCCCGGTGAAGTCAGACACGCTTCAGGGATGGGATGGGGTTAGATAGACATGACGTCCAGTTCAAGCCTGAAGAAGATCTGTCTGTCTGTAAACACTACACTGCCATGCAAACTAACCGGTAATCAAGACGATGGTCTTGGACGAAGAAGGCGAAGCCATGCTAGCAGTTGGCCTTGTTTGTTTGTATTTCCGTTGATTGCGGATGATGGCCCTCCTTTTCCTGTAGACCGGATCGAGCTCCCAGGAATTTACAGGTAGCGAGATACAACTCAACGAGACAATTTGCGCCGCTGCCATTGCCATCGCCATCACCATCATTCAATAAATAGGGCCTGGTATCTCCGACCTTTGACTGTCTTTCCGGGCTTAGACAGTATCTCCGTCCAGTGCATTCCCATTCCCTCCGGAGTTTGGACCTGCCTATCTCGTCGAAGACGGGGAGAGGGTGTGAGGTGAGGTGGACGGATGAAATCCTGATTACTGTATCCGTACCTATATTGTACTCATCCACAACCCTACGATCCAGGAAAGTACTAGAGTGCTAGGCAGCAAGGCAGACGGAAAGACCATCTGTGACATGAACACCAGTCGATTCTTGTTAGACGGGACGATTCAACTTTATTTATCGAAGTGGGCGTCTCCGGACCCCAGGCGAGCCTCGCAGAGACTAGACACTCGAGACAGACAGCCTTGTCGAACCCGAACCGCGGCAGAAAGAAGACTTAGGCTTTGTCTCGGCCCAACAGTGCCTAGCTATCCGTAGTTAGGACACGACACAACATCGACCTCCTCAACAATAAGAGTATGTAATTATATAGTAAGAGAGATATGTTTGATCTCACCCGCTTATAGCCGTAGCCTAATTACCATGTACCTTTTGCAGACATATTCATTCAGTCCAGTACAGTGGTACAGTGGCCAACTTGTGGATAGAAGGATATAAAATTATGTACGGCACAACATGGATACGGACGGTCTCAGATCTACAAACACAGGCATCATTACTAATTAATTCCATATTGGTGATATCATATTCAAATGAAATCAATAATAAAAACTATTTAATAGTATGAAGTCCAGTCTGACTAGCTGGATATCAAACTACGTTGCCCACCTACCTACCTACCAGCATCTCCTCGTCCACCGCAGCATAGCTCAGAGACGAGACGACATTCGATTCCTCTCGATCAAGGAGAAGGAGATTGAGCTTTCCGGTAACTATTACGGTAACGGCACATCCGATCCGAGCCTTGGTTAAGCTATTCCGAGGGCAATTAATCCCACCACTACAACAGTTGGATTGATATCAGATATCAGATATCAGTCCTCCGTCTTCGCTACTATAGGCACGAAATTGACCCTACCCTACCTTAACGACTTGAAGAGCGCCACGGCATAGAAGATCACGAGACTAGGTGCCCGACGACCACGGCCACGACAGCAACAGCGACAGCGACAGCAACCAACGACCACGACCACGACCACGACAGCACAACGACCACAACAGCGACCACAACAGCAACCAAAAATGTCGACTCTTCCCAACACGATGCTAGAAGCGCTCGTGTTCTCCCCTCTCCGAGTAACGGTGCACCGCACCACGATCCCCCAGCCGCGAGAAAACGAAGTGCTGATCCAAGTGGCCGTGGCGGGCACGAACCCGAAAGACTGGAAAGTGCCGTTCTGGCGCGAGCGCGACAACGGCACCAACCAAGGCGACGACATGGCCGGCGTGGTGGCGGCGGTGGGCGCGGCCGTGACGCAGTTCAAGCCGGGCGACCGCGTCGCCGCCTTCCATCAGATGATGACGCCGGCCGGCTCGTACGCCGAGTACGCGCTGGCAGCCGACCACGCGACCTTCCACCTGCCGCCGCACGTGTCGTTCGAGGCCGCCGCCACCATACCACTGGCGGCCATGACGGCCGCGCTGGGCCTGTTCGCCAGCCTGGGCCTGCCGGAGCCGTGGGTGGCGCGCTTCCACCCGGATCGACTGCCGCGAGGCGGCATCGTCGTCTACGGCGCCGCCAGCGCGGTTGGCGCCTACGCCGTCCAGCTGGCCCGCTGGGCGGGTATCCATCCCATCATCGCCGTCGCCGGGAACGGCATCCCGTTCGTCCAGGGCCTGCTGGACCCGGCCCGCGGAGACGTCGTCGTCGACTATCGCCAGCCCAATGACCATGTCGTCCGCGACATCAGGAACGCCGTCCCGCCCGGCCAGAGGCTGGAATATGCCTTTGACGCCGTGAGCGAGAAGGCCAAGTCATCGTACCGGAATATCTGTCAAGTGTTTGCCACGCAAGGGCAGGGCGGTGCTGGTGCCGCCGCCAGTGGCGGTGGTGATGATCATGTCGGTGGTGGTGCCGGTGGTGATGCCGGTGGTGGTGTCGGTGGTGTCGGTGGCGGCCATCTGACCCTCGTTCTAGGCGACGTCCTCGACGATCCCGACATCCCCCCCACCGTCCACAAATCCTACACCATGGTCGGCTCCGTACACGACAAAGACAAGGATTTCGGATACGCCTGGTTCCGGCTGTTCGAGCTCGGCCTCAAGGACGGCCTGCTCGCCCCGCACCCGCATACCGTCGTGCCCGGCGGCCTGGGCGGTGTGGAGGAGGCGTTGAGGAATCTCAAGGAAGGGAAAGCCAGTGCTACGAAATATGTCGTGCGTATTGCTGATACGAAGGAGTTATCTGGCGAGGGGGAGTCGAAGTCCTGAGTCGAGGAGTTGCACTCGGCGAGGGGGAGTCCTGATACGAAGGAGTTGCAATCTGCCGAGTCGAAGTCCTGAGTCGGAGCCGACATTGAGATCAGATGCTAGATCAGATGCTAGATGCTAGATCCTACATGCTACATGCTACATCCTAGATTCTAGCTTCTATACTGGCTAGGTGCTCGAGGCTAGAATATAGGTGCTACATTCTATACGGACTAGATCCTAGAGACTAGGTGCTAGAGGCTAGATGCTAGATGCTGGATGCTAGAACCTACACTGACTGGGTGGACTGGGTGCTAGATTCTAGAGGCTAGATGCTAGATGCTACATCCTAGATACTATGTGCTATATGCTAGAGACTATATGCTAGAGACTATATGCTAGAGACTATATGCTAGAGACTATATGCTAGAGACTATATACTAGAGGTTATATGCTATATGCTAGGTGCTAGATCCTAGCTCCTAGATCCTAGATCCTAGATGCTACATCCTATACTGACTAGGTGCTACGTGCTACGTGACTGGAATGGATAAAATATATGTATATATCTACCTAAGGTGTATATGGAGCACTGCCTTCCACTGCACTGTTTACCACCCCAGTGCTTGGGTAGATGGTAGATGGTAGATCAAATAAGATGCTCGGTCTGCTAGTCAAGACAAGGCTGTTGTGTCTGATATGATATTAGTGTGGTGGTACAGGTACAGGTACAGGTACAGGTATAGGTTTAGGTACAGGTACGCACGGCACTTCTCGCCATATCAAACTGCTGTAAATGGCGAGGAGGAGGATGAGGAGGATCTCCCTATTGCAATCATCTTAGACACCTCAACGTAACCGTCTCCTATTCCTATTAGACCACAACTCAACAGAATTCACAATACTCACGGGCACAGCTGCTTGGACTCGTGCAACCGCTCGACTTTCGATGAATGACCCGGCTCGTAAGGCTACGTCAAGGCAAACTCGGAGCAGGACTCAACCGCTCGACTTTCGATAATGACCCTGCCGTAGGCTATGTTATGGCAAACATCTATCCCCTCGAAGCAGGACTCAACCGCACCACCTTCTCCGGATTCAAAAGTCCCAACGGATCCAACCCGACCTTGAGCCTCCGCATCGTGTCGACCGCGTCCACCCCCAACTCGTCGATTAGCCGGTCTCGCTTTTCCAGCCCGATGCCGTGTTCGCCGGTGATGGTGCCGTCGGCTTGGATCCCAAACTGTTCGACTTCCAGCACCAGCTTTTCCGCCTTCTCTTTTTCCGCCGGGTTGTAGAAGATGGCGGCATGGACGTTGCCTACAAGGATACATGACATGATCAGTCATGGTCAGGAGAACTTGACATGATTCATGTTGATAGGGTACCGCAACATCCACCAATCCAAAACTGAGGACTTCAACTCACCGTCTCCGACATGGCCACAGCACGCACCCACCAGTCCGCTCTCGGCCAGTTTGCGATTCGTCACCTCGACCACCTGGGCCAAACGCGAAATCGGCACGGCCAGATCGGTGCCGAGGAACTTGTCGTCGGGGTCACGCTTCAACGTCATCAAACTCCAGAGCATGGTCTTCCTGGCCTGCCACAGCGCATCCGACTCTTCCTGGTCCTTGCCGAACTGGAAGGAACGACAGTCGGCGTCCCTTGCGATCGCGCGGACCACGTCGACCTGCTCGGCCACGACGGCGTCAGAACCCTCGAACTTGAGAAACAAGGCCGGCGCCTCGTCAAAATCCTTGTGGCAGTATCCCGATCGGTTGATGGCGCGCATGGACGGGCCGTCCAGCAACTCGAGCGCCCCGAGCGGAAGACTCTTCTGGACCATTTGGACCGCGGCGTCGACGGCGTGCTGAACGGTCGGGAACGAGACCACGGCAACTCGCACGTTGTCCGGCTTACTGGTCAGTTTCAGCGTCGCTTCCGTCACGAGGCCCAACGTGCCTTCCGACCCGACGAAGAGACGAGTCAGATCGTAGCCGGCGGAGGATTTTTTGGGCCTGCGTCGCGTCTTGATCACCGTCCCGTCGGCCAGCACCACGGTCAACCCCAGCACCCAGTCCTTGACCGTGCCGTGGCGGTACGCCGATGTGCCGGAACAGCCTTGGGCGATCATGCCGCCGATCTGGGCGCCGGGGCCCGGATCCGGCGGGAAGAACAGGCCGTGCCGGGCAAGGAGCTCGTTGAGCTCGAGGTAGCTGACGCCCGGCTGCACGGTCACGTCGAGGTCGCGCTCGTGCACCTCCAGCACTCGGTTCATGCGCCGGAAATCAATGCACACTTCGCCGTGGATCGCCGCGAGAGTCGCTTCGAGACTCGTGCCGCCGCCGAACGCGATGATGGGCAGGCGCCGCCGATGGCAGACTTGCACGATGCGGCTCACGTCGTCTGTCGTCTGCGGGTACACGATCAGACATGGTCGGTCGAGCTCGCCGCGTGGCGCGGGCGACCAGTCGGTGCTGGAGCGGGCGATGCGCGCGCTGAGCGTGTCATCCACGCCGTCGGCACTGAGAATGCCCACAAATTCCTGCTGCGCGCCGAGGATGTTGGACTCGGAGAGGTCGTATTGTGGCGCAGAGACGGACTCGAGGGGCGAGGTCGAGGTTGAGGTCGAGCCTATATCTCGTCCTGCGTCTTCAGGTTGTTTGGGATTGGGTTCAAGCGCCGATAGCCCGCCAGAATAGTAGAGCACCGTAAGTACCGCCCCAGTGCCGACGAACACGCCGCCCAGGAAGTGTTCGGTCCCTTCTGCGCCCGTACCCTGAGACCCCCTCGATGTCGTCGCCGTCGCCGACTCTGAGCTGTCTGAAAAGGCCCGCCGCCATGGATGACAATGTCCCGCCCGCCCGCTTCGAGACTGTGCTCTGTACACACAGAGACGCGGTCGAGCTGGTGGGCATCGCAGGAGGGTTCGAAGGGCAGATTGCACCATGGCCGGGTGAATGGCCTGGAGCCGGACTGGAAGGGCAATCGTAATCGAGGGAGAAGGACAGAGAAGGATACATGGTAGAAAGAAGAAAGAAGCAGTAATACTAGTAGTCTTAAGGCCGAGGTGAAAACGCGAGCCTCCTTAGCTAACCCTTGCTGCTTGATTCGCGTCGACAACATTAATCACTGTAACCGTCCCTGCAAATATGGGCACTGGTAGCTAACTTATACCTGGTTTGAAATAGCGGATGGACAGATACACGGTGTGTGGTACATACGGAGTACAGAGTAAACGTTCAGCAGTTGGCTAAGGTGCGTCCTACAGTACGAGATACGAGGGTGGTGCCTGCGCCATCTTCGATCAAGAAAATATCCAACTAGATGCCAGATACCAGATGCCAGATGCCAGCTGCTCGATGGCAGGACTGGCGCTCTACTCTCTACGCTTTCACCCCATCAATCTTTCCCTCCCCGTCGACTTCCACCTCCCCCTCGACCTGATCTTCCGAGTCGGCCTCAAAGGCCCCCCAGCTCTCAATGTCGACCAGGTGACTCTCGCCCAATTCCTCCTTGACCACCAGCACCATTTCGTCCAGCGCGGTCAACAACCCCACCAGAGCCGACATGGCCACACAATACTTGCGAAACCCCTCCTCCTTGCGCTCAATCAGCTGCCGCGTCACGGGCCCAAGCAATTTTCCGACATGCTCTTCCTGTATCCGACCGGCACCAACACCAACCCGGTCGTTACGCTGGGAGAGGGAAGTATCCGCCGGCCCGTGAGTGTGGGCCTGCACCTTGACAATGCGATCTCGGAATGCCCGGACCATCAGAGGCGAGGGGAGCACGTTGGGCAAAGCTTCTCCCGTCTGCAGGCTGTGACTCAACAGACTCAGCACCGACATCAAGTCCCCCACAAAGTGCTCGCCAAACGCGCCCGAGAGCAGCCTGAACCGCTTCTTGAATACGTCCGGAAGACCCGATGAATAGGTAAACAATTGGGACAGGTGGAAATTCGCGTTGCCGGCCAGCGTCGTGATCCGTGACAGGCCGGCGGCGGTAAAGTCGGACGAGGAGAACTCAAAGCGTAGGAGCTGGATGGGGCCGGCAATGGCCCCCAACGTATCTGCGGTCCCGATGCTGGCCTTTTCCAGGCTCGACAGCAGATCCGGATTCGACCCTCGCTTGGCTGCATCCTGGGTAAATTCCGTGACGAAAAGGGCGTAGAGATCCTGGAAACCGGACAGCGTCCTAGACAGCACCTTCCGGTAATGGCGACCTGCTGAAGGTGGGCGAGGGAAGTACATGACGATTGCGGCCGCCCCGAACCCGATCATAACCAGCAGCATCCGCCGCCAGAAAACGGTATAGCCCACGCCGGGGTTGCCATAGCTGGGGATATGGGTGTCTACCCAGCTGTACGCCACCGTGAGGTAAGTGGTTGCCGTCGCGATCACAGATGCCTGAAAGAAGGCTGGAGGCCCAAAGAGCCGAAGCCACATGTAAACGATGATGAACGGAATCATGACGGCCGCGATTCCATAGGGGCTGCCCGGTCCGTTTCCAGCTCCGATATACCAGGCAAGCATGCCCAAGATACCCCCAATCACCGTGCCGACCATACGCAGAATGAGACCCCAGGTGAAATCTGCCGCATAGGGGACGAGGGTAATCTGTGCCATGATCAACCCCCACAATCCTTTTTCCCGGAAATAGAACCCGGCACTGGAAGGGAGGACGGCGGGAATGCCCAGGGCAATGGTCACAATTAGCACTCGGAGAGCAAACATGCCTTCGGTGTTGGAGAACCACTTGGTCACACCCAGCAGAAAGCGACCCGTGCGGCTACGGGTTTTGCCTCGACGAAGGTGGATGGTTTCAAGCTGGTCGGCCGCCGTGGGAGTGGCCTCGGGCTCGGCAACCGACTTTGCAGGCTGCACACTGTTCTTGCTGATCTGGCGGGTTGGTTGGCGCCGGAGTGCTGGGTCCGACTCCTCGCGCTCTCGTTCTAGCTCCGGGTTCACGGGCGTCACCTGGGGGGTGGATTCCCGGCCAAAGACCCAAGATGCCAGATGTCGCAGTCCCGTGGGTAGCCACACCCTGGCCTGGGTTCTTTCCTCTTCCAGTTTCACGACCTGGGCGACCAGATGCTCCAGGGCGCGCGCGAGGCTGAGGATGCGCTCTTCGAGGATCAAGCCGAGGACGACGCCTCGCATGGGTGACATGCCGCTGTTCGGAGGTGGATCAAAGAAGCCGTGCTCGTCGAAATAGTGGGAGTGGGGATCGAGGAGCCGTGGAGGAGTTTGCGCCACAAAGGTCTTGGATTCCTGGCGCAGCGATTGAAGGATCTCGCTATGCTTCCTGCGGGCAGTCTGATATGCTTCCGGTGACGGTCGGCCATAGAATTTCTTCTCGTTGACCATGGTTAACGCCTCCGCCACCCCTTCTATGGCGGCCGTGCAAGTGCTCAGAAGAGGATCACTGGTCTCTTGGAGAGCCGCCAGGCTCTTCATGACCAACTCTTCCGATTCGGCGTTCTGGAATAACCGTGCAAAGTCAAGCTGCTGGGCGAGCTGGTGATGGCCAAATCTGGGCTGATTGCCTGGAGTGTCCCCTTTCTCGTACGCCTCTGCATGCTCACGAAGACGAGTCATCCGAACACCGGCCTCGACACGAGTGATCTGAGATTCGACAAGGGCAGCGAACGCAATGAAGACATGCTTCAATGGTTTCGTCAGGAGCGCGATATCCTCGGCGTTCCAACGACCGAAGGAGACGTCCAGAGGGAGAAAGGCCAGCTGTGATTCGAGGGCTTTGTAACTCGCAATGCCAGATGCTTTGGCTTTCCGTAGCCGGTCAAGATCCATTGGTCCTTGAGAGTTCCCAATCCCGATTCGGCATGCGTCGATAAACTCGGCCATTGGGACAATCAGTTCCTTGACGTTGCTCAATACGATGTGCGATGTCGATTTGGGAAAGAACAGGATATTGCAGACGGTGCCCACCGCGACCGCAGTCGCCGCAGGTTTGATTAAAGTAGTAGGGATCAGTGGCACAAACGAAGGGAGGATAGGCCCTGTGGTCAAGAAGATATCGGCGACAATGATGCCAAACATTTGCACCAGCACTAGCTTCGGGGCCGCGACACGCAGACGTGCCTGTAGACTTTTGTGAGGATGGCGACCAAGGATCAGCTGGGATGGGGGCCGACTTACAAAGAGATAGATGAAGAGACAGATCATGCAGAAGTAGACGGCGGTGACTCGCGCATCAAGCATGAAGCCGTCGTAGATCAAAATCTGGGCGTAGGAGGTTTGTCCCGTCAACTGGGCCACGTTGGTGGCGTTTCGAGTCGCCTCCTGCTGAAGCTGGCCCAGGCGCACATTGGTCTCGGCCTGAGACCTGGCGGCCAGGGCTGCCTTCATGGTGATGAGGCCCCAACACCAGCCCAGCGCCATTCCCAGCAGGATGGTGGCGCCAATCATGACCTGGAGCAAGACGATGCCGGAAGGAGGAGCGATGAAGAGCACGATGCTTCCAAAGAACAGGGCTTGGCCTTCGGCCCGCAACGTCGGGTTGATGACGATGAACAGCGTCAAGATCCATACTGCCACGGACGATTTGAACAGTTCTTTGAGATCCTTTGCGTTGAAGTGGTCCAGAATCGGGGGGAGCTTTGCTTTCGCTTTTTTGTTGGTGTTGGTGTTGGACCGCTTGGCCGACTCGAAGAAGGAATTGGAATTCGGCTCCGAGGCAGTCTTCTCGTTTGCCCTTGCGTCTGCGTTGACGTTCTTCTCGTTTACGTTTGCGTTTGTGTCTGCGTTTCCGTTTGCGTCTGCGTCTGCAACTGCGACGGCATCCTGACGGCTCGACATTTCTCTCTCTCGAAAAATGCGGAATCCAGCCAAGGGAAACCGGAGCTGGTCCTGTGCCTCCTAACTAACTATACCGGGCCGCCATGAAACGAAACAGGGGAATGAAAAGACCGAGACCGAGACCGTTGTCAGAATGGAATGGGTAAACAACAAAACACTATTATGTATGTATGTATGTACAATGTCCAATGTACATTAACAGTAGTAATAACAGTAATATGTGGGACGAGCGAAGAAACTGGGAGTGAGCAAAGAGCTGCCAGTGCGGCAGTCATTTGCCCAGATCCGATGTCAACAAGACACAAGAGATGCGGCAAGATTGGTCGGTGGCCGGTGCGTGGGTGCGTGGTCGACGGCATAATTGCAACATTAATCTTACATAATTCTTTCCCATCTTGCTCTGGGGGGAATGCATAAAATGCCATGCCCAAATGACCTAGGGTTAGGGTTATGACCTAGGGTTAGGGTTAGGCCACCAGTCGCTGTTACAGTACTCCGGACACAGTCCAGCGCCTATGGCCTTAGTCTCTATGCTATTAGGTAGGGAGTACAGCACCTAGATGGCACCTAACATAACATTAGGAGGACGAGGCCTAAGGAGCCCTTAAAGCTACCTACCTAAAGGTAAGCAAACTACACTTCCTGTCGCCTATCGTGGCCTACATACCTCCGGGGGGCATCGGTGCGCATCAGTGGGAACTCCTACAGTACAGGTACCAAGGCTGAAACCATACAGATTGGCTCCCCCGGCATCTGTTGTCTTAAGAAAAAAACAATCTGTCATCCCAACCGCAATGGAATTCTCATCTCGACTGGATTATATCTTATATCCGGTCTGTTGTCTGTTCTGTTTTGTTCATTTCACTCATGATGGTCATCCGTCGAAATTCATTAAGACGCCTTGTTCATCACCACCACATTCACCAAAACACACATGTTGCCATCCTCCCCGATCAGTCTCCGATCAGTCTCAGTCTGTACTCGATTCCCCTCCATCCACTTGGTCCTCGTCGTCATCCATCTCCGCCGCATCTGGCGTGACAAGCTCAACCGCATTGGTCACTGCCTCCCCATGCGCCGGCCCTGCTTCTTGTCCGCCCGTGACCGCAAGCCGCGGCCCATCAACCTCATCCTGCACTAGAATGTCCGGCAAGGCGAGAGCAGCCAGCGACCCAGGCCGGAACTGCTCCCTCAACCGCTGAATCCGGCGAATCAAATCCCTCGCCAAAGCACCCATGTCTTCCAATTCCTGGATGTCATGCTGCTGCCCAGAGCCGGTCTGTGGTACAGGCTCCAAGCCAGACCCTACTCGGGGGCTGGTGTCATGAGGTTGGACTACTCCAGGATATTGGGTGTTGAGACTCGTGAAGAACTCTACCAATCCATCAATTGCCTCTTCTGCCGTTGAGGTGGCCCCATGCGTGCCAGACTCGGCTCGTCGTTCTTCCAGTGGCTTCCGTACCTTGTCCTTCTTCTTTTTCTTGTTCTTCAGTTTCTGGGAAGCCGACTGGGCGCGAAGGAACATCTCTGACTTCCGCTTGCATTTGCCTGTCAGCATTCGGTGCCAACGACAATTTGGGCAGAAAAACAGTGAAGTGTCCGAGGCAATGCTGCTGCTTGGACTTGTGAAGGTCATGGGTAGCCCGCCACCTGTGCCACCTGTGCCACCTCCGACTTCCGCCTGTGGAGCTCGGCATCCTTTGCAGGGACACGGAGGATCAAGTGCGTTGGTACAGTCACCACACACGTTAATCTTGCACTCAACGCATTGTCTCATCACTGCTGTACATCTCCGTCTGTGGTCTCCGGGGGGACGAATCGTGGGGCAGAAAATTGCCTGGCAACCTTGCCATTGGGGCATCGTCGGGATCTCCGAGGGGGCTCGGCGGCGAGGTGCCGTGCTTGCTTCGACGGCGGGTGGCATTGAATGCGTCGAAGGCGTGGGCGATGTCGAGCGGGAGAGTGGGCCAGTACTGTTGGACGCGGGCGAGAGCGGTCGATGAGGCAGATCGACCTCCACCAAAGGAGCTCGCAGTTCCCGCAAAAACTGTCCGACCTCCGAGGGGATTGGGGTCGTGTCCCGTGCAGATCCTTCCATATCTCCGGATCGAGGCTGTGTCAAAGGTTGTACCTGCAGAAATGTGGAAGACATCGGATGTGATGCCTCAGAGTCATGGGTTTTTGTGCTTCGTCCGGCCCCAGGCTCAGTATTGGCATATTTTCGGGGTAGCATTTCTTTGCGGTGGCGCATGAGCGTCGTCAGTAACTTGAGGGCCTTCTGACGCGACCTGTATTCTTGTTTTTCCACGGCAAGATCCTTGTATCCGCAGATCCTGGCCCTGGCACGGTCACCAATGTCATGCTTCAGACACAGCGCGGTTGAACAAGCCTTGCATTTGACCTTCCAGTGCTCGGAATTGTAGCATTCTTCGCACAAGACGCGAGGCACCGAGACGGCATGGTGTCCTCCACAATTCAAAGCAGCCACAGTTTGGAAAAGACTGTCGATCGAAGACCAACGACCTCCAGGGCCTTCTTTGGTGGGGCTTCGCGACGGGGCCCCCAGGGTCGGCGCGTCGAAAGAATCAGACTCTGGCCGATTAGGGTCAAATTCGGCATCCTCCCATCCTTGCCCGGGCGGAAGTGGTGCTGCACGAATACGATCAGTGTCCCGACTGAAACTGCTACCAAACGTGATGCCACCTCCACCCGAGAAGACTGGTTCGGTACAACACCATCTGAACTTGATGTTGGGAAGTGTGTTCATCATGATGCCTTGAGCACCGTTCCCGGCTCCAGGAGGAGGCATATCATGGTCTTGCATGGAGCAAGGAGAGACAGCACAACCGGGCGCCCACCAGAATCTGTTTTTCTCTTCTTCGGGCGCATTCTTGTTTCGCAAATATGGCCGGTCGAAGGCGCAACTGGCACAAAGCGTTTTCCGGCACCCCGAACAATGCATCATCACCGAGCACTGCTCGCATCTCTCGAGGATGTCTGCCGAGCAATTCTGGCAGACGATGTTCTGGACAAACTTTCGGTGAGAATCACGGAGATGGGTGGGCATCGCCTTGCCTTCAAGCCCTGTTCCAATGGCCTCACCGTTGATCGCTTCTTCGTCAAACTCCCAACTTCTACAATCACGTTTGCGTTTTCGACCGAGAGCGTCATTCGAGGCCTTGGGCTGTTCCACGGGACCCAGCCAATTACGACTTCTCCACAGTCGATCATAAACAACCCACACTTCGCGAGGGTCCTGTGGCATCCGCATTTTGACATATCCTCTTCTGCGATAACACCGAGCGCCAGGGGTGGTGCACCAGGCAGTATCGGTCCAGATTCCCAGTTTGTGGCAGGTGAGAACCAATTCATGCGTGGGTTCGCTGTCACTCTCCTTGCGCGCCAAGCTGCTTGGTAGATACGGTCGTCTCCTATGATGCCGACACCTGTAAGTATATAGACTCTGCAACGCAAGCGTCTCGAACCCAGGTGGACCGTGGGCGGCTGTAGATTCTCGAGCCAGGGCGTGCATCTGCAGCCACGGATTGATATGATACTTCAACGAGACGTTCTTGCAGCCTCGCACCGACACGTGTAAGAGGGTATCTCTCCTCAAGATGAGGACAGTCGAGGTCAAGGTCGCGCCACTGACTGCGGTGTTGTCCAATTCGAGGCTGACCAGCCTCGTGCTGAAAGGATTGATGATGTTGAGGAGGATTTGATCGAGGGCATAGTTGCTGGACTGGCGAGGGCCATTGAGTGTGCCGGCAGGGGCAGCCGGCGCCGGCGGTGCTGGGGTGACGGTTGGCTGGTATAAACGCCAGGAGATGTACCGCCATGAGGTGGGCGACTTGGAGAAGAAGTCCCGTAAGGAGGAGGAGGTTTGGTAGAGTCGGAAGATGGTCTCGGTCGGCACTTGGACAAGTAACGATTCAAGTATCGGAGGGTTGCAGGTAATTAGGAGCTCGAATGGCGAAGGGGATGTGCGTGTTGACCCTGCTGTAGCGGCCATAATGAGTAATGCCGTTGGACGGTGATGGCCCAAGTCTAGAGGCAGTCGAAGACCGAGCACACATATTTCAGTTCAGGAGATACTGTCAAGAGAGTGCCAAAAGATGGTAGTAGATCGTAGCCGTCGTAGCCATAGGCGAGTCCAAGAGTTGAGGTGGTGCTGTGAATTTACGCTGCCAGTGTGACATGGCGTGCAGCCTAAAGTGATGCTGGTTGCAGGTAGGTTTGTCAGAGGCGCAGGGTGAAGGTCACGGTCATGTGACAGGCAGGTTGACGGCAGCCTTGCCACAGGATGACACAAGCAGAGTACATTTCGGCCTCCGAAGGTCCGCGAGTTGAGGTTACATAAATAAGCAATCACAAACAGTACGGGAACAGCCTTCTTCTAATATGGCTTTTGGAGTCTTCTGATCTTTTTCCAAGTTAGATACTAGAATGCCTTCACTGCGAAAAAGGGATGTTCTCGGTCGGTCCCAGGCTTCATCAGGCAGTGCTGCATCAAAACGCTATGGCTACAGCTCTCCGGCATATCCAAAAGACCTCTGGCACTATCATCTCGGCTAAGCATCCAAGGACTAGCGATTGAAATGCACTTTGGGGTTCATGGTATGCCCGATTAGTCGTCGGATCAGATGAAGCGCTGTGGACATGTTCATATTTGCCTTGCAGAAGCAACCGTACATCTTGGCATCTGTAGCCTTACATTGTGGAAACATGAAGGACATCGGACATCCAGCCCGCCATCCAGCTGCCTAGGTGATGCTACCCGGGAGCAGGTTGCCATGAAGATCAGACCTCCTACCTCATGCTAAATGCAATGAGCCTCTAGCGCAATCACCCCAAGCAACAACCGTCGCTCGCTCTTTGAAATGCTCCTTGGAAAAATTCCTCCATAGCCATATAGTGAAACAGAATCCCGCCCAAGACTGCAAGGTGCCAGATGTTGTGGCTGCCCCCTACATAATCAAACAAGCCAGGCGACCACTTCTCGGGGATCTGACTTGCATAGATGATGGCTCCTGTAAGATATACCATCACACTCTTCGTCACTGGCGCATAGAAGTAAAAGGTCCAAGCTGCTCCCCGTGTGTAATTCAACTGCACGACCGGAGCGAACCCGGTGACGGCGAGAGTAACAAAGAAGGCCACTCGAGCCCATGCCATATCGGCGCGGTTAAAGCTCTCTCGCCAGGGTAGGATCACCCCGGCTATTCCAAGAATGGTTGTCATGGTCATGTAGATCGTCCGTGAGATGGGTTCGCAATAGAATGCCGTCCACTCGGTGCTCAGTATACTGGCCGCCACCAGAAATGAGATTCCAGTATAGTCGACACAAGCGAACCGGTCAAGTAAGCATTTATCTGCGATGCTGTTCATAGTATGCCACATTGTTGAGCAGATCAAGCATTTACATGCTGCGGCGAAAAAGCAGGCGGCCACAAAAACATCCCATTTGCTGGACATGGGAAATGTTGACGACGAGGGATAGTAGTAGAAGGCCACGGCGAGGACAACGATCAAGCCTATGCCGTGAGACCAGATATTCACGGTCTCATTTGATGGCTGGAAAGCTGATGTGATGCACTCGAGCTTTGTCCTGTTAAACCGATAACCACGGAGAATGTGGGGGTTGTTCCTCCAGGGAATTGGCAGGTCGTCGTAATGTATCAGCCTTGTCTCCGCAGCGCGGCTCAAAGCATGAGTAATCGAATCAGAAAGTAGGTCTCGAGCACGAAGAGCCTTGTCAATGCCTTCCTCAAATATCTCCCTAGTCGCGTTCAGGGAGTCGTCGACTTTTCTCCAACCGGAGTCGATGAGCTGTTTCTTGCGTGCATGTGCGCGAGACTCCAGCTCCGAGAGGTATGTCTCCATCAATCGCATGCCCTCTTGAGCCCTCTGTTCCAGCGTTTCTCGAGTCGGCATGACATCGTTGTATTGGGTTTCCAATGTCTCAACAAGCAGGGAAGCACGGTGTCGCGCTGCCCCCCATAGAAGCTCTCCCGAATGGTATGGTGAACACGAGTCCCTCACATCTCTTAGTGCCTGGTATGCACTTTCGAGTTGGGCGTCAAAATGAAGCAGACTGTCTTGCCGATATCTCTCCAACCGGTCCAATCTGCTTTTGAGCTCGGTCAGAAAAAGGTCAACCCGCACGAAGACAGCATCAGCACTACAGATGCTTGACTGTCGCCGTCTCGATGTATTATAGGAATGCCGCCGGCCCCTGTAGCGCAGCGGCCTGCGCTCATCTTCACTGGACGGACTCGAATCCCGGCAACCAGCTGAGGGCGACTCAACCGCTACTGCGGGCATAGTGCAAGACATGTCGTCTTCGTGTGGCTTCACGCGGCAGGCTTGGAGGTCTGGAAGAGGTTCAACGTCGATGATGGCAGAGTTCGTCAGTTCGTCAGTTCGTCAGTTCGTCAGGGTCAGATGGTCATTGAAAAGCGAGGCGGGGTGTAGCTTGGGGTGGCGACGCGAGCTCGGACGATTGTGGCTCAATGTCTTGAGACGTCGAGAGTTTAGACGGTAAGGACTGACTGCGAAGGAATGGATGATTTAATACCAGTACCCGTAGAATTGAAGTTGGGTGGCGCTTTGACAGCCTGACGTCGTGGTAAGAGGCTGAGTCCAAACGATGAAGCACGTTTGATTGACGAGGAGAAGCACTGGTTCCGGCAGCTTCGTGTCATTTGAGCTGGTTGACAGGCTTTCGCGGGGAATGACACAAGTGACAGCAAATGACAGCCAACAACGGGCAAATGGCCTACTAGCACTACTATTCCTTAGCCACCGCCGGTCGCGGACTCGCCCGTCGTAGGAGTTCGATCGTACAGTCTCATATCCATTGCTGCTCGACTTGCCTCTTCACATGCCATGCCCGTCACGTCCAATTGGTACAAATGTGCTGGCCTTGTACCTTACCATCACGGTGTTGGTCCTCGCCATGCCAGACCAAACTTTGCACCGCGAACTACCATTGGATACGAGGTTCTTATCAGAAGGCTCACGTCGGCCTTCAACTCGTCCAAAACCCCTCTGGGCCCTTGCATCGTGATCGTCCACCTCACATGGCCGAGATCCTTACGATAAGAGGTCTTGGGCGCCATCCCTAAACAGCTTCTGCATCCCCAGACTGGAGATTGTTATTCTGCCACTGCCACTCTTGACGATTGGTCAGCTTGATTCTTGCCCTTGTCTATCGGCCGACAACGTCCTGGTCACTTGATTCTTTGCATCTCTCTTGCGAAAGTGTCCTTGTATCCAACATCGATACATTTTGATCCGCCTTTGTCGATTGACGATCAACCGACGATCCACATCCAGATTCACCACGTCGAACCCGTCGCCCCAGATAGTTTCGAGCTCTTCCTTCTCGAAGAAGTATACCCTGGTGCCGTCTCCTCGAACGTAGAAATTATCTTGCATCCATCTCCCAGCCTTGAACCGTACCTGCGCAAGGTCGCCTCTGCCGTAGTCACGGAACAGCACCTCTCCCCCAGGTTTGAGAACGCGGTGGATGTTGGCCACAGCCTGTTGCCATTGTGTAGGATGGAGGGCTGAGAAGATAAAGATCATGATCACAATGTCGACACTCCCCTCTTCAACGCCTACAGGCAGATCCTCGCCAGCAGCATCCCAAACATCCGCCTGCATGACTCCTTGGGAAGCCGCGTACTCGTCGGCGCTTCGCATAGTCTCCACCGCCTTTTTGCTGAAGTCCACGGCAAAAAGCTTCAGGTCCGGGTTCTCATTCATCCTCAAAATCGGGAACGCAGTGTTTCCGGCACCCGCGCCCACCTCCAAGACTGTCCTCTCACCCGCATCATTTTCCGTGACCGCTTTCAAGATGGGGAATTCTTGAACCAACCACTTCCTATCCTTGAAAAAGGTACTGGTCTTCTGTTTATAGAAGAGATCCCACCACTTTTCTGGGTGTTGGTTGAATCGTGCCTGGTCGAATTCAGAGACTGGGGCGGCACGCTGCGCGGCATATTGAGATTCGCAGTACTCGTAGTGATTTTCGTCTGGAATGACATGGTCCCAAGCGTTATATTCAAAGACGTCATCCGATTCTGACAGATATCGCTGCCCGAACTCGAACGGGTCGGTTCGCTTTGCATTCGTTGCAGGGTCGTGAGAAAGGTGGGCGGGGATTGAGTCTGGCGATTGCGAAGAGGGAATCAATGGATGGGCTCCTTCTTGGATGGAGAGTGCTTCATATTGCGCTTGAAGATTCAGGGTACCCGTAGTATCCGAATTGCCTCTATCGGGTGCCATTTCGGTGGTGTCTTAGAGCAGGTTCGCGAGTGTTGATCGACGCTCTTCATGGTTCTTGTTCTCGATGGCGGGAAAATATTTCGCGCGGAGAATGTGAGTCTCCAATTGGTCAATACGTGGCTTTGCATTCAACCTCCAGCGTCGCGCCTCTTGTCTCCATGAATCTTCTCGTACTGTCTCTAATACCTGGTATCGAAGTCTCACCCGTTCCATGATTCTGGGCTGAAGATGGCTATCCAGAATCTTATTACCGATTCCAATCTTCAGCCTCTAAGGCATACCTCTGAAGCCACACTTGCGCAGACTCTCTCCATTCTCTCATGGCTAGAAGAACAGCCCTCTACTCCTACACCATCGCTAGACGTGAAACTTGACCTTGCTCAGCAACAAAAGACGCTCAATGCATGCCTGTCCAAGGTCCGCGGATTACATCGTCAAGCAGCATTTGGCGCCAGGGCGACGAAACAGGAGACTGCAGAAGCCAGACAAGAAGTGGACAGATTATTACTGCAGTTACAGAATCTGTATTATGAGCAGAGACACCTGAAAGGCGAGATTGGAGCGTGCGAGGGATATGAGTAGGTTCAGTTGCATTGTTAGAGCTCATTCGCTAATCCTGTAGTCATGCTTACATGCGTTTGCCCCTTCAACCTCTCGACGAATACCTCTCATTGTTCCCGGACCAGGCCAGACTACAGGAGCAGGAATTGATGCCACTGCGGATTGAGCACGAAAAGCAAGAACGTGAAAAAATGGAACACCAAAGACTACAGTTGGTGAAGATCAAAGATGGTCTAGTCAAAGAGAACACCAAAAAGAAAGACGAGCTTAAGAAGATGGACGAGAAACTTGAAGCTATGATCGACGAATTCAAATCTCTAGAAGAGGCCTTGGAGAAAGATCTCTGAACTGTCCTGGCCTAGCCAGTCAACCCCTTGTGATCCTCGGAACTTTCCACACACTTTGCCCCCTGACGATTCGCCGGAGACTTGGCCAGCTATTCAGACCCAAACATGAGTTTGTCGGAGCGTACGCCTATTCGGAAGAGGAAGTCTGGCCTGCATAACCAGGGGAATACTCTATATGAGACATCCCTTAGTGGACAACACAGGCAGTGGTATTTAGCAGAAGGGTCTATCATGGAGAGCACCTCAACCTGACGTGATCTGGCGAATACAACGTCATGTACGACTCGACACATCGCAATTAATCGATCAGCGCACACTTATCATGGTTCTTATCATGATCGGAAAGAAAAATCAAGGCCTCGACCGCCTGGGTGCACCGGCTCCGCCCCTGAGGGCAAGAAGGGAGGCGGAGATGGCGCCAACTGGCGGGAGGGGAGAGGAGGGAGGAGGGAGGAGGGAGGAGAGAAGAGTAGCTTGCTCTTAGCAAGCTTACTTCCGTCCTACAGAGAATTGTTGGAAACTGACCCGCCCTCTTTCCTGACATTGCCTGTGGAAATGCGGAATCAGATGTATAACACATCATTCCTGCCACAGCTAGCAAAATCTCTTGTCGTTTGTAGTGCTTCGAGACTTCCCGCCCGGAGCCTCGCGTCCATCAAGGAAGGGATACAATGGAAAAACTTTCAATTTCTGAATCCAGAGGCTAGCGGCTTGAAGAGGATTAGCAATCACATACGCATATACACTGGCTGCACTGTAGCTGTGCTACAAGTACAAGCGCACACTGCAAGTCAGGGTTCAATGGGTATAGCGCCGGTGGCTTGATCTGTGGTCCAGGCAGCATTCAACTGCATATTTACTGTATCTCTCTGTCCTCCGCCCACTTAAGGCCAGTGGTGAACACTAGTGTTTACTAGTATTTTAGCCTTAGGGCCCCCCGAGGGGTGTCTTAGGCGGCAGCCTAAGGCGGCGTCCTCCCCGCCTCCAAAGGGGGTTGAGTTGCGAGGCAGTGCTCAGCCTCAGGCTTCATCTGCTTGCGTCGGTGTCAATGGCCATTCTGACTGCCAGATGGCCTAGAGCTATTCACCTTAGGATCCCTCATCCCTCATCTCTTGTCCCTCATCCCTCATTCCCCCTAGGACGGCGACAGTATGACTCGGATTAAGTCTGCCTTCTCGTGCTGTGCTTCCCAGGACGGTCTTGACGCGGAGGCCCGACATGCTCGTATCGTCACAGTTACCAATGGGCCCTACCACGGCCGACTGGCGCAGAAATACCACGGCAACCCTCCAGACTACCGGGACATTGCGCAGCAACCTCTGATACGTCTCGATGAAAAGAACCCGGCAGACTTCCATCTGAGTATCGAGGCTTCGAACCAGTCGTCGCGGCCGGCATCACCCAATTCCTCACTGGTCTCGGTTCCCTCCACACGGGTGACAGATTTGACCGCCCTGCAAACGGGAGATACCGCCCTGACGTCCGCGAGAGGAAGCATGGAGCGAACCTTGACATACGAAAGCAGACCACCCTCATACTACTCAAATCTCAGAAGAAGTCCAAGTCCGATTTCCTCTGCTGGCTTAAACAGCGACGCCGAAAGAGATGAAGTCTGGCAACACCCGGTCATGAGAAGCAATTGGCTAGAGACACTACGGCAGGAAGCTCGCAGGCACGCTGCATTTGTTGAGGCGAGTGGAGAGCCCATCACTATCAGTGCAAGAGCAGCAGACCCGAGATGACCAGGAACATTACTACCCTCCTGGCTCAGAACCCTCGACAACACATTTTCTGGGGAGGAAAGCCACCAGTTCTGTCAGGGTCTGAGAATGACGAACTTCCCTTAAGCAAGAAGGTGGCAGCCGTGCTAGTCGGAGGGTTTCAGTGTCGCCTCTCTGGCTAACCTCAGAATCACCAAGACCAATTAACAACATAGAACACAATGGCCGCCACGCATAATTCGATACAATGCAGGAAATCAAGTGTCAAGGGACAATGTCACAGCTCGTCAGCACTGCCACGAGAAACCTAGTCCTCTGTAATGGAGGTTCTACAAATGCATCCAACTTCGCATTCGTTGTCTCGGGATGCAACTTTTTCAGGACTGGAGTCTCTGGTCCTAGACTAGGCGTTGAAGGTTGCACAGACAAGGGCTTTAGTGATCTGCGCAGACAGGGTCTTCCTCGATCTGAGTGCCGAAGCGCGGTGATGATTGCTGCTGACTACGTTGGCAATGATTTGGAGTCCAGATGACATTCAGAAATACAAGGGATAAGCACGGATCTGAGCAACACATACTCAGACGGGTAGACTTGAGGGCTCAAGAGTGCGATTTCTGTGGTATGCTAAGGTTGAATGCCCCCATTTACTAAAACAAGACACAGCATCCAAGCTGAAATGATTCAACGGAACCGCTGTGTACCTTTTCCACCGTACTCTTCTTGTCAATATTTGTGCCCAAGGCGCTCTTCCCAGTGTTCTGGACTCTTTCAGGGACCCATTCGTTGCTGGTGGGAGCATCCTCGGGTATATGCGCCAACTGCACGCCCGCCCAACATGAATGAAATGGACAAGACGCAACACGGATCTTTTGTACACACTGCAGGAAAGCAGATCTGCAACGCGAACTGAATGAGCTGCGAAGCCTTGGCCAGCCGCAAAATCCCCAATTCGTGCCTGTTGGCCGACTCCAATACCCCTGTGACCACGCTGTTATGGGGGCCCCGGACCCCGGAACTTCGAGCGCGATCGGGAAGAGCTGCATCAGATTCAGTGGTGGTTCTCATCTGTATTCGGTATAAAGGTCGCCCGGTCATGGCCTCTACAAAACTCTGCGGCCTCCTCTCCAGGCTCCCGGATTAACTACTGATCCCCTCAAACAACAACCCAGCCCATGTCATAGTGATTACTGCCAGCGCACTTCTCTATACCCAATACCGCAGCCTCCCGTCGCCAGCCTTGCCGAGCACGTCAGCACTGCACTGCACGTGACCGCAGGCCCTTGACACGTGATGCGGTCGGCCCGATCTCTACCCCGTAGTTCTCGAGTCCGAACTTTTCACTTTTGCTGCGCCGCGCCCGGCCTCCCCGACACGCCATGAATTAATCATTACCTAAGTAATTCGTTGGGTCCTCTGCGACTCCGACTAGAGATTTTCGCACGCATTGAATTGACGCTAGCCACTGGACAGGCGAGCTATGTCTTTTTGTCGAGGAAAGAAAGAGCGGCCTTTCCTTCGTTCCCCCAACTAGCAAGAGGACCGCGTCCGGGATCGATCGTCGGGCCGTCGACTCGTGTGTCTACATGCCGTTGCGGACGCGTCAGTAATTTGCCCTCCTTCGACTCCTGTTACGCCCTACGCCGTCGAGGAGAACCGCGTCAGTTACTGTTCTCCATTGACTTCTATCTTCTTTATGTCGTGAACATGGGAATCGGACACGGTCGCAATTGTCGGGTGGCAGCAGCAGCAGCAGAAGCAGGGTTTCTCCATTAGCGACCAACCCCACGAGTGGGTGTGCTGGGGTAGTGTCAGCAGGGGGTAGTGTCAGCAGCAGCAGCAGGCCCATGGGCAGGCCTCTCTTGACCCCGGAACAGCAGACATAAACACCGAGCCAGACACGCGATGATCCGGGCGTCGACATACTATCACAGCCACAATGACACGGCGTCGTCGAGCTCGCCGTCGTCGGCCGGGCTGGGCATCACGGGCGGGTACGAGGGCGACAGCCTGGCGCTGAAAGTGATGATCGCCTTCTTCCTCGGGCTGTCGATGTACAACGTGGTGGAACTGCAAATCCTGATCTTTGGCACGTTCAGCAAATTCCGCGGGCTGTACTTCTGGAGCCTGGTGGTGTCCAGCCTGGGCATTGTGCCGTACTCGCTCGGCTTCATCTTCAAGTACTTTTCCATCCTGACCGGCGGCGGCAAGTGGTTCTCGGTGTTTTTGCTGTCCATCGGATGGTACCCGATGGTGACGGGCCAGGCGGTGGTGCTGTGGTCACGCCTGCACCTGATCGTCACGGGCTCCAAGGGCGACACCATCCTGCGCTGGACCAAGTGGATGATCGTGGTGAACGCGTTGGTGCTGCACATCCCCACCACCGTGCTCACGTGCGGCTCCAACGGCAACACCGACACGGCGGTCTTTGTGCGCGGGTACAACGTCATGGAGAAGATTCAGATGTGCGGCTTCTTCGTGCAGGAGGTCATCCTCTCGTCCATCTACATCGCCGAGACGGTGCGGATCCTGCGCACCTCGGTGCAGGACAACACCAAACGCCTCATGTATCAGCTGATGGCCATCAATGTCTTGATCATCATCATGGACCTGGGCCTGCTCGGTCTCGAGTGCGCGTCGCTGTACATTCTCGAAACCATCACCAAGCCCGTCTTCTACTCGATCAAGCTGAAGCTCGAGTTCGCCATCCTCGGCAAGCTGGTCCAGTTTGTCGGCGGGCCGAGACAGACCTCCCGTCGCCCCGACAGCCGTCGGGATAGAGACCACGACAAGAACTGGGAGAAGAAACGGTCCTCGGCTGTTCCTCGTGCTGGAAGTGGCACCGCCCCCAGTACTACTGGTCATAGTTTGGGTCGCGGTCACAGTCGCGGTCACAGTCACGGTCACGGCTATAACATCGACATGGACATCTCCGACTTTGTCGACTTGTCCAAAGTCAAGACCGACGTGACTCACGCCTCCCAGCCGAATGCGAATCGCACCAGCGTCTCGATCCGACCGGATGGAAGAGATCTCAGCCTTGACTTGGAGATCGCCCGCATGGAGCACGTCGATACTCTCCCGTCCGAAGCTAGAGTCCTGAACGGGGACGGGGGTGTGGTGTCGTCGGTGGCGGCGGTGGCGAGACAGCGAAAGCCAGACATATCTGGCTCAGACGGGGATTGCCAGGATGTGTGAAGATCAGAAACAAGAACAAAGAACAGAAATATCAACATCATGTGTCTTGCATCATTCAGAAATATCAACATCATGTGTCTTGCATCATGACTAGGCAATTCAATTCATGTTGGCATTGCAATCTTAATCTCTCTGTTTGCTCGACTAATCAGTCAGTCTTTCAATTGACCAGTCAGAGTCAAGCTGCCACCGAAGCCAGCACATGTCACACACACACACACACACACACTTACTCACACACGGAAGATACCATCCTATTCAGTGTTCAGTGTTCAGTGTGCCGGACGTGCTCATATTGGCCATGGCCACATAAGCGTAAGCGTCCTCAAAGACACCAAGGAGCCTCGACGAGCCACGAGCCAAACCGACCGTCTCGGCGCGGATCTAGTGTTCTTGGGCCCGGTCCCCGATATCTTGCCACCACGGCCCCCTTGCTGCTTTTTGTGCTTGTCTCGATTGGCTCAGGGGCAACCCTCCTCCTCGAAGAATGGGAACTTGTCTCGATTGGCCCAGGGGCAACCCTCCTCCTCGAAGAATGGGAACTTGTCTCTACTGGCTCTGGTGTCAAGGCGTGATTGAACCCGCTGGCTAGCTCATTGATCGTGATGAGGCGACACCTCACCGAGGAAGGAAATCATCCAGGTCTCCGGACAAAGCGCGGCCTCCTTAGCCTTCCGTTGCGGTGCTGGATCCATGACGCCCACGACACCCACGACACCCACGACACCCACGACACCCACGACACCCACGACGCCCACAGGGGATCACCGACCGTTAAACCACTGTCGAGCTAGATCTTCGAAGACAGCTTGCCATCATTCCTCAGGACGCCGCCCTTTTCGGAATTACTGTCCGGCCATGCTGCAAGTGTACTGTATCACTCTGCCTGTCAATTCTTTCTACGAGGCGACCTCGTCCCGCCAGCCCAAGCCCAAATTCAAACTCGAACTAGCAGTCACAGTCACAGTCGCAGTCACAGTCGCAGTCGCAGTCGCAGTCACAGTCACAGTCACAGTCACAGTCACAGTCACAGTCGCAGTCGCAGTTCCAGTCACAGTCACAGTCCAGTTGCAGGCCATGTCGAGATTTCTCCAAGAGCGCACTTCTCCAAGAGCGCCGACTCAAGTAGATTGGCCGAGAAAGATTCGGTGGGCGCAGTCGTAGTCGCAGTAGCAATCGCAGTCGCAGTCATATCTGAGTCGCAATCTGGTCGCACTCGACCACGACATCGACACGTCTCATCTGCTCATGATGCGACTTACAATAAAATCTTTCATGGCTTTGGCCAAGCCGCCACTGCCACCGCCACTGCCACTGCTACTAGGTCTTCGACCCGCGGCGCTGGTGACGCTGCTCCCCGCAAGACTCTCTCGCCGCCGTCGATCGACACTAGCCATACTCTGCCGGCGCAGACGCGTGGTCTCGTTGTTCGGATGACCTTCACATGGTTCGGGGTCAGGGTCGGATTCGGATTCGGCAACGGTAATTGTGGGCCGATGGCGATTTGCGGCGCCCCCTGAACACGTCCAGTCAGTCCGACTGGGTAGCCACCCGAAAAGAAGAAGGCGCCCTGATTCACGCGAAGAGGAGATCCAGATGCATGGGCACAGCAAGCACAAAGGTCTACTCGCCCACGCGAAGTGGAGGTCGGGGACAAGTGCAGAGCGCTCAGCATACTCCGTATTCATACCAGGATTAGGTGGTTGGGGTGGTTTTGTGGTTGATTCACGTACCTATGCCAGTATGGGAATGGTATCCAGAATGGTAAGTAGCATGGTCTCCAGCATCGACGAGACCGACGCCCACACGGGGCTCTTGCGAGTCGTGCAGTAGCCAAGCCATCTCTTCGCCCTGGTATTCCTGCTCCAGTTTATGGGCCATGGAGATATTCCCGGCGCCGCCCACACCGGTACTGAATCTCCGACCGCCGACTTCGCTTGAGGGAGATGTTGAGGGGGACACAGAGAGGGAATCGAGGTCGAGGTCGAGGTCGAGGTCGTGGTCATGGTCGTAATTGTGGTTGTGGTGGTCATAATCGTGGCTTGGACGTCGAGTGGGTTGGGATAAAGGTAATGGTAAGGGTGAGGAAGTGGTGATATTCCCTAAAAAAACAGAACCGAAGCGACGTTTAGTCCATGAGGTCGACTGCCTGTGAGATGGGATGGGTGGGTTGATTATGCCAGGATGGTAGGGTGTAGGGCAGGCTGGAGCAAGAGATGCGGGGGGGAATATCCCACATGCAGACATGGGCAGACAGAGAGGGACACATATCCAGGCAGACAGACAGACACACATCATGGCAGACATGGGGAGGTGCACAGAGAGGGAGAGGGAGAGGGTGAGGGTGAGAGAAAGAGGTGTGAGAGTGTGTCGCTGGCCAAGTACTAATCAATGAATAAATAATGAATGAATATATATACACATACCTGCACCTCCGCGTCCGAAATGGACCGATCCCTTGCCACTGCCACTGCCACTGCCCAGCACCATGACTTTGACCTGAAGTTGAAGTGGAAGTGGAAGTGGAACTTGGAATTGGAATTGGACTTCGACGCTTTTGGCTTTGCTCTGGTTCTCACTCTGGTTTCTCTTTCAAAGGGATCTTGCTCTTGTTTCTGCGCTGGCCGTGGCCGTGGGCTCAGGTTCTCGTCGGTGGATCTCGTCAATTCTCGGCGGTGCTGATACCGACACTGGTACGGATACTTCGGCGTGTGCTGCGCTGCGCCGCGGGCCTCACGGACGAGAAATTGATATTAAATTGGATGAATTGACCTGGCTTGAGGGTGCTGTACTCGACGGGCGGAAAGGATTATCGAAAGCAATCATAAAGGAGGAAGAGGAGGAGGAGGAGGAAGAGGAGGAGGAAGAGGAGGAGGAAGAGGAGGAGGAAGAGGAGGAGGAAGAGGAAGAGGAAGTGGAAGAGGAAGAGGAAGAGGAAGAGGAATCGTCGAGGGTCAAGCGTCAAGAGTCAAGCTTCCAGGGTCAAGAGTCAAGCGTCAAGAATCAAGAGTCAAGAGTCAAGCATAAAAAAGGATCAGGATCTTAGAAGGTACGTGTGCAGAGAGGGATGCTGGTCGATAGATATAATATACGTAGGTAGGTAGGTATACATACACACCTATACATACGCACACATATACATATAGGACAGACACACCGACCCCTCTACGGGTAATAGAGTGTCTTCTTCAAGAGGACGCGCGTGTGCTTGTGCGTGTGCGTGAGACAACCAGCCTTTTAGTTCTACGAGTCTAGGTCTATAGTACGGATGCTGGAGACTAGATACGAAATCACCACATGGCCAACTTTTCAAGAGTAAGAGTGAAAGATGACCAGGTCACGCTCCGATCTCCCCTCCCCTCCCCTCCCCTCCCTCCTTCCACCGCAGCGCAGACCAGACGAGGGTTCAAAGCGAGTTGAGGTGAGTGGTCTACGGATACAAGGGTCAAGGGTCAAGGGTCAAAGATAAGAACAACTGAACTTGACTTGACGTGACTAACCCCAGCCAGACCAGACCAGGCCATGCCATGAATGGAAGATGCATGCATGGATACATGGATAAAGTCAGGCCAACCATGAATGGAAGATGCGAGGATGGATGGATAAAGTCAGCCAGCCCAACCATGGAATACGGATACAGCATCAGCAGCATCAGTAGTAGTACTCGTAGTAGAGGTACCGTTACCCCGGATTTGAGGCCCCCTCGCAGGTGCAGCTTTTCCCGAAGGATGAGGGACCCCCCAGACTTGTTTGTACGAGTACGGGGAAATAGAAATAGGAATAGGAATAACGGGAGTTGTAAGATCAGGTGATGGTGGTGCTGACGACCATGATAAAGATGCCAGTCGGTGATGGTGACGGTGATGGTGACGGTGATGGTGATGTGATGGTCATGGTTGAGCTTGAGCTTGATGCCTGATTGGGCGCCACCCCGCGACAAAGATAAGCTCGTAGGCCAAGATCCAACAAGCCTTATCAAGCTTTCGGGACCGGCTGCTTGGTGCTGGATTGGTGTTGGATTGGAGGATGAATTGGAGGGTGGATGGAAGTGGAGGTTGGTGGAAGTGGAGGTTGGAGGTGCAATGGAGTCTGGTTTGGCTTCGTCTGGTCTGGTCTGGTCTGATGGAGTGCCAGTTGAGGGTTGGTCGTCTTCCTCGACCGGGGAGGGGGAGCGATGGATGGTTAGCTGTTACTGGCACCCACCTACGACCTGCGACATAGGTGTCCCCCATTTACTACGTACATATGTACCTATCTATCATCTGTACCGCAGCGCAACCCGACTGTTCGGCATAGGGCAGAGGCGAGTCCATCGACACAGGACCAGAGTACTGATAGAAACCTACTACTACACCCATACTCTCTCCTTATCCTCTGCTGTCGGCCATCAGACGTATCCCTACTCGTGAATGGACGGTAGAATGCTTGTGATTGCACAATAGACTGGAACCCTAACCCTTGAACATGCGACAGAATCATCATCAATACCATCAAATCAGCCGGACCAAGGCAAATGGCAAAAAACCCAACCATCCGGCGCCTACGCTTCCCTGTCGGTCAAGAGTGGATGCTTCGACAACAAACCTCATAACCACACACTGTCCTTCGCCCGGCCATTCAATCAAACGCAATCCCCCATCGACATGCAAGACGCGGGCGTACATAGGTCGACAGGAAACCCACATGGCTGAAGGGAGATGAAACATAACCCAAGTCAGCAGTGCCTGTCCAAAATCAAAAATCAAAAACCAAAATATCCAGTGGGCATCGTATACACATTCGCTGTGGTGGTGCTGTGGTCCCAGTTTCCAATGGCGGTAGTCATTTGATGAGTGAAGAGTTGGAGTTCAGTTTGTACGGTGATGGTGAAGTAGTATGATGCATTTGTATGGCGTTGGATATTTTGTATGGCGGTCAGGTCCGGTGGCCGAGGCTATTCGTAAAGCCTTCATGTTTTGTTTTTGGAATGGTGGCGACAAAGGTAAGAGTAGGAATGTAAGATACCTCGTCATCACCCACCCCTCTCATCTTGTTTATACGCCGATGCCTCAAACACTTTTCATCACGGCTGGCACGCCTTGCCCACCTGATGTTGACGTTGACCGATCATTCCCCTTGGTCATGTCGGATCCCTCGACACCCTACACAGGTCATCCTCATGCTCGGATTCGTTTTGTTCGTCGTCCAGGTCATTTTGTCCGCCGGTCAGGCCATTTTGTCCGTCGCCCAGGTCATCATGTCCTGACTTTGTCCGTAGGTCTGTCTTTGAGATACGTTGGCGTATATCCCTGCGGGCCCGACCTTGTCGATCCAACAGGGAGAAGTGAACGGCTCGATTAAAGACCCGTCTCAAGGCGGCCGGATCGACGATCTCCTCCACTGGCTCGGGAGACGAGTCTGGTATGATGGCTGAGTGACCCGTGGGGGACGGGTTTGGCGGGCCATTGTCTAGACATGGGCTCAAAGGCTCCGGGTTCATGAGCTGATCTAGGGTCAGAGCTGTGGTAGAAGGCTTGCTTGGTAGTGGTGGTGACACTGCACGCGCGGACTCCAGTTCGGGCAGATCAGATATCTCCATCTCTAGCGGTGGGAGCGGTGGGAGTGGCGCCAATGCCAGAGACGGGAGTTGAAGGTCAGGGAGATCCTGAACGTGAGGCGAGTTAGGAGGACTCGATCCCTCCAGCGCATGGGCGGTGAAGCGGCTTTTGGTGGTTTGAAGAGCGTATTCGAGGCGTGCTTTGTGCCAGGCTTCGAAGTTCGAACATTGCGTGCCCATCTGAGCGACCGCAAATCGTCGTTCGTGCGCCGATTCGAGCATCGGGAAGTTCATCCTCTCCTGCAGTGGTGACCGGCCCTCGCGGTCGACAAAGTGTGCCAGGTTGTGTTCATTGAGGTCAATCCGCCACTCGTGTCCCAACTCGCTGGAGATTTGATCAGTCCTGTATGCTGGCGACCAACCGACAGCATACCCGATGGGTCAGGCTCACCTTGAGTTGAAGGATGACCATGGGATCATGATTGATTCCGTCAATGTGTAACTCCGTATGTGTAAAGGGTTGGTTCACAGCACTCCGACTGGATTGTCCAACTGGGCTGTAGCACTTTGCCTCCGGTGGTAGAGTAGGGGCGATGTCAAGACGGCAGCGAGGAAAGATTCGACCACCACGAACAGCGTCAGACCGACATTATGTCCAAAAACAATGCAATGGTACGCGAGCTCACTTCAGGAGAGATGTCTCCTTGTGGCGTGCCAGGACAGTGTGGGCCCCTTTTGCGCCGCAGTACGGTGATATGCCGGTCAGCGGGAGCTCGACTGATGTTTCGAGTGGGGCCGGAGTGTGGTGCTGGTGCTGGTGGTGATGTCGATGTCGATGTTGATGAGTGTGGCACGGGACGCTGGACATGGAATTTTTCTTCAGCCTTCACCCTAGGTATCCGTATGATGATGGTTGGTTCGCGTACTGTTGAGACCGGCGAGCTCAACCGTGGAGACCGATAGGAGGATCAGGGGCGGGAGGGGCGGGAGGAGCAGGCGGAAGAGAGAGTCCGACGTCGCTCGTGGAACCGTGTCAGCGCCCTGAGTGGTCGACGTCGATATCCCCATCAACTCTGTAACGGGACGGGGACGGCGGATGGGAATGTGGTGTGGATGGACAGCCGAACCATGTACGGAGTACGGAGGGGAGGGCTCGCAAGGGGAGAAAGCCAGAAAGGGGGAAGGGAGAAGGAATCAGAAACAGAAGATGACAAGGATGGGAAATTCCGAAGGTTGGTTGAAGGTATTAATAGTAGGAGTAGTGATGGCGGACGAGGGGATCCCTAGAACTGGAATCATCTCATCGCAGTACCCGTACAGATGGAAGAACAAACAAGCGAGAGGAAGAACCTACCTAGGCAAGGGCGTTAAGTAGTACGTAGCTGTGGTGGGAAGCGAGCTGAGTGCTGAGTCTGGATTTCGACTCAGAGCGAGCAAGGGTGTTGAAGCCAGCGCCAGGGGAAGCCGGGAGACTGGGGGTCGAGGGCTGATGAGATGCGATCATTGCCTGCTGCGTGCTGCGTGCTGCCTGCGGCCTGCAGCCTGCAGTCTGCAGTCTAGGATCTGCCGTCCGTCTGTCGCGCTGTCTCGACAAATCATCAGGACCAAGACCCGGACGGCGTGTGGTCTGATGCCACTGCCAGTGATGGAAACTTGCACTGGCACTGGTATGTACAGTATTGATTAATTACAGAGCACTCCGGAAGGTAAGGTAGTGAGGATCAAGAAGGGATTGACCCGGGACAGAGGGACAAGCACAGGCTAAGGGGCTTAGGGGCCCTAGGAGGCTTAGGGGCTAAAACTTAGGGGCCCTAGGCATGGTCGTTCTGAGCTAGGTGCAGCCGAGGGATCCTAAGGAGATCAAAGCAGCTTTAGCCCGTCAGTTTGCTTGGATAAGGTAGGGTTTAGTGCCCGGGGGGTCCGGGGAATGGCCACCGGGGAAGGGAGGGGTAGGGGGGCAGGGGGCACCTAGGTTCTAGGGGCTGCAGGTTGTTGGGCCGTCTAAGGGCGAGGAGCGTTCCGCATCGGCCCTTTAGGCCCTTACTGTAGGCTCGTCCAGTGTTGTGGAATCTGGCAGGTTCCGGCACCAACACCAACACCACCACCACCACCACCACCACTACCAACGCGTTGGCAACATCTACACAACATCAACAGAGTTCCGACAAATCAGCCGAAGGCTCCAGGTCTAGCAAGGGTCAAGGATGCACACACCAGGTTCCAGCTCTGAACAGGCATGCCTGCTGTATGTACGTAAACCCGCAGCAGGCGGTCGCAACCAAGTTACAGTATGGATGTACGTACCGCACCAACCCCAGAGACGTGGCTTGGGGAACCGTCAACTAGTGAATTTCTTAGGCATTGGCGCATCGGGGAACCAGAAACACCAGTACAGCAATCTGTCCTTCGCAGGCTCAGGCCTCTGCCCGATACGCAGTTGGGGGAGAGGGTCGGGGGCTAAGGGCACTGTAACATCACGGTGACTGGGCATCCATGCCTGCGACATGGCCTGAAGCCCATGTTATGCACTTCTGGACCTTAAAACCTCCTATCCGAATAACGCTGCATCTACGGAGTATGGGCCACCGTCCACATCCTCGCAGCGGCGGTGAAAGCCAGGCCGTTCCAGGGTAGGCCGTAGCCCTCCACGAAGACATGACATGGAGAAGGAAAGGAAAGAGGAGGCGGAGGGGGAGGAAGAGGCAGAGGAAGAACAGCAAAGACCATGGTTCCATGCTTGCACCGTACGAGTACACCGTATCTGTACAGTAGCACCGAGGCTGAGCATGGGTTCGTGGATGCCCCTAACCCAAAGTCCACTCTTCTGGCGGTGATCTTGTTCCACCACTGACGGCGCGGATGCCGGAGATCCCAGAGCGAAACTCATCCACAGGCCACATCACCGCCGGGACTAGTGTACACTTACAATACATATGTGGGTGTGCATGCTGGCAAGAAAAAGAAACCATGCCGGAGTGGAAAGCCAGCCTCATTACTACTGGCCCCTGCTGTGCACCCATCCCCTCCATCCATGCTCCGATCATCCCATCCCATCCCGTCTTGACGGCCAGCCACCCCGCGATGCCAGACGGTCACTCGATGATCCCGTCGCTCGGCAAGCCACTCGACCAGCTGCGGGACCCGTCGCAACACCTAGTCCTCAGCTCACAGGCGTGAGGAGCTGTTGTCGCCCGTTGAACCTGGCATGTGCCATCCCATCAACTACTGTCCACAAACTCTACTGCACCGCAGCTCACTTGGTCAGTGTACTGGCTTCCGGTGCCAACCACACTGGTGGGCACTGACACCGTGTGACTCTGTGTTTCACACCTCAGAAAGGCGGCTGATGTGAAGGTGCCACGGCCAATCCCAGACGGAGAGATGATCCTCCGCCGTCCGCCATCCGCCATCCGCTATCCACGGGACGAGCCCTTTCCCCAATGGTTACAACGAGGGGACTAGGCTGAGATCGGACTGGGGATATAATATATTGAAACTCTGTTCAAATTCGAGGCCGAAGAAGAAGAGAGCCCACCACGGTCGATGTTTTCCCGTGCTCCAGAACACTTGACACGAGCCTGCTGCAGGGATGTCCTCCTTGTGCAACCTGGACGCTGGGACCGCTGGTGGTATGGTCACCTCTGTATGGGGGCCGATGGAGGGTCATCGGCTGTTTCAGACGCTAATACAGGCACCTTGCCTACTCCGGAGCCACAATCAACTCAGCTGCGCTTCCAAGCTTCTCTGCCGCCTGCCTGCCGCCTGCCACGGCAACTTCCCCCTTGCTTCACCACCTGTCCGCGGCCACGGATGTGTCAGATGTCGACCCAGCTGTGACTCGGGCATTCATGTACCAATTTGACACAACGCGTTCGTATTCCAGACTTTCTTTTTCTTCCCGGGCAGCTGCCGTGGCCAGTTGCAGTTGCAGAGGCAAGTAGATCGACGATCTGGAAGGGAGAAGACCAGCATTGGCCTGCTCGAGGACTGAACTGCTGGACCAGCCTGCAACAACGGGGCTCAACGTCCGTACTAGGCAACTGTCCGAGAGGAGTGGGCAATATCTCAACAACTTTTCGTACGCCAACTGGCTCTGTTTCCAGACATGCCGGGCCTGGAATCGTGATTGCAAGACCATCCTCCCTGTCGCTTAGAAGGGACTGGGCAAGGGACTGGGCAGCGGGCACTGTCCGCCACAAGACCAGACCACCTGCAATGCAAGGGAGGTCAGGGGTCTCCTAACCTCGATGGATTTTAACTCGTTCTCCTAGTTAGTCACAACGCCCCCAAGGGACTGTCAGAGAGATTGTGCACACCGCTTCAGTCTGCAGGAGTACGGAGCAGAGGGATCAGACTCGAGCCCGTCCAGGTTGGGCTGACGTGATGCATCTTGATGGAGCGGGACTATGCCACCTGATTGATCTGTGCTTTGGAGAACAGGTGATCTCTGGCCTGGCCCTAGAAGAATGAGGATGCAGTTGACGACTGAGTACGGAGCACGCATAAGGATGTTGATATTCTTTGAAAGAGATGACTCCCCGAAGCACGAGGTTGTACGGGTAGCCTGGGATACTACTCCGACTCCGTACGTTCTACGTAATTCGTAGTTCCTCGACAAGGCTGGGTGGCTGACTAAACCCTAAGTCAGCAATACTTTTCTATGCACCACTCCGTATGGTGTCAACCTGGGAAGTTCGTAACTAACTACTAATTAATTAGGTATAACTGTGAACGCCGAGGCAGGCCAGGAATCAGAATCATTTCGAGCAGAACTCGCATTCCGGCTCCTGGCGTATATCATCCATCTCAATGTCTCATTTTCCCTGCCCCCAAACAACCTGTGAAAAGTCGTGACGCATACACACTGTGTCGGCAGATTTCACTACCAGCTCGTTGCTCGCGACCAGGCTACAGCTTTCGCCTCACCTGTAGCCCGCCCTACGGAATGCTCTAGCCATGGCCCAGGATGCTTTGGAAACCCTCCAGCGGATAGTCTGGCAAGCGCGTATACCGTTGGAGATCAGGCTGGCGGCTTCGGAGTGTCGCTCCTTCAATGAAGCTGATGCGTATCTGGTAGGTTTCTGGATCCATGACACACGCCTGCTCTAATGGTAATGGGTGCTTCACAACTGACGGGCAGCTAACCTATTGTAGATCGCCTATCCACGTCTGTCCTATCTTCCCTTGCTGCTTCCAAAGTTGCATGCCTTCTTCTCAACCTCGCTGATTGCCGATCCGGAGACGGTCTCCCCTTATACCGGCTATTTTACTTACGACGGTGTTCCCTTGAAATGGCATCTGCCGGTGGGATTGCTCTATGACATCTATGTCTTGTCCACTCGGGATGCCGGTGCAGACAACGCGGCTCCGACCTCGTTGCCGTTCAGACTGACCTTGCATTTCGCGCCTGACCCCGAGAAGCCAACCATGGCTGCCACGCCGGTCGTTTTGCACGACTCCTTCATCAACTCGGTGAAGGAGGCGGACTTTTTGAGATCAGGCACGGCAAAGCCCATCATGACACTGGGGGCGCAGGAAAGCAGGGCTCTGTGGTCTTCTACACAGGACAACGACTTGCCCACTTTTGCCAAAATCCACGCCGGTCTGATGCCGTCGCCCGGGCAATTGAGGAACATCCCTCTACGAGTCTATCTCCCGTCTCCGCCAGACCAGGACCCGAGCAAGGCACAGATCAAAGTGTTACAGTCACATATTGCCCCTACAGTGGCCATTGCAACACAGAACTCTCCCGCGGCTTTACGTGGCGGTACTGGAGGAGGAGCAGGACCGGCCCAGGCCCAGACGCTAGGCACAGCCTTACATCAGTTGGTTCCCAGCCTTTTCCCATCTCGAAGAACCCCGATTCTTGCTACACCGCTGTTGCATGGGGCACCTGTCCCCATGAGTGCGCATCTGGAGGAACTGGTGCGATGGGGTTGCTATGCAGATGGGTGGTTGTCGGTGGTGCTAGCCATGCGCGGATAAATGTGTTTGAGGGCGACTGCCAAAATCCGCCGCAATGAACAACAAGGGCGGATTCTGGTAACAGCAGGGAGTACAGATGGTCTGTCTAACAGGAAGACGGGGGCGTGCTGTTGCTGGTGGTTGGGCTGGCTGGCTGGCTGGCTGCTGCTGCTGATGATGATGATGATGAGGACGAGGGGTCGATGCCGCCCCGCAGCCGCCCTTCAGCCTTGGATAACCGCCGGGGCCCGGGCCTAGTAGGCAGTAAGCAGGTCACTAGCAGCCTCAGGCCTAAGCGTCCTTGTCCCCCAGGAACTTCGAATTCAAACCAACAGGTGCAGGCAGCCACAGTAAATACCCGTCCGTACTCTGCTTACCGCCGAAACCCTGAATATGCCTTGCAGCAGCTGGCACTGATGGAAACTTAAGCTTGAAATGCCCTTTTGCTAGCAACCATCTTCGCTGTCTGATGCCTCCAAAGGAAAGGCGGCTCTGTATGACCTTGGGCGTCCGTCCACGCTGCTACATTAACTGACCGACTCTTCAATCGACATGCCGCCGCTTCCAGGAGAAGAGACGCTGACCACGGTGTGAGGGCGCAGTTCCTCGGACTCCTTTCCAGTCGATTCAATCGTGCTAATCGCCCTGTCGTTCGTCTAGGTATGCTGACGTCCACACTTATTTCGACGCTCCCACTCCCCGGCCGTTCCTCCATCGCTTCGACAAGTCCTCCTACTTCTACATCTACTACAACTCGACGCGCCAGACCAGTCGAATCGAAGTCGCCCTCCACCCGGGCACCACCGACCAGGCTGCGTTCAATGGCTTCGTGGACAGCGTCAAGATTGTGAACTCTCATACCTTCCCAACCAAAGTGACGCTTGTGGTCGACGGCATCTCTCCATCCAACGCTTCCCCTGCCTCCGCCCGTCCCGGCAGAGATCCAGATGAATGGCGTCTGGCCAGCGCAGACCCAAGAGATCCGGGCACGAACAAGTACCGGATCCATACCATTGATTTTTACTTTTGGGTCGAAGACGATGCTAAATTGGTGGTGGACATCTTCAAGAGGCTGTTACTGCCGCACCAGCTTGACGTTGACGAGGTACCCGGGGCGCATGAGGCAGATGAAGTGCACCAGGATTCAACAACAGATCGCGACTTGGTCAGCCCTGTTGTCCAGAACTTGGAACATGTTGCTATATCTGATCCGGCCTATCACAAGGACAGCCGTCATGAATCTCCCTCCTCGCCTCGAACTGAGGCCGCTCACTCGCATTCTCCTCTCCCGCCTCAGGCGTCTCCTCAAGCACAAGCGGCGACGACTTCATCTACCTCTCTCTCCGCCAATGTTGGTCACCAATCCTCGGTGAACGCTCGGGCGCCATCGGCTGAGTATGCCCCTCTGGCATACAATCCAGCCGCGCCACCCGCACCTGAACCGATTGCCCACCGGGAGGATACACCCCCTCCAGCCGATGCTGTTGATGGGACAGGTCTTGCGGCGGCGGCAAAGCACGACAGTCTCCACGCTTACCAGCCGCATGTGCAGACATATGGTGGTGCCGGTGCCCTGGGACCGCCACCAGGCCCATATGGACATTACGGATCGCCTCTACCACCTTCCTTTGGACCGCATGCAGCGACAATTGCACCGCAGCCAGCATCGACGTCTATCTCACCGCAACCGTCCTTCGGTCCTCAAGCTGCCTCTTCACATTCCACCTCACCCCGAACATCGCTCTCCACGCATTACGGGCTGCCCGCTACGAACACCACCAGTCCTGACGGCAGCCGACACCCTTCCATAGCTGCCTCGGCCTACCAACCAACCGGTCAAGATCCAAATGCACATATATTCGGGCAGTCACCCGTGCAAACCCCGGGCACGCAGTTCTACTCGTCGCTCAATGAGCAACCACACAAACCGCTACAGCACGTGCAACCTCAGTATCCCGACTATTTGGCCGCGGGACAAGCCCCTGTAGGCGGGTATTCCAGCTACCACTATGGCCAGCTCCAACCCCAACCCCAACCAGGTGCTACGGCGGGAAATCCCTACGACATCCACAATCAAGTCTACCGACCGACGGAGGACGAGCATCATACGCATCATCATTCCAAACCGGCCAGGACTTCGAGCGCCCAACACAAGCCATCTCAAGCAGAGAGGCTCGAAAAGGGCGTGGGCAAGTTCTTCAAGAAGATTGAGAAGAAGATTGGATGAGGATGAGGATGTGGCATGAGGAATGTGGAATGAGGAACGAGGAACGAGGAACGAGCAACGATTTATGAGAGATGTGGCATGGCAAATGAGGTTTCTTTTCGTTGATTTCCATAGCGAGCGTGATGCATGATGCATGATGCACTGGACGGGTGTATGTGTATTGTGGTGTTGATGTTACTGAACCGGATCTTTTACGTGTTCACTCACTCACTGGATGTCTATGTCATCTCCGCACCTACTGTAAGTGCCTACCTACTCTTAGGTAGCGATATGTAAAATCGGTCCTACTCTTAGGTTTCGATATGTAAAATCAGTCATCATTGCCGTGGTGTTCTGGTTCAACAGTCAATCCACAGTCAATTCGGACTCTTCTTTATACTTTTATCCTGTTCCGGTTCCTCCTGCCCTGCTTTCCTTTGCTCTGCCTTGTCCTTGTAGTGTGCCACAGTGATGCAGTGCACCTCTTTTCAAGATCCGGTTTCTAGCTTTCTAGCTTCTAGCCTCTATAGCTTCTAGCCTCTGGTTTCGTTTCTAGATTTCTAGATTTCAAGCTATTTACTTAGGTCTTTTTCATCATGGCCTTCAAGGGGGTTGCTGCCCTTCTAATAATTAGATACTGTCATGGGAAAATAGCCTCTTGGTGAAAGATGACGCCACGGTCCCTTCTTCTGTACTGGGCTGATGCCTGCACCTATACCATGGCGAGCAACTTGTCGAAGGCCTTCGTGACGCCCTCGAGGTCCTGCAGAATCGGCTGATGTCCGCTCTTGACCACGACGACTTCGGCCGGCCCGCCGAGCAGAGCGCTGATATCCTCGGACCTCTGCACCGGGCTGATCTTGTCCTTGTCACCCGCGACAAAGACGACCGGACACCGGATGCGACTGTAATCCGGGTCATGATGGTCGTCGCTGGCGATTGCCTCGGCCGTGGAGGCATACGCTTCGGCATCGGACGAAGCCACGGCGTCACGCACCTGTTGGACGTGCGCGGGCTCGTTGTCGCGGTCCGCGGGGAAATTGCTCTGCAGTGCCATCTGCGCCACCGCGTCCATGCCTTGCTCGCGCGCCGTCCGAGCCAGAGCTTGCATGCCTTTTTGGGCCGGCGGAATGCTTTTCAAGGAGCGGCCTGGACCCAGAAGTAAAAGTCCTGCCACTTGGGTGGGGTACTGGGCAGCATAGTGTAAGCTGATGATGCCGCCGAGGGAGTGACCGACGAGGAGGACTGGTTCCTGGCTGCGGTTGCTGCTACTGCTGTTGCCGTTGATGGCTGTTGTTGCCGTTGCCGTTGCCGTTCCTGCTGTCGAGGTGGAGCTGGAGGTTGAGGCTGAACCAGATTCCTGAACATGTGTGATGAGATCGTGTAGGTCGGAGACATAGCGTGCGAATGAAAGAGGCTTCCCTTCCTGGTTGAGAGGTGTCTTTCCAAACCCTTCGACGTCAACGTTGATGACTTGATAGTTGGGTGGGATGAATGGGAGAAGCTCTCGAAATGTTTCGGTTGAGCCGCCTAGCCCGTGCAGTAAAACAGCCAGACGACCCTGCTGCTGATGCTCACCGGACGAGAGGAAGTGGATGTCGGTGCCGGCCTGCGTGAGGTGTCTGTGTGATGTTGAGGATTGCGCCAGCATCTTTGCTCTTTACCGTGGTCGGGAAATGTAAATGTAGTTTTAATTCAGTTCAGCAACAAACAAACAACGACCAGAACAAGCCACAGACAGGGATGTTTGCTTGCTCACTGACCGTGACATGTGAAGGGCTGAGGCTCACCTAGACTGGCCGTCCACGAAGCAGTACTGGTTGAACTCACTCATGTGGACCCAGCCCTCGGCCGGAGCGGATACCTTCGTCGGCCGGCACGGATCCCACTCCTCGGTCGAAGGCATATACTGCTCTCGCACTGATACTGATAGTAGATACTCCTATCATCGACCTTCAACGAGCGTCCCTTCACACCAGCACCTCAGGTGTGGAGGGATCCTCGGCCGGTCGACCTGGACGTGGCCGGGGCCTGAAGTGGCTCCGCTCCCACTGTATCTGGATCTTGCTAAAGATTGGATCGGCGCTCCAACGACATCTCCATGATTGAAAAGGCGTTCGTTCTGGTTTCAGTAACACTGCAACCGCATCCAGCCACTGCCTTGTTCCCATTCCCGACAGTCTCAACTCTTTGCCGCAATGGTTGTCGAATCCCTCACGGAAGTGGTCGCGCCGGAAGGGGTCAAGGCAAGGCTCGTCGCAACCAAAGCATCCGACATCAGTCTTCCGCACGCGGAAACGACCAATGGACGAGTCGTGCCGGTCCAACACCCGGCTGAAAGCAAGGTCGACTTTGGCGCCGAGGTTTACGGAATCGACCTGAACAAGGTCACGGATGCAGATTTCGAATTCATCTCGGACGCGCTACATAAGCACAAAGTCCTGATTTTCAAGGAGCAACCGGAAATGCTCAAGCCACAGCAACAGTACCTGCTGACGGCCAATTTCGATCCGGATGAGACGACGGGAGGCTTTGCACACGGGGCGGATCCGTTTTTGACCTCGCACGACGGTGTCAACATCTATGGCATTCAGAGCAGACCGGCCATTCCGGTCCAACCACAGGTACATATCCTGGGTCGAGGCGAAGTTCCCCAAGGTCATTTTCAGTTTCCACCGGGGTTCAAGGTCAAGGGGATTGATCATCGCGAGTTCCATCTTCCACCCCACATCCCCCAAGAGGAGCGCGAAAAGGGTGCCAGTCGCTTCTACCAGTGGCATTGGGACGGAGCCTTGTACAATATCCCGCCTCCGCGGGTGGGCTGCTTACTGGCCGTCAAGACTCCCAAGGGTCCAGATGTCACGGTTCGCTGGGAGGACGGGACCGGCACGGAGATGAAAATCCCACCTGGGGCAACCGCTTATGTCGCCGGGTCTAGAGCCCTCGAAGTCCTCGACCCAGAGCTCCGCCAGATTGCCTTGCACTCGCGGATCGAGTATGCGCCGCACGCCTTCAAATGGATGTCGACCGCACATAGCGCCAGACTCGGACATATCCTGGAAACCGAAGGCCTGGAGCTGCCGCGTGAGAAGCTCCCGCCTATTGACGAGAGCAAGATCTGTATCTACCCAATGGTGTGGACCAACCCCAAGACCGGTGAAAAGTCCCTGCAGGTGCATGGACAAGGGGCGGTCAAGTTGTACCTCAAGAGCAGCCCGGACGGCGAAGAAACGACCATTGACGATCTGAAAGAAGTCCGAGATTTCATGCACAAGTATTTTCCCTCCATGTTGCAACCATTGTAGATCTGGAGCTGGCTAACATCACGGTAGACTCATGCGGCCAGCAATCTCGCCCGAGAACATTTATGCACACCCCCACCAGGAGCAAGACGTTGTACTCTGGTACAACCGTGCATTGTGGCACAGCATTGTAAGTTGACTTGACCCGAGGCTGAGTGCGCCATGGAGATGAAATGGAGATCTGGCTAACCTGGCTGGAAAGACCGAGTTCCCCGAGTCATATGGACCTAGGATTATGCATCAATGTAACATTGCAGCATCGGACCACCCTTCAGGCTAGTCGGTGGATTGGGTGGACAACGCCTGCAGTGCCGTGTCTGGACGCGAATGAAGGAGGGCGGCATAATAACATGTGTATACACAGCCACGAACACCGGTTTCATAGGTAGTTGACGATAGCCGGTCAAACATTCATACCATGGGGGAGCGGCCATCCTGAGGAGTGCAACGTTGAGGGTATTAAGGAGAAAGAGCCCTGGTAGAGGGTGAAACCCCCCCTTTGATTGAATAGACCTTGGGGAGTCGACCCCCAAAACCAAAATCAAAGTCCAAGACCTTGGTTTGCAAAAGATAGCAGGCTGTCAAATGTGTGGGTACCATCGTCATCAGATAGTGGCATACTCCATAGCCAATTCAAGTCTGTCGGAGGACTAAGTGTTTCATCGGTGCCGACTACTTGCGCGCTGTGCTCGGTTCGCTGCTGCCCAAGCTGCAGTTCTCCAGTAGAACTCGGGTTGTCTGGAGTCCCTTGATTCGGTAGTGGAGTGGTGCCATCATTCTGAGTCGGGGCACTGCAGAAGGATCGAGCAAATTCGGCGGCGTCGAAGCCTCGACGTCTTTTCCTGGGAGTGGCGTCTCTAGCAGTGCCAGCGTCAATTGATCTCTTCCGACTGTCCGCCCTGTTGGATATTTGCTTTTGCAACGCACTCAGGACTTTGACGCCGCGAGCAGCGATCATGCTCTTCTGCTGGGAGAGGCGCAGATGGTCCAAGGTTTGGTCTACCAGCAGTGATTCGTCCTGACCCGAAGACGACGAATGGAGGATATCAAAGCAGAGTACTATGCAAGCTGCTACCGAAAACGCCTGATGGGTCCAGAGCATTGGGCTAGATTCGTCTCTCCTGCTGGCCAGGTACTCTTTCAAGATGGTCTTAGATGCGGCCAGGCAGGTTCGACGCGTAAAAGCAAAAACGGGCTTGGTGAAACTGAGACCGAGAAACCTCCTTCACCACGCGGTCAGGAGGGTTAGCTTGATAACTCGATCATATGAGACGGGGTCAACTGCCTGCTTTCAGGGGTGGACGTACCTGTGAATCATGATAATCTTGTGCGCTGAACTCATCGCAATGGCCCGACGCGCCCATGGAATATAACACGGCCAATTGGCATCGAAGGTTGTGTTGGCCAGGAATGCGGGCCTGCCGGTGGCCAATGACCGCATCTTTCTATCATACACCAGAACTGCCTCGTGCTTGGTATACAGGGTGTTGGACAAGGCCATGGCATCCTGCAGCGCCGGCATGATGGCGGCAATCTTGGCCAGGAATCGGCAAAAGCTGGTCACGGTTGGCTCCGACTCCGGCAGGACATTCATGTCATCGTCGCAGTTTTTGGGCGGGAGAGAGGTGGAATGCAGAAGATTGATCGAGTAGGATTCCGAAAAGGCCGTGCTGAACCAGTCCTGGGTGCACAGCTCCTGCCACACACGGCGACCGGTCTCCAGCTCGATGTCGGACCCTGGAGCGTCATCGTCCAGTCGGTGTAAGCCCAGGCCTTGGGCGATGCGGACTGCCGACGCCAGCATGACGGACTGCGCATTCGAATGGCCCAACATATGGGCGGTGTTTGTCAAAACCGTGATCGCTTGGACGGAATGTAAGGAGTGATGGGCGGTGTAATTGGCGGCATTCAAGGCGACGAGCACAGCCTTGTACCATTTTTGAGACAACAGCCGCGCCTCACGTTCATTGAAGCCCCACTCTCTCGCCTCGTGCGCCGGGGCTGAGGTGATGGTGCCAGCCATGACCGAAAACAGCAGTGCCACCCATTGGAGACTCACACCCTTGGAATCCAACTGTCCCCTGTGATCCGCGTAGAAAGAGGTGAGTTCTTTGGAGAAGGTTGGTGCGAAGTATGAGCCATGGAACCAGAGCATGCAGTTGCTGTGATACTCGACCAGCTGATACACCTGGCGTCGTGAAGGAAGCAGGATCTGCAGCCACGACAGGAGATTCATGCCGGAATCAAGGGCACAGTCAAGCTCCTCGGGCGGGCTGGTGCCAATGCCATCTCCATGCTCAGAGACTCGAAGGGCTTCCGGCGACAGCATTGCAAAATTGTCCGGATCCTTGAGACGGCCCCAAGCCAAGAACTCCAGCACAGTGACTGCATCTTCAACATCTGAACACTGACTGGGCGATGACGATCGAAGTTGAGCGTCAGTGCTGGCCTCAGCCTGTTCTGTTGCACGGTCTCGCGCATTGCCCTCCGGTCCTGGGCTAAGGAGGCTCTTCTGTTGTAGGGCGGTCTCCAGTTCGGCCACTCGAGTACGGAGAGCACGAACGGTCGATGCGTGGTCTAGTTGGGACTGGAGCTGGGGCCGAAGACTGGAAATGCTGCTACTGGTCCGAGGATTTGCATTCACATCGACCGCATCGTTGCGATCAAGTTCGCGGTCAGGTTCGCGTTCGCAATCTGCCGGACTTCCTCTCTTGATACAGTTCTGGCATGGAATCTGCTTGTCACACTTGACCTTGCGCCGAGTGCATGGGCGACAGGCAAGTCTCCTCCGAGGTGCAGCGGACATTGTAGGTGGGATTCCCGCTGGCGGTGACCGTGACCATGACGGTTGGTCCCTTTACGGAACGAGCAAGAGGTGCGGTGGGTGTAGATAGCGGAGGTTGTGAAACGAGAGACTATCTAAGAGGTGAGAGGCGGCGAGACGCAGGTAGTTGCAGTAGCAGTAGCAGTACCAGTCCGAGTGCTACGCACTTAGGAACCTACTGTACCCTAGTAGGACAACTGCGGTACACTGCCCAGTGCCTATAGAACCTGCCCAGGCACCGTGCTAGGTTCTAGGCGCTGCGAGGTGTGTACTATCCGTACTGTGGTAGGCTCGGCAGGTCACGTGCTACGAGTATACAGTTCTCGTCACATGATCACGAGATTAGGGCCGAGTATCAGGCCGAGAGAGGCAATTTTGATAAGCGAATACTCCGTAATAATGAATAGTAATGACTACTGTATCTCTTTCACCCTGAACCCTGATAGCACTCACGGCCAGTGACCCAACTTAGTGCTCGGAGTACGGAGTACACATGGTAGTACTGTTTAACTGACTGACTATTCAGAAGGCAGCGACGTGATACACGGCGACCTCCTCCGTTCAGCCCCGAGATCCGTCCTGTTCGGCCGTTTCCGCTCCAGACCACGCGGGCGCAGCTAGATACTAGATAGCACGTCAGCTTCGGCCGAAGAGGGGCAACCAACCAGCAAGAGCAGTGTCCACGATTGGCGGGTGGGAGATCATCTCGTACAGGACAGAGAGTGTCCGTACAGAGTATACGGATATCAGATATCATATGGCTTCATGAGCTGCCGTCGCAATTACCACCGAAGACGGTCCAAGTCAAAGTCACCTGGAGCTGTCGCTGTCGCTGTCGCTGCCGCAGAGTAGAGAGCAACCATGTCGCCGGCCGCCCTTACCCCCGAGCCATCCTTCCAGGTGCAGCCCATCATCAAGCGGAAAGATCAGCTGTTCAACTTCGGGGCTACTGTGGAAGGACTCGATCTCAACCAGATTTCCGACGACGATGTCCAGCGACTCAAGGAGACCATCTGGACGCATAAGGTGATTGTGGTCAAGGGCCAGCAAAGCCTGACTCCGCAGAAACATTGGGAACTAGTCACGCGCTTCGACCCCGACGCTTCTCAGGAGCACAGCCACGGGAAACTGGAAACGTTTCAAAAGAAAGGAGGCGTGCTCTCCCGGTCTCGCGACGTGTACGGCATCCCTGGAGCAGAGAACGTGCGACTGATTGGGAAAGGATATCAAGGTACGGATCACAGATCAAGACTGACAACACGGTCTGGACCTGCAGTGTCATCGATTCCTTGACGGTTGGGTTGGCTAACCTAGGCGAGTGGTTGGACTTCAGGCGACGATCACTATGGGCTCAAGAACCTCGATGTCAAGGGATTGTCGAACGATTTCCACGCTGATCCGCCCCGCGACGAAGAGTTCCAGCAAGGGTTCACACGCTTTCAACGATGGCACATCGATGCGCCCCTGTATGGTCGCGATCCCGCGTGGTTTACCACCCTCCGAGCGGTCAAGCTTCCCTCTGGACCGGACCTGACCATCCGCTGGGACGATGGGTCCGGCCTGAGTATGCAATCGCCGCCGGGGCTGACCGCCTTCTTCAGCACGTCGCAACTGTACAACCTGCTGAGCGCGGAGGAAAAGCTGGTTGCCGACCACAGCTGGGTCGAGTACGCACCATATCCGTACATGTGGATTGAGAATTGCAAAGCCCCTTCGACAGGACTCGGGCTCAAGTCAGAAGGCAAGGAGCATAGCATCGAGGATCTGGGCGAATACGACGAGAAAGATGTCAAGACAGTAGGTGCCATTGCTTGCTTATAGTTCCCATCCCCATCCTCTTCCCCATCCACTTGCTTTTCGGGGCCACTCGAGCCGAGACTGACCTAGGATTGACGATTGTTTAGTATCCTTGCGTATGGGTCAACCCTGTCACGGGTGAGAAGGCGTTCCAAGTCCACGGGATCGCCGTGCGAAAGCTATTCCTCCGCTCGTCCGTCGCCGAGCAGCCCCAAGTGGTCGAGGACGTCGAAGCCATCCGCGCCTTCCTGCACAATATCCAATCCCGCATCCTTCGTCCCGAATACATTTGGCTCCCCGAGGTCGAGGAAGGCGACATCGTCATGTGGGACAACTATGGCACCTTCCACACCGCGGTGGATTACCCAGTCCAGAAGTACGGCCCTCGGACCATGCACCAGGCAAATATAGGTGCCAGCAGAGGGCCCGTTGGACCTGTGCCCATACCTTCCGTGGGTTGAGGGTGTTGAGGGGTAAATAGCCGCTTCGAAGAGAACGATACATATCTATGTAGGAGGTAACTTGACGATCTACTAGTACTTGATGAACGTACTACAGCCTTGGCTTGTGAGGGTCTTATCTTAATGCTTATATCATGATCCAAGATTCGATGGCGGCGAGGAGGGACAGTTCCATCCCATTCACACCGAAAATGACTCGACGTGGCCAGAACATGTAACTGAAGAACGTAACCAGACCATGTAACCAGACATACTATTATCTCCGGACAATATGAGGGCACCAAGAGTCATGGAATGCATTGCCATCTCGACTTCGACCTGGGTAAAAGGACTCAAAGCCCTTGAACCGACCATCAAACATCACATCTCGCTTCGACCGATACCAATGTGAAATCAATTACACGCCGTATACCTGTCAAGGCATAGCCTTGAGCCCAGGCTTTTGAAAATTTAACCAGCCAGCAAGATCATCCATCCATACATAGTACCAACTTGAATATTTCAGTCATGCCCATGCTAGCACCCATCACACCCACACTCACACTGTGGCGTGGCGCTGAGGGCCCCAACTTCAAGGCAAGGCTGTGCCAGCAGGCCAAGATCAGCTCAGGCCGTCTCCCCGAGGTCGAGCTGGCCGGCATGTTTCGCGGGAGCTCTTGAAGAGTGTCAAGTGGTGAGTTCCGGCGGGGTTGGTCTGTATTCTTCGGCACGCTTGTAAGATTGAACGAATTGGTCGTGTAGGAAGTCGGCGACGGAGACGGGGGGGTAGGGGTTGACAGGGATGGGGGGCCCGTATTTCCTGGCGAGTGACAGCGGCGTCCGCTCCAGGCCGGGGATGGTTTCCAAGGTGTGGGCGGGGTTCCCGCTGTAGAAGAAGGGGATAGAGTAGCGGTGGCAGGGGGAGTGGTTCAGCACGCGGTGGGTGTTGGAGGTGTAGTGGTGGTTGGTCCAGCGGGCCATCAGGTTGCCCAGGTTGACGACGTAGGCGCCGGGGACGGGGGCGACGTCGAGCCAGTCGCCGGTGACCTCGTCCTGCACCTGCAGGCCGCCGACGGCGTCTTGCAGGAGGAGCGTGATGCAGCCGAAGTCGCGATGGGCGCCGCAGCCTCGCTCGAGCTGCGACGTCGTCGGCGTCGGCGGGTAGTGCACCAGCCGCAGCGTGGCGGCCGGGTCGGTGTCGGTGAAGCGGTCGAAGAAGTCCTCGCGCAGGTCGAGCGCCGCCGCCAGCGCCCGCATCACGTCGCGCGCCAGCGTCTTCATCGCCTCCAGGTATTCCATGCACGTCGCGTGCCACTCCCGCCCCAGGCTGGATGGGTAGATGTTGGGCCCGCACCCGTACTCGCCCTTCACCACCCGCGCGTCGTCCTCCCCCAGGTCCTGGCCCAGATAGATGGCTTCTTTGGTGTCCGGCGCCGCCCCGGGCTCCAGCATCTGCCCGCCTATCGTCTCGTAGCCTCGTCCCCGGGTCGAAGGGCCCAGCTTCGCCTTCAGCTTCTCTTCCAGTGGGAGGCTGAAGAACTCTTTCGACGCCGCAAATATCCGCTCTTGAAGCGACGCCGCCACCCCGTGGTTGGTGAGCTGGAAGAATCCCTTGTCTCGACATGCTTGCCCGAGCGCCTGCAGAAACTCGGCTTTGGCTGCCTGGTCGGACCCCCGGAAGGCTACAGGATCAGTACCGCCATGGTCAGCCCGATGCTCTTGTTTCCTATGCCAATGCTCTTGAGGATCGGGTGCACCGTGCAGGTGACATTGACCTTGACTTACCTGAGAAGTCCAGGACCGGCGGGAGTCGGGGATCACTTCCTAACGACCCCATAGTGGTCGGCCTGTGGAGATGTCTGAGGTCTCAGACGCTGATCGACCTGCGCCGACTTCAAGTCCTTGTTCTTTTTCTTTTGTTCTGTGCTTCGGAACTTTACCTCGCCTCACCTCGCCTCGCTATGTCTTTGGATCGTGTGGTTGGAGGTCCTTTATCTCGGGAATTGTGCAGATCTGGCCACGGAAAGTGAGACCTTGTTATCCTCTATGTCCATACATGTTGCCACCAAGCTTTGAAGCCATCGTACATCCCATATCTATACCCATACACCAATGGAGCACCATGCCGAAGATAGATCTCAGCAGAAGAAGAACCCCGTACACATACCGACCGGGCGGTGCGGGCACAATCTAATCGGTGCCATGCGATGCGGCCTGTCAAATGCAAGTCATGCTATTGGTCACCGACGGGGTCGGGGTCTTAGCCGTTCAGATAAGTGGGAAGCGAAAACCATGCCCGTCCCTTAATCCCCTAATCCCCTCGGCCGACGAGTTATCGGGAGATTCCCGCCGTCCGATAACGTGGTCAATGGTCAGCAGTCTCTGACTCTCTCTCTCTATACACTGATACAGTCACTCTATCGCATGGGCGGGTCCACTAAGCTCAACAACATGTCCTCTGTACTGGACAGAGTATAGGCCATGGAGGCTAGGATGATAAGGCTAAGGCCACAGATACCAGATACAGATGCAGATACAGATACACATACACCTGCAAAGACAGCTTCAGCCTGGGCGTGACCCCGACCCCAGATTCGGCCGGTGCGATAAGAGGACGATTGAATGCTGTGTCGACGAATACAGCTTCCAGAGGTCCAGGTCCAGCACATACTAACTATACTCTTTTCCTTGTCATTGTCCTGTATATAATAATTTACATATACCGCATCCACCATCCACCGGGAGATCGCATGGCACCCCTGCGCAAACTTGAAGGCAAAAGGCAAAGAAAGGCATAGCCAGTGACCTAAGGCCCTTCACTCCCACTCCCAGCATCACCATGGGTCTCCATAACAGCCTCCAAGACAAGACTCGCCGCCACATCCAGGACTTCCAACACGCCTTTACCAGCAGGCACGCATTTGTCAAGTACCTGGAGACGCGGCCGGACGCCAGCAGTGACGGCGACAACGACGGGCCGCGCAACAAGTGGACGAACGAAGACCTCGCGGTCAGCCCGGCTCACCATCACACCTGGGGGTGGTACGACTATGCGGCCTTCTGGTGGTCGTACGGCTTCTCGCCCGGCTGCTGGTACCTGGGGGCGGCGCTGCTTGCGGTCGGCCTGAGCCCAGGCCAGGCGTTGGGCTGTCTCTTCCTGGGCTTCTTCTTCGGCTCCGTGGGCATCGTCATGCATTCGCGAGCCGCCGCCGTCTACCACTTCGGCTTCCCCGTCGAGACCCGGCTTGTCTGGGGTCTTCGGGGCAGCTACTTCCCCATCTTGATCCGTGCCCTGTGTGCGCTCATCTGGGGTGGCGTCACCATTGCCCAGGGCGGATACTTCACCGCGGTCGTGCTGCGATGCATCTTTGGCAATTCGTATTGGCACATGCCCAATCACATCCCCGCCAGCTCCAACATCACAGTGCAGCAGCTCATAGGTGTGTGGTCCCGAGCCGGGAAAGAAAACTGGAAGAGATTCCTTTGGACTTTTCCCCGAGGCTTTTCCTGAGGCTTTTCCTGAGGCTTTTCCTGAGGCTTTTCCTGAGGCTTTTCCTGAGGCTGTTCCCTGAAGCTGTTCCTTTTGGCTGTTCCCCGTCTGAATACTGGCGTGGCCGAAGCTGACAATGAGTCTGGTGACACACTCACAGGAATGATCGTGTATTGGGTCATGACATGTTGGACGCTCAATGTCCCCATCCACAAACTGCGGCGAGCGTACGAGATTCAGATGTTCATTCTTCCTGCTGTGATTATCGGTACGTCCACGTCCACGTCCACGTCGTCATCATCCATGTCCCGACAGGTTCCATGTCCCATCATGTCTTGACAGGTGTTGATGGAGTCATAATGCACGTTCTGACTTCTAACCTCTTCCCTTGGTGCATATAGGTCTTTTCGCCTATTGTATGGTGACCGGACGAGGCTATCCCCATCAGGACCTGTACGCGGTGCCACCTAAGCATGGCGCCGCGCTGTCGTGGGCATTGGTAAGAAGAGACCCGGTTCAAGCCCAACCAGATTATTGATGGAGACTCTAGCTTTCCGCCGTCAACTCCGGCCTCGCCAAAACAACCACGCTCATGGTGAATCAACCGGATATTGCACGCTATGCCCGCACCAGGATGGCCCCGGTCTGGGCCCAGCTCGTCATGTTTCCGGTTGCAAGTACGGCGTGTGCAGCCATGGGCATTTATGCCACGCAGCACATTTACAATGCATGGGGCAACGTGGACTGGAATCCGTGAGTTTTTTTCTTCTTCTTTTTTCTTTTCTTTTTGGACGTCGCTTCTCTCCTCTCCTTAGCAAGTGGTTGTTGTCGTTTTCGTTGTCGTGGTCGTCGTGGTTGTCGTCGTTGTCGTCGTTGTCGTTGTTGTGGACACCAATCTGACCAGCTCTAGATGGGACCTGAACCACGACATGCTCGACCACAACTTCAGCCACGGCCGCCGGGCCGGAGTAGCCATCATCAACATTGCCTTCATCTACGGAAACGCACTCACCGAGCTCGGAGCGAACGTGATTCCGTTCGGAGCAGACTTCATGTCGCTGTTTCCGCGATGGCTCAACATCAAACGCGGCATGTGGCTGAGCTATATCCTCGGAGTGGCCATCTGTCCATGGCAGATCTTGGCCACAGCAACCGGCTTTCTCAAGTTCTTGGGCGGTTACAGTATCTTCCTGGGGCCTTTTCTCGGCATGGCCTTGACGGATTACCTGGTGGTTCGCAGGGGGAATGTCTTCGTCGCCGATCTGTACCAAGTGGGCGGTCGGTATTGGTACATACACGGCGTGTCATGGAGGCCGATTGTGACTTGGCTTTTTTCCGTTGTTTTCATGGTAGGTTGAGCCACTCTTCGGTTCTGCTTCTGCTTCTACTTCTACTTCTGCTTCTGCTTCTGCTTCCGCTTCCCTTCCAGCTGCTGGGGTGTACTCTATGCTGACCAGTTTTCCAAACAACAGCTTCCAGGGTTTGCCGAAACCTTTGGCGCCAAAATCGCCCACGGCGAAGGCTGGAGTCACCTATATGCCTTCAGTTGGTTTTACACCTGCACCATCAGTAGTGTTGTCTATTTCCTCCTGTCGTTTATCGGGAACTACGCCGGCGAGGAGAGAGCTATGCCGTTCGAGAGCCTGGCCAGCACCAATGCCAATGGGGTGGAGGAACTGCACGCCGTCGAAGGACAGAGCGACGTATCTGAGGTTCATCTTAGTGTCGAAGATAAGGTCTGATTGCCTGCGTTTGACTCTGTAGTCTGATGGCCCTGTCTTGGACTCTGTATTTGTCAAATCAAGGTTGAAATGTTCCATGTTCTCTATCAACGGGCCGCAGAGGGATCGCATGCTATATAGTATCGTATAGTATAGTATAACCAGTCTCTCTGGTTGAAGGGCAAGGCTGGGAATGCCGAAGTTAGTACCTAAGTTGATAGAATGATGGGATTTGAACCCTTGGATGATTCGCTTGAGTCTATCAAGATCATGCCCTGGCTACCCGACGCCTAAGAGTACAAGACAAGGAAAGGCAATCAGACCTACAGCGTCCAAGACAAGATAATCAGACATATCTTCATCTTCACTTTAAGTCCATTGTGCACACCACTTCACTTCAAGTCCACTGTGCACTACACTTCACTTTCTCATAAATTCAACACTATCCACTGCACTTCACTTTCCCATAAATCCAAGCTCATATATTTGCACTGGGCAAATTCCTTCCGCAATTGGCAGACTGAAGCTGCATAGATGGCATGACCATGACCGCTAGTACAGGTCATGTTATCCCTCCATCAAACGAGTAGGTCGCATTGCTATGGGTTGGCGGGAGGGGCCTTCGATCAGGTGTTAGAGGGATGCATCTCGATCAACAACCAGAAGGTATGAGCGGGCTCCTCCCATTGCTAGCTTTTTGCCTTTTTGGACAGCGAACTTGTAATTTTTTATGGTGGTGGTGGTTGTTATCGTGTGCCCTAAAGGTTCTGAACAGGGTGCGGCAGAAAAGCAAAGTGAATACAGAGACAGAGTCCAGGACTGTCAAACTTAGGCATTCCAAGCCTTGCCATTCAACCAGAAGGCTGGTATAGGCACACCGATATTGTCTAGGCTCTCCCTATGCCCTTTTGATAGAGAGCATGGAACATTTCAGCCTTTGATATATTCCCATCATATTCCCATCCCATTCGAATTCCCAGTACCATCCCATTCACATTCATGGTTTCCCGGTCTTTCCCAGGGTGGAGAAAAAGGAGTAGAGCGTGTGGGCACCCTTCGCCTGAAGAGCAGGGAATCATCGGCGTGACATGAACCCGAACCCATGCCGAAGGGGATATTATTACAGAGTACAGGATCACCGAGTCATTCAGTACCGGGACTCATAGTAGACAGTAGATAGTACCTAGGTAGGTGGCTTCTTCTTCTTCACCACGAATATCATACCTATATACACAAAGCATACGAATCTACCAGGTAGGTAGGTAGGTAGGCAATCACAGATATCATGCATGGTCAGGGTAGGGTAATTAGTCAGTACTACACCACCCGTGGTCTACGTAGTCCTTGATGAATCCCCGTCCGTACATCCCCGTCCTTATATCCCCGTCCTTATATCCCCGTCCTTATATCCCCGTCCTTATCTGCCCGACCTTATCTCCCCGACCTTATATCCCCGTCCCAACATTGAATCCCCGTCCTTGTCCTTCGGGGATCTAAATGTTCGGATTGAACTTGGAGCTTGAACTTGAACGAGGCCCGAGCCCGAGAATCCGTCGGACGATGTACTTTGTAGATAGATTGTCCATCCACCACTGCACGCCTCGACGTCCTCCGATGTCTTTACGCCGGGGTGTCGGGGTGTCGGGCGGTAGGGTTCGACGATGGTACGGAGAAGTACTTGACCATTAAGGCACTCCGAGACAATTTCAACTTCATACCTACATACCTTAGTATTTACTCGAAGACGGGTCGGTCGGTCGGTCACGGATTGGATTTCACGAGTGGACACTTTCAATGGCAATAGCAATAGCAAGCAATAGCACCCTTTACTCGATCCTTCCGTCGTTTACTGGGTCGGGTGGGGTGCAGACCTCGCTCAGCACGCTCTCTGCTCTCTATTCTCTGTTCTCCGCTCTCCGGCGTCGGCCTGTGAATAACCCATGTTCATGATTCTCTGGAGTGCGGCTCAATGGAAGATGGAAGGTCAGTCATTATGAGTCAAACAGTTGACTCCTCTATGATGTGACTACCGGCCTGAAATTATGCCAGCTCAAAATTGAATTATATCAGCACCACTAACCCCTACTCCTCGCTCCTTGCCATCGCCCCTCGCCCCTCGCCCCTCGCCCTCGTCCTCGTTTTCCTTCTCGTTTGAACAGACACAGACCCGAAACAAGAACGACACAGCCCAGTTTCCTTCATGAAATTACATTCAACCCTCCTCGGCGAACATGGTATGAGTTTCCCAGGCTTCCAAGGCTGAGCGGACAAATGCCTTGGCTGTGACCAAAGATATCCACATCTCCAGCTCCTCCAGAGCATCGTCACCCCCTTCCGGGTCGGTTATAGTGACATTGAGCAGTCTGTCGCCCAGATCTTCGCTATTAAGAAACCTCGACATGACATCGAGTTGTGGTAGCCTCTCGAGGTTGTCCCTCGAGAGCCGGAGTAGAATACTGCGTGAAGACGATTAGAAGTCCAGCCATTAAATTGTGCCACCTGTGACTTACTTTGTGGGTCTGGCCATTTTGCCAGAACAAAACTAAGCTGACTTTGGGGTTTGGATTCTCGCTGGATTCGAAGTCTGAGTGGACGGCTCTGTAGGTGTAGGTCTCAAGAAAGAAGAAGTCACACATCCCTCTTATTTATACCCCTTATCCTGGATAGCCATCGGCGATGCAGTTGTAAGGGCGTAGCCCTGTGCGTTGGCGGTTCTTTGTGCCCGTCTCTGCCACGCCCTTGTTTTGAACTTGTTGGGATTGAGACGTGGCAGGTTGCTGTGATGATAGATGAAAGAAGCCGCCGCAATCACTAAATAGGCCGGAGGCAGGGGTGACACTGCAACAAGAACAAGATTCTCATTTCCGCTGCTGCCTTTAGGCCGATGCAGGACCGATGTGGGTGAGTCCAGCAGTCTAGCATGGCTTGGTGAGCCAGAGTATGGGAGTGAGGGAAGAGGGATGCGAAAAACATGACATGGGTGTTCACCGCTCAGCAGTTCCTCCTGCAACTTTGCCGGGTTTATAGAGCTCGAGAAGAAGCATGCGCGCGTGGCCGTCGACCGGATAGCCCAGAAATAGACACTTTTAAAGTATTAGCTTGATCCGAAACCGCGGACGACCGGTAGTGACAGGCCTGACAGCCTTGACATCTTCTAGCAATGCCGGACAGCACAATGGACATTCGTTGGAGCCGCAGCTTTCGATGCCGAGTGGCCTATGAAGATTTTGACATGTCCGGCTGGGCTGGCGGAACGGTCACCCCCGTTCTGACAGCGCCGACCACTAACTTCAGCATTTCCATTCCGGTGACTCGATTTCTCAGCCATAGAAGCTTGTCCATTGTCATTCACCGAAGAACAGTCCGATACCCACCTCCTAGGCAGGGCGGCTTACAAGGGTTGAGAACTTCGGATGTCATACAAAACTTCGGATACGTAGGTCTGTATGTGTACTTACGTTGTAGGTGCCAGGGCTGAAGAAAAGGCTGGGGTATGTAGCTGCGCTAAGAAAGATGCCGGTCCTTCCTTTGTCGGCTCTTCGCTCTTCGAATTCGTCGCCCCCTTTGTCTTAGAGGGGCCGCTGTCAGTGCGGCGGTAACTGCCGTCTGCCAGCTCGTGCCAACGCCAACGCCGACCTGTGACCTGTCTGTCGGCCCCTAAGCCCCTACCTAGCCTTAGGAGCCTCCGTTAGTAGTGACTAGCTCGTAGCGACACGGAGGCGCTGGGTGCAAGCAGGCACCTGTGATACCAGCTATCATCCCTGCCTGGCGCCAGCGACCCTACGGCATATACCAAGGCACTGTACTTCGGGCTCTGTACTCCGGAATCTGTCAGTGTGTGAACGAATACGACGTAGCCCCCTGCTAGCGTTGATTGAAACTTCTCCCACTCATCCGCCTTCTGACGGAAGCACCTCCCCGGACCACGCGTCGGCTCGCTGAACCTGCGTCAACCTACCCGGTTCTGCAACACTCAGCTCGACCTTGGGTACTTACTGGCGTGGTGATAAACTGACTTAGACTATGATGAGGTGGCTACCGTATCCGCGACACCCTATCCGAGGGGGGTGTAGCGGAGGCGCACGGCTGTTATGACCCAAGCACAGAAGCAGTATGAACCCCTGGCAGCTGAACAAGAGAGGGGCATCGGGGCAGACTGTTGACCCCGTGTATTGTGGTGCCAACGCACAAGTACCTAAATGTTGAACTGGATGGCTCCTAAGACTTTCAACTAACCCAGGGTCTTGCTTTTAGGCAGGCGGAAGGGAAAGTCCAAATCCCGCGGCAAGTACGGAGTACTGTACTTTGAGCACTCGCACCCGCCTCAACATCGGCCCCCACCCCTTTAACTCAGACAGGCCATCAATCTCTGGGTCATATGCCTTCTGGAATCAGTGCAATCCTGCTCTTCACCTTGCCCGCATCCAGATCGGCCAGCACTTGAGGAAAATCCGCCAAGCTGGCCGTCTCAACCTGCGGCACAATGACCCCTTTCGCGATCAGGTCCAAGCAGGCTTCCAGGTCAGCATAGGTGCCACCGAAGCTGCCGAGAATATCAAGCCGTTTGCGGAGAGCGACCAGCGCATCGAAGGTGAAGGTGGGATTCATCAGGCCGACCAGGACAACGGTGCCTGCGGGGCGGACTGCGGTCTCATGGTTAGGTACATGTACAGTATGCCAGGAGAAGGAGAAGCTGTTTGGACTTGGACTCAGACTCACCGCTTTCCAGTGCATTTTTGAAGGTATCGGGCACACCCACGAAATCAAGCACACTGTCCACGGCCAATCCCTTCTTGCCAACCCACTCGCTCACACTCTTCGTCCCGACCGGTACCACGTCCTCCTCCCTGACCCCATACCTGACAGCCTCATCGAGCACTGCCTGTCGTTGGTCGACGGCAATGACCCGTGCTCCAATGCCCAAGACAATCTGCAGGGCATTAAAGCCCAGGCCCCCAAGCCCATACAGCAAGACGGTGTCGCTCTTCTTGACCTTGGCTCGGCCCACAACGGCCTGGTAAGCCGTCATGACCGCGTCGGTGGCCACTGCACCAACAGCGGGACTGACTCCAGGAGGCAGTCTGACAGCAGCCCGTTCGCGGATGGCAACATATGGTGCGTAAGAGCCATCATGGCCAATGCCATAGTGTTCGCCGCCTTCGCAGATCTGGGCCACTCCGTGGCTACATTCATAACAGGTTGGTTGGCCGCACCCCGGAACAGACAGCACAGATACCAGGTTGCCGGGTTTGAACTTGGTGGCGGACGAACCGACCGAAACTACTTCTCCGCAGCCTTCGTGGCCCTAGAGGACCAGCACAGAGACTTCAGTGGGGTCACTCAAGAGGTACAGGTGGTCTCTGGCAGAGCCGTGCATGAGAGCGCTGACCGGACCGCACTTACCAAGGTATACTTGTCCAAATAGTATGACGGCTTGGTCTCCGACTTCAATAAATGTACGTCGCTGTGGCACACTGAAGATCGACCTTAGCATCGGGCCGCAAAGACCCAGCCGAGGGCTAGATATAGCCATGGCGGAGGTAGATCTTCGATCTAAGATCAGGCCGCATCATCAGAAGCACATACCTCCGGCAGCAAGAACCTTCACCAAGAGCCCATCTTCCGGGGCGGTCGGCACCGGCACTTCGACACGCACCTGGTAGCCATTGCCATGGGTCAGAACATTCTCCGCGCGAAATCTCGCACATGCCTACGGTCCTCATATAACAGTAAGGACAGTCTTACCGGTTCCGTTGACCCAAAATGCTTCTGCCACGCCAGCATGGACTTTGGAATCCCCGAGGTCGACATATCTCTGGGTTTGCGGGAGGTGTTGCGGGAGACGGAGGCTCGCAAGCTCGAATGAAAGCTCCCAGCAGTTTGGAGCGACTGTTCGATGCGCTTTGAATAAGACCGGATATAGTCGGCCAGCTCCACGAGTCAGTGTTGTCGTTGCTGGTACACAGTAGGTATGAAGAGAGAGCCGGCGCATGCCGGAGAATAGATGAACGGTACGAATATACTCCAACCAAAGGCTTGATCCCTAACCTGATTAGGTCTAGACCATCCAACTCAGATATCTGCATCTTCTAGTTGAAGATTTGACCGGCAGAGATTCGCGTAAAGCTCCAACGCCTGGCCGATGATATTTACCATGCGCCACTGGACATTGCCGCGCATAATCACCGCCCATATTCTCACCACCATGTAAGCAAGCTCCAGGTAATCGGATCTGGATCTGGATTCTATCGAGCCTTCTACCTGGTCCTGGTCGATCGAGGCTCTTCCTTCTGCCACAATCTGGCGAATCCATTCCACAATGCCCGTTTCCTGTTCTGAGAAAGCATCACATCACAGATTAGTCCCGGGAATTCGAGATTCGAGATGGGGATAAAGAAAGTCCGAGTCGGAAAGCCAGTGGCACTTACTATCCAGTCTTTGGCTCTCGTGCAGCCCGGCTAAATCGTACAGCCATTTACTCACCAACACGGCAAACTCGAGGGAACAAAGCGCATGCTGAATGCTCCAGAAAAACCCCTGGCTCCGCGCCACGTATTCGACGCCGAGCTTCACCGGAATGTTGAGTGAGTGTGTTGCGTGTAGCAAAGCATGTATCAGCCGGGGCCCGCGTTGGACCGAAGGCATCTCGAGGAGCCTCTGGGCTATTTGATGCGGATCTCGAGAAGCCAGGACTCTGTATGGGCCGGCATCCAGGGACATGCGACAATATACAAGCCCGAGGAGCGCCGTCGATGTGAATGGTATTGGTCCACTGATATTTTGCGGGTCGAGGCTGGATTCAGGGGCCTGCTGCCAGGCCAATGTCCAAGACCGAAGCGCGTTTCTGTGAAAAGATGTTAGAATGAGCGAGCAAACAAATGTCTGAAGGACAGTAACGCCATTCTCGAGCATATCTCAGACATGCCAAGATTCGCATCTTGCATGCAAGGGGACGGGTTTAGGTCCGACTCACTCTAGAGAATCCAGTTCGATCGATGGAAGATAAGACGGACTGTTTTCAATGGAATGGAATGCTTGCCGTACGAGAAAGATCCGTTGCAGCAGTCCATGCAGCAAGACATAGTTGCCTAAAGCTGAAGGATTTGGTTTGAGACACACGGGACTGCTGGAAGATGATAGCAGAAGGGTCAGTGCCTTTGAGAAAATGACTTGTCGGGCAGGCGGTGGCTGCCGGTATGCAAGCCAATGTTCTTCGGTTATTGCCGCCCATTCTTCACTTGATGATGGAAGACTCAGGTGGATTTCATTCCCCAGAAACAATGGTGGCACGTTATAAGCAAGACTGTGGATGTTGAGGAAACAGAAAGCGAGAAACTTGGTGCGTTTGTCGGATTCATTCCTGGCCCAGCGCCGCCAATCGACTTCATCGCCCTCATTGTTACCATCGGCGAGCCCAGCTTCCCGGACACATTGCACTAAAGCGCTCTGCATGGAAAGGGCCGCCCGGTAGACGTGTGGATCAAATTTCCAGGTCGAAAACACAAGGAGGCAGAGCAAGCACCGGGCGTCGTCCATCAGACACACTTTGGATGCGGTTCCTTGCCCGTCCGGTTCTCGACAGCCAAAAAAGAAGTGACCGTCTTGAGATTGGAATGTTGGAGAATTTTCCGAGGGAATCGAGCCTTCAGCAGGTGTTGCAGCATAGATTGTGTCTCTTGGTGCCATCTCCCTGCGTTTGATTCGTTCCTGGAGAATGCTTTTGGCGGCAAAGAACAAGGTGATGCTTTTTTGATGCTCAAATCGATATTGAGCCCCAGCAGCAGCTATAGCCAGGACGAGCTCCAAGTTACATGTGGATACTTCGAAAGTAGGTGCATGGATAAATGGCAGATGTGGGTGGAACGAGTCGAAGTAGGCATTCAGGTATCGGGTCAAAGCATGCCGCGAAGGCAGAGCAAAATTTGGCACGCATTGTTGATAGTCTGACATGGAGAGATGCAAAAGTCTCATTTGCTCTTCGTCGAGATCAAAGCGGTACGCAGTCGCGACATCTCGATGTCGTTTCCCTTAAGACCAGACTCGCCGTCAGTCCTTGGTTCTTTAGGGTTAGAGATTTCCATCTTACCTTTCATTTCTTGAGGTATTGGTAGGGTGGCTGCCGACTGAACGTTGGATACTGCATTCCGGGCCTCATTTTCTCCGTGATTGGCCGCCACAGGGGCTAAGGCCGCATTCATAGTTGCAGTACCCGTGCCCTCGTTCGAGCTGTCGTTCCGATGTGTTGTTGGTTCAGCTTGCTCCGTAGCCGCAGGCATCTGGTCGAACAGCGGGTCCCAATCGATCGTCAGACCCATACTGTTGACAAAGTCTGCGAAATCTTGGTACGGATCGGCTTCGGGTAGGACAGAGGCTACGAGCTCGGCCGGTCGTTTAACCTCCATTTCTCATCTGCGATTTAGGAGAGTGGAAAGGGAAAGACTCACAGGGGTTTTGGTCTCTCGAAGGCAGAGGCAGGTCGTCGGCCATTGAATCATTTTCATCCATCAAATTAATGGCTGGCTCGAAAGGAACGAGGTCTAGATTTCCCCGCTCACCCTCAAATGCCGTTCTAGTAGAAGGATCGGCATGGTAAGTTGAAGTTGCGGCGATGGGGGTGTTGTCATGTAAATGGCCATCTGAATTTGACGCCGGTGGGACACTTCCCAAGAATGCGACATCATGTGCGTGTGCGTCCGACCGCGGTCGATCTTGATGCGAGACTCGGTGGTGCCTCTTGAGAAGATCAGGTCGCGTGAAGGCCGCGCCACAGCCACACGAATATGGCTTTTCGTGGGTATCTAGAGTCATTAGGAACTGGAGTGGCCTTTTTCCTTTTTGGGGTTAGATGTCAGAGCAAACATACGAGTGCGAATATGGCGTTGCAGATGCTCAGAACGACGAAAAGTGCGGTGGCAATGGTGGCATATGTGTTGTTTTCGGACACGGCCGCTACCGCTTGCGCTTGGGGCAATTGGCTCATAGCTCCTTGACGAGAGCATCGTCACGCTGATACGACTGGGTTCTGGGTTCGCCTACAGCGGCCCTGGACGTGCATTTCGTGTGCTTCGCAAGAAGAGTGGACGCTTAAGAGAGAAAGAATCGATGAGGTCAAGTGCCGAACAGGAGATAGCGGCTAACTTGAAGTAGTAGCCTTCTAATCTTATCAGTAGGTGGAGTCCAAGCCTCGTGCCCCTTCAGTTTGTCAAACTTAGGCATCCCCAGCCTTGTGCTTTAACCAGAAGGCTGGTTTAGGTGCTATCTATACTATATATTATGCACTCCCCTGCGACCCGTTGATAGAGAACATAGAGCATTTCAGCCTTCATTAGATACAGTTTTGTTCGGACTGTCTCAGGGCACCAAGTTTGGCGTGTCATGTCCCTGCCATACTCGCTCCGAAACTCCTATCTCCTATATTTTACTTCCGCTCCGTCTCCCAAAGCTCTCATCCAGGGCGGCAATCTGTGCATACAACCCGCGCAGTAGTGGAGTTTGCACACCGTGCCGGTCGGCCCTGGCTAAGAGGTTGCCCAGAAGAGCATCCACCTCCATGCGCCGCCCAGACAGCGCGTCTGCTAACATGCTCGGCTCGTTGCCTGGCAGATCCTTGGCTTCTATATTTCTGATATGCATGTCCCCCATTTGTTGAGAAACCGTCTTATATCCAGCAGCCTGTGCGACCGACGATATCTCATACATGACGCTGCGAACGTACTCCCTGGCATGACCGGACGACCGGAGGAACTGGACGTCTCGCGAGCGAGTCAACGCACACACCGGGTTCCACGTCGCATTTCCCAACAGCTTGGTCCATCGCTCGAGCTGGATATCATCATGAAGGACAGCAGAACCGCCTCCTTTTGCAATCAGCCGGACGAACTCTCCAGCCGCCTCTTTATGCTCTTGGGGAGCATTGGCCGGGTATGTTCCGACGTGGAGCTTTTCAAGGTCCTGATGAACGAAGACGGCCGGCGAAACCTGTGTCACTGGAAGATACACGGCGCAGCTTAACAGTGGATTATTGGGATACATGCTGGCGTATTCAGACTCGGTGTCAATTCCATTTTGTAGGAGCACGATAGTGGTCGTCGGCTGTGTGACGACGGCTCTTAATAGTGAAGGGTATGACGGACTCGTGGAAATGGCTTTGGTGCTCACTAAGACATACTGTAGCAGAGTAAGCTATAATGAGTCAAAGCTCCTTCCAACGCTCGCTTGAGTCCATTGAATCGAATAGGGCACACACAAGCTAGACTCGTTAACGTACATCGTAAGGCCCAAAAGCAGCCGACTGCTCGACCGTTTCCACCACTTGAGGCTTCAATGTGAGACCTCGGCCGAAAATACTGCTGTCGATTCTGAACCCATTTTTACGGCCTGCCTGATAATTCGAGCGGCAGACACAGACAATGTTTTCTGGTGAAACGACCCTGGAGAGTATATAGGCGTATACCGTTCCAATCGAACCCGAGCCAAAGACTAATATTTTCAAAGCCATGATGGATACCTGCGATGCTAATACTCCGTAGGTAGTGATCTCTTTCTAATGGAGAATTTTCTTCCTCTTCCTTGAATGTTGCTGGGCAGAGGCTGGGCGAAGTGAACAGTTCGTCCTCCGTCGGTTCCTCGAAAGACAAAGTAGACTTTTCAAGAGATCGATTCAATCGTCAAATGCTGGTCTGTCCGACTTGAGTGAGTAGAGGGAGGCACTCACGTCCTGACTCCACTCGGGAATTCGGAAAGCGACTCCAACCAAGAACCATCGCTCGGCTGTTGGAGTCTCGTCAAATTTGGAGTCGTTGGGTCTTTATCGCATTATTAGCCCTCTAAGTAAACCATCTACATCCTAGGTAGATCTCCTAGATGCCTTAGGTACTTAGGAGGCTGAATTTACATCGTTTCTATCCGGATAGAGACCTTCACCAAGTCAGACAAGTTTGGATACCAGACCATCTTCATCCATTTCAATATCCATCGACGATGGCAGACTCCTCAACTTGTCTTCCTCTAGTCCCCCAGTCGGTCACAGACGCTCATACCAAAATCAAAGAGCATATACACCGGACTCCACTCCTCACCTCGAAAACAATCAACGATATTGCATCGTCCCCAGACCCTGCGATCTATTTATCCGACTCTATCGCCAATCCCAGCAAGCCTTTTGACTCGGAACACACCGATGGCGTGCCCAAGTTCAATCTCTTCTTCAAGTGTGAAAACTTTCAACGGATCGGCGCATTCAAGGCTCGAGGGGCTTTCTACGCCATCACGAGACTGATCGACACCATGACTTTACCGGTCCTTCGCGAGAAGGGGGTCATCACCCATAGCTCGGGAAACCATGCACAGGCACTGTCGTTGGCAGCCCACACATTCAAGGTGCCTTCCTACGTCGTGATGCCTCAAATCAGCACGTCAAGCAAGGTCTTGGGTGCCAAGCGGTACGCAAAAGAGGTCATTTTCTCGGGAAGCACGAGTCACGAAAGAGAGGCGGCCATGGCCCAGGTACAGGCAAGAACAGGAGCAATTTTTGTCCCGCCTTTTGATCATCCTGACATCGTGCTCGGCCAAGGGACGGTGGGAAGGGAGATGTCGGAACAGTTTCAGGAGCTACTGGTAGATGAGAAGGCACAGTTGGATGCAGTCCTCTCCCCTATTGGTGGCGGTGGGCTGCTGGCCGGGATTGCGACATGGTTTAGCGACAAAGAGACGACAGTGTTTGGTGCAGAACCTAGCTTTCAAGGAGCAGATGATGCGAAAAGGGGACGCCGTGCTGGTAGCAGGATCACCAGCGTCCGGAGCTTAACCATCGCAGACGGGCTGAGAATGCCGGTGGGATTGGTGAATTGGGAAATTGTCCGGGACAAGAAGAAGGTCGAAGAGATCTACAGCGTAAGTGAGGACGAGATCAAGATGACAATGAGGCTCGTGCTGGAGCGGATGAAACTGGTCGTAGAGCCGAGTGCCTGTACGACGCTCGCTGTAGTCCTCTTCAACCCTGACTTCAGAAGACTGGTTGCGGAGAGCCAGAACGGGCGGCCGTGGAATGTAGGGGTTGTATTCAGCGGTGGAAACACCACGGTCAAGATAATCAGTACTTTGTTCGCCGACGATGATGCGAGCCCCAAAGAAAAGAGCTGAACGAAAGGCGAACAGGACACGCTAGAGGAGGCACAGAAATTCCATACATGGGATACCAAAGTAAAAGTTTCTCTTTCTCCTACCCCCAAAGCTTATCGAAACATAAAACATCAAGATTGCGTTAAAGGTGTGTCCAAGCCGTATCGAGACTGGCCTTGACAGGCTCTGTAAGACAGTGTCATGGGTGTAGAATTCTGAGTAGGCCATGTGTACGTTTGTTTGTCTTCCGCTGGATGGGATCCCGCCTCTATCCCCCTCAGTAAGCAGTCATGATGGCAAGCGGTTGCTCAATCTGCTATTCAGTATGAACTCCAGATAACTTGCCTTCATATAATTGGTCAAGATTTAGGTGAGAAGGGAGTTGAGCAATCAATCCAAGGTGGAGAGGCCTCCAACGATAACGCACATCTATATTGATCCACCAACTTACTCCAAACGGTTGACCCCAAAGATGCCCTAGGCTCGAGCTATTCGCGCCACAATCCTGTTACTCGGAATTGAACGAGCATCAGCCTTGTCGTCGGCCATCATCTTAGGGTCTGTAGGTATCTTGTTGGAACCATACTGGTCAAATCTCTTGGACAGTTTTCATCCCTTATCAGGGAGAGTTTCTTTCCTATCTTCCACCATGTCGGAAGAAGTCGACTGGAATGACTTCTACTGCCTATAAATTGGCCTGAAGCCTCTCCCTGCTCGAAGCTCGAAAATCCCGATTTCGTCTTCGAACACCTTCTTCACACTGCCACCTTGTCCCAGCATACTACTAGTATTGAATAACAACATCCGGTGGACACCACCTGTGCTGAGATTCCAGCCGAGATTCCCGTCATGAAGGTCAACAAGAACGTCTTCCGGGTGAACAGCCCCCTCAACCAAAACATTGTCATGGGATGGTAAAGATAGCAAGATCCTACTGCCTAACATATCCAAGCTGACGAGGTCGTGGTGTAGCATCTTGTTCTGTCTCCCTGGCATATATGTAGCCTTGACCGGCCTAGGTGCTGGAGGTGGCCGGCCTTCCTCGGCCTCTGTCGCCAACGAGACCAATGCCATCTTATATGGCTTGTTCGCCTTGTGTGCCTGGCTGGCAGGTACCGTCATCAATTTGCTGGGGCCTCGCATCAGCATCGTCATTGGAAGCATCGGGTACCCTCTGTACATTGGAGGCCTGTGGTATTTTGACCGCACCGGCCACAGCTGGTTTCCTCTGTGGGGGGGTGCCATGTTAGGCATTCTCTGTGGCATTCTGTTGACGGCCGCCGCTTTCATCCAGTTCGCTTATCCAGAAGAGAAAGATAAAGGCCTCGTGAGTGGAAACATTCAACCCCTTCCCCCATTCGCCACACGCCCCGACTGACATAAGACCGACCAGTTTATCAGCATGCAATTCATGATGAAAGCATCCGGTGCCTTTGTGGGTGCGCTCATTGCGTTCTGCGCCAACGTCCACGAGAAAAAAGCCGTGGGAGTGTCTACGGCCGTGTACTCGGTTTTCATCGCCATTCAAACAAGTTCGATCCTGCTTGCGGTGTTTTTCATCACCGATCCAAAAAAGGTGGTGCGCAACGATGGTAGACACATTGCCATCTTTAAAGCTCCAACCCTTGTCGATGGGCTCAAGGATCTGGGCAAGGCTTTCCTCGACAAACGTCTTCTGATCCTGTTTCCCGCCATGCTGGTTTGTGAAATGCCCCTGGCCATGGTCAGCACGATTAACGGTGAGTCACATATTCACACACACGAGATGGTATGATGTGACTAAGTCATGTTTACAGCCTTCTACTTCAATCTCCGCACTCGATCGCTCAACAACATGTGTTTCCAGTTCATCCAGATCCTGATGCCATATCTGTTGATCTATGTCCTTGACAGCAAACGGATTGCCAGTCGTCGCCGGCGAGGAGCGATTGGTGTGGTTATCATGGGCACCCTCGCCATCGGAGCCTGTATTGGCTTGTATATCTGGCTTGACGTGGTCCATTATGCCGACATCAAGACTTCTCCTGCGGTTGACTGGCAAGATTCGCACTTTCCGGGCATTTTTGTCATTTACATTCTCTTTGGAGCCATTTTCGCCGGCTTCCAGGTCGTGGTTGAGTGGATCCTATCGGCTCTCACAAATGAACCATCGACACTGGCACAATTTGCTGGCATGGTGAAAGGCACCTCCAGCCTTGGGATGTGTATCTCTTTCGTGGTCGCGGCCCAGAAGGTGCCGACAGTCGGCCAACTGAGTTTGCAGTTCAGGTGCGTACAGCTGATGCCTCCCTTTTCCAGTCTTCCCAGTCCGGTGATGGTTCCAATGAGCTGACAGAAACCGTAGTCTGTACGTGCTCGGTATAGCAGGCCTCTTCTGGGTTCTCTTCTTCCACGTCAAGGAGACAAACTACTTTATCGAGGAGACTGTCATTGTCCCCCGCCATGTGGAAGAGGAGACGATGGGGAAGCTCGGTACTGATCAGCAGCGAGAGGCCGAGTATATCAAAGAGCATATTGCGACTCAGCAAGCAGCAGCAGGGGTGACGAGTCTTGAGGAGGATAATGTGGAGATGCAAACCTCCACCATCGCACAGAAATGAACATTTCAGGGAGAGAGAGAAGTGCGACGAAGTTGGTATATTGGACCTGATCGGTAGAATCTTGAGTACAGTCAAACATGAGATCTGATTATTTGTACCTACGCTGAGGCTTCTTCAACTGTACATAGTATATGTAATTGTGCAAAACTCACCAAGTAGCCTATTCCGGACTCCTAGAGGTTGAGGATGCTGTCTGAACCACCCTCCGCACCAAAAAACAAATAAGGAGTCAAATCCATCATGTACGTGTTTCATCCAAGCTTGACACCGTCACGCGTTGTCTTTACCCATCTGATTCCTTATCTCACAATCCTGGACCCATGTTGGAGGCAGTCCGCGCATTCAGGCGACAGACAGTGAACCCCTGGGGAGCGGGGCCTTCGGGGTAGCTTTCTGACAAGAGTCCCCACAAGGCCGAGGTCGGGACTTGAGTCTTCTGGAGCTTATCAATGGCGGTCCATTGCAGTTGAAGGCACAGCGAGGACTGATAAAACAGAGCATCGGAAACTGTTTGGAGAGAGAAAGGGAGAGAGAGAGACCTTGGTCATGCAATAACTCTGGAATTCTGGAACTCAGTCCCGGTACCTCACCTCACTTTACAGCTCAAAGATTCAACTTTGGTGACAAATAGATCGGTGTCATCTGTCCCGTGACAACGAGTTGATATCTACGGGATTGGCGAGCTCTTGTTGTTTGTCAACTGTACTGAGTTCCTGTTCCTCTTTTTCCAGCAGTATGGTATCGTGGGAAGAGACCGGATCTGTAAGGCCCCCCCGTGTTTTCGCCATCAGTTGACATCAAGCATCAACTTCTGAAACATCGAGCAGAATTTCCGAGCAGCTCTCCAAGCCAAGATTCCACCCGAATGGCAGCTATCCGGGGTTTCCAAGGAGGCTGAAAAACCGCGAAACATTCTCCCTCTCTTCCACCGTTGTGGCCTCTTGACCGAGCGGGAACTTGAAATCACTGAGATCGAGGATGCAACGGCCCTTCTTGCCAAGGTCCACTCGGGCAGTTGGACCGCGTTGGAAGTGGTGTCTGCCTTCTGCAAGCGTGCCGTCATGGCTCAGCAGTTGGTGAACTGTCTCATGGACATTGACGTGGAAGGTGCGATGCAGCGTGCTCGAGAGCTAGATGCGCATTTTGCCTCGACAGGGTCTCCTGTCGGACCCCTTCATGGTTTACCCATCAGCCTCAAGGTGTGTGTGTGTGTCCTAGTGTCTTCAATGTTGGAATTCAATAATAATGCCCATTGGACTGACATGCCACGCGTCCCGCGCAGGATCTAACGAAAGCCCGAGGATTCCACCATTCATTTGGCATCACGGCCTGGGCCGGCCGTGAAGACGACGAAGATGCAGTCGTGGTACAAATCCTCCGGGAAGCAGGGGCGGTCTTCTACGTCAAAACTACAATGCCCCAGACGGGAATGGTATGTTGGTTGATGCATCTTTTTGGCCGGTTGGAAGTCTTCACTGGCTGATTCGGTATTGAGAAACACAGGCACTCGAAACCGTTTCCAACGTATGGGGCACCACGCTCAATCCGTTCAATACCGACCTCTGCGCCGGGGGTTCTTCCGGGGGCGAGGGGGCTCTCGGAGCCTGTCGCGGGGCTCCATTGGGCGTTGCTACAGACATCGGAGGCTCCATTCGGGCGCCAGCGTCCTTCAACGGGCTGTATGCGTTGCGTCCGACCTCGACCCGCTTCAGTTATGCCGGAAATATCGTCGCAGTGGGGGGTCAGATCGCCATTTCCGCCACGGTTGGGCCAGTCGGTCATAGTATACGTGACTTGGAACTGTTTTGTCGGGTTTCGAGTGACTTCAGACCATGGCTGCATGATCCAGCAGTCGTGCCCAAGCCATGGATTCCCGTCGAAGCCCCTCGGAAGACAAGCATCGGAGTCATGTGGTGGGACGAGGTTGTGATGCCGCACCCACCCATCCTGCGTGCAATGAAATCGGCCGTGGAGAAACTCAAGTTGGCCGGGCATGAAGGTAAAGCTTACCTATATGCATAGTACTATCCCCAGTCAGTCAAAATCTGTTACTAACACGTACATCTCACGGCACTCTCTAGTCGTTGAGTTCAAACCTTACAGACACCAACATGCCTGGGATATTACCGTAAGCTTTTGCCCTCCACCCTCCAACAAGTTTCATTTCAGCTTTAGCTTATTACTGATCCCTCGATATCGGTCGGCCACAGTTCCCTCTTTACTTCCCGACAGGAGGACAGGAGATGAGGGAGTTCCTTGCCAGCAGCGGAGAACCCATGATCCCATCGGTGTCCAAGTTCCTAGAATCTGCAAAGTGTTTATCAGTGCCGGAACTGATGCATTACCAAAGGTCGGTCAGCTTCCATCTTTTATCGCGTGAACTTTTTACCCATGTTGATTTCTTGTAAACTACCAGGGAACAAAAAGCGTATCGGAATGAATATTTCAAGCATTGGAATGCAACCGCGACTCAAACAAGTTCGGGACGACCGGTAGACGCCATCCTCATGCCGTCGATGGCATCGGCCGCATTCCCTCACCACCATCTTCCGTGAGTTACTACCAGTAGTGTGACAAAGTGTTATGATGAGTTTTTTTGCCTTGTGCCTCCTCTAACTCTTTGGACCTAGGTGGTGGGGTTATTTGTCGACTTGGAACCTGCTCGACTATCCGTCTGTTGTGATTCCAGTCACACAAGTCAAGCCGGACGACATCAAAGATGCGGCGTATCAGCCGGTCAACGAACGAGATGCCGACAACTATGACCTCTACGACCCGGTTCTCTTCGACCAAGCACCGGTCTCGCTACAGCTCGTTGGCCGGATTCTGGAAGAAGAGCAGCTCCTCGCAGTGGCCATAGCTGTAGATCGTGCCATCAAGACAGAATGGACATAGCACACCCCTTCGTGACTGTCTGGTCTAATACTACTTGATAGCTTTTCTGCCCTTCACCGGTCCTCTCAGAAAAATAAAATACAAATCATGATCCCTTCTTTTTTTCCTCTTGCTTCCTTTTCTTTTCTGTTAGGGGATCTCTGTCGCGTAGAATTACAGGAATTAAGCTAAGACAAGATCTGATCTCGATCTAGGACATACACACGCGCACGTATTAAGCAACTTGCCTGGATTGGTTGTGTTCAAAGGAAGCGAATTGGCTTACTCGACCATGAGGAGATGAAGATCCCCTCTACACATTATTGAGAAGGATAGCTTCAACTCACTGGTCCACGTTGCACCTGGAATGCCACCAACACGTAGTTTTGAAACTGTACGCAGCTACCTAACAGTGGAATCACTCTATCGTGGAACAAAAAAGGGCTCCCGGAGATTTTCCACTCTCATCAGTACCCGAGAGATAATCGATCAGCCCTGATTCGTGGTATACTTATTGTATTGGAGTAGTAGTATGTATGCGGCTTGCTGTCTTTACTGCAACAATATATATAGACTATCAACTTCATCGACCCTCTCGCCCAGCCAGGGGGGGTCACACGGTCTGGAAGGTGACAGGTTGCTTCCTGGTCGTGTTCACCTTCAGGTCAAAGACATCAAATCTTTGGTAATTTCCCACCAGATCATGGTATTGCTTGCCTTCGATGGTGGCATCCATATCCATGTCGGCGTAGAGGATGCCCTCGTCGTAGCGCAGCGATTCCACATCATCGGTTTTCAGACCCGTCACCTTGTCGATGGTGAAGCCTCGGTGGAGGGACCCCGATGGATTTAGGAAGGCGGTTTCTGCCTGCGATGACTTTTCCAGCGTGGACTGAACGAGGGCCTTTGCCGACGCTGGAGCCATGGATGTGACGACGGCGATATTTTCGGGCGACAGGACCGCCGAACTGATGACTCCAAAGCATTTGCCTTCGACACACTGATTTCCGCAGCGGAGACGATTCATATGGATCGGGTCCCATCTGCCGAATTCCTTGGATGATTCTTCTCCTTCCTTTTTGGCCTTCTTCCACTGAAGGTCATCATCTTTGGTCTCCCCCTCGTGGTGGCTATGATCATCATTGACATGATCAGCAAGACCCATGATGGATGTTGCTGGCCATGAGGATATGTGAAGGTTGATTCCTTGAGCAACCATGGTGTATCGAGCCAGTGGGTTCGTGTTTTCGCCACAGATCAAGGTGCCAAACTTGACCGGCTCATCGTCCCCGGCAGGGCCCTTGATGGGCAGGTTGGCCACCTTCAGCCCGTGGCCGTCGCCGGGCGTCCAAGTCATCTTTTCGTAAAATGTCGGCACTAGCTTTCGATGATGCACCACCACGTCCCCATGGCCGTCGATGATGAGGTTCGAGTTGAACATGGTCGCGCTGCTGTATCGAACCTTCTCGGAAATGCCCACGCTCACCATCACGTTTCTCTCGCGAGCAGCCACCCTGATGGCGCCAACTTCCTCGCCGTCGGCAAAGACCGACTCCTTCGACATCTTGGCAAAGTACTCGTGTGCTGCACCGGGGGCCACGATCGGGCCCCAGAATGGGAACGCCGGGATGAAGGTTTCGGGAAAGATGACAAGGTGCGCCCCGTGGTCTGCTGCTTCGTGGATCAGCCGCACGCACTTTTGCGTCGTTTGCTTAGCATCGAGAAGCACCGGCGACACATGGCACGCTGCCGCTCGAACGATGGAGGGCATTCTTTTCCTTGGTCTCTCTTCTTTTCTGCTTTTTGGCAACGACAGCGACGCACGAGAAGAGATAGGTAGTCAGACTAGGGTACTTAGGGAGGTCAATTTCCTCAGGGTATTGATTGTAGTTTGTCCGAGAGTGTAATAGAATCAGAACTTTTTGGCCACACTCACACACTCTCTCTCTTTTTAAAGACCAACCCTAAGAAGTCCATCCTCCCTACGCCTATTACGGCGCTCTACTAGCCTGTTCCGGGCCGCCGAGTATACCAGCTGCATTTCATCTCTGGGGAGTTGAAGGCTCCAACCGAAAATAGGAGGGCATCCGCTCAGGCTGACTCGACTGACTCCAATCCGTGTGAAGAACTTTTGAGAAGCTAATTACTACGGGGTAACTTACTAACTACTACGGAGTAATACGCTGTGATCTGATGGAATTTCGTGCTCCAACCGACTCCAATCGACTCCAACAAACTGGGTCCAAACCTCCGACCCGACCGCTCCAGATAACTTCAACTCAGCATTCATCTATTACCTACAGTATCTTTGTCGTTATCTCCAACACATGGCCGGCCGGTGGGGAAGATAGAAGAGGCAGTTTAATCGTGTCTCAATAGCTAGCTAAATCCAGTAGGTCAAGGCATTGATTGTTATCACTAAGCCGATGCTTACGTGGGCTTCTTTTTTTCAAAGTCGTTTGTTGCAAAATATTCCCCCGTTCTTTCAATCCAACCTTTTGTACCTATAGCCAACTCGGTGTACCAACTCGGTGCCCAGATATTTTCTTTCACAGAGGGCTAAAGGCATATCAATCTCTTGTATTCAAACCAAAACTGTTTTCTTCAGGCCAAGAGGATCGATCCTAAGAACTTCCTCCGTCAACAAACCAAAAATGTCCAAGAGGGCGGTCTACACAGACAAAGCGCCCAAACCGCGGCCGGTATACAACCAAGCCATCGTTGCCAATGGCTTTGTGTTCTGCTCGGGCCAGCTCCCAAAAGATTTGTCTGGAAAATTGGTCGAGGGGACGGTGCAAGATCGGACAGTGAGTCTTATTTTCTAAACCCCCATGTATATGTTGTACATCCTCCTGCGCACAGCAGCAGGGCCTCGGAGAAAAGGGGGAGGGGGAAAGGGATGCAGATGAAGTATTACTAACCACCTTTTTAATGTGCGCAGCACCAATGCATCGCAAACCTCCGGGCCGTTCTGGAGGCGGCAGGGTCAAGCCTCGACAAGGTGGTTGAAGTCAATGTGTTCTTGTCCGACATTGCCGATTTTGCAAGCATGAACGAAGTGTATTCGCATTACTGGGGCGACGTGAAACCTGCAAGAACGTAAGTACCAATCCAAGAGTCCGTCCTCGTGGAAAATCCCGGAACAGGAAACTTTCCTTGGGATATGGGGCAATGGTATCCGGTGGGGATGCAAGGCTTTCGGAAAAAAGAAAAAGAAGAAAGAAAATGGTATCCTTTATCCTTTTTGGGGACTTTTGGCTGACCGGATGATCTTTTCTCAACGAGCTTAGATGCGTGGCTGTCAAAACGCTACCGGAGAATACAGATGTCGAGATCAAATGCGTTGCTGTATTGTGAGAGAATTAGGGGATTCGACGAATGGATTCGACGAGGCTTGAAAGTCAGAGATGAGAGGGCCAGAATGGAAAGAATATGGAGACGGCTTAATTGCTCCAGGAGTCCTCCAAGGCTGAGCGGGCAAAGGAGAATTACAGCCTGACAGACCCAAACGAGTCGAGTTTCGCCCGGACCTGGTTGCCGATGGAATGTACGGAGGAGACAGTCAATCAAAAGAACCACCTTACTGCGTAGTCGTCCCGACGGTTCCGCACTTGAGCTCTCCTATGCTGATTTAAAAGCGCCGCCACCTACGGGGGAGAGGTTCCCGTTGGCCTTAGCCCATGGAGGCTTAAGGAGCCCCTTACCCCCGGCTGACGGGGCTCAGGGGCTTAGGCTTAGAAGGCTTTCCTTTAGGCCTTGGGCTAGGGCTTCAGCCTTGTGAACTCGCTACATACCCCTACATACAATAGTTCCTGGAGCAGCCGGGGTCAAGGGGCTAAGGGGCTATGTATACTCCGTACAGTACCATGTAATCATGGCGATTGATTCATCATAACAGCAAGGACTTTTCCAACCTTGCACCACGGTAAATGGAGAGTCTGTTTTCTGTTTTCTGTTTTCTGTTTCCCAACAAGCACTGTCAATTCCAATTCTCGACGCGACCTCTCACTGATGACGAGTCCAAACACGTCTCGGCGGAGAACGAAGGTCTGAACCTGAACCTCTCGCAACCCCAGCCACAAAACGAGAGACGAGAGATTCGACGATATTTTCAAAGGGAGTAGGTCTTGTTACGACATATCTGTGGTTGTTGGATGGTGGATGGTGGATGGTGGATAGTGGATAGTCCTCGTACTCTACTCTCAGAGGTAAACCACCATGGCGAACACACGTGTTGGTGGATGAGCCATTTTCATTTCCGTTCCCATTCAGATTTCCATTTCTAGAGTAGGGAGTATAAATCCGATCCCACCGGGCTTCTGTGCGGACAAGGACAACTGAGACACTGACTCTGCACGGAGTACGGACGGATAATGCCTCACTCAACAATCAGCTGATGCTGAAGCTAGGGCGGCGAGAGCCAGAAGTACGGAGTACGTAGTGTCTAGTGCTTCCTAGCGCCACTTAGTGCCCGTGGCTTGATGTAGTGGTCGGAGAAGAATCGGCAGCCACGGACACTCCCGTGCTAGTGGATAGGACTAGTCGCCTTTTGATCTAGGTTGCTACTAAAGCTCAGTCACTCGTCACTCGTCACGAGTCTAGACCCCAATCGTGTCGGGGCAGAGAGACGGCCAGTCAGTGCTCGCCATCATGAGCCAATACCAATATTGAAGCCGACTGACCCTTATCTCTCCTGACCGGGCCGACTGCTATCTGTACGTACTCTGTACGTACAGATATGCAACAGTGGTCACTCTGTACGTACAGATTTCAACAGTGGTCTGTAACATGTCACTCCGTCTCCTCGATTGATTTGCCTGATCCCTCGTTCCGCTTTCCTGAAGTGGATCTCCATCTCCAGGTCTACCCGAAGCATTTGACTCCGATTGACGCACGATTGACGGTTGACGATCGACGATTGACGGGTCTCGACTTTGGTGGCTTTGGGACTGTGCGTGTCGAATAGATATAAATACTGGTTGCCCTTTTAGGTCTCGGATCGCTGGAGACAAGCAACCTCTTCGCAGCACCTTGTGTTCTAAACCACCACCACGACCACCACCATCACCATGACAGCAGCAGTTGTGCCCCTGTGGGCTGGGTTTCCCGTTCCCACTGGAGTGCGATTGAACCCACAGCCTCAACTATGGACACCTCCGCGGCACGCTCTGAAGTGCCAGGCAACGAGCAAGGATTATGAAAGGAAATTGTCGCCTCAGTTCATCGTCTCTGACAAGGTATGGCTTGTCACTGACACCGCCGTCGCACTCTGACGATCGCAGATTCTTGATACTGTCTCCGACAAGGCCGAATCCGATGGCGCATCCGTTCTGCTCGACATGCCGTACGAGATCCTCCTGACCATCTACGACAGTCTCGGCCACGCACCGTCTCAGATCGCCCTGGCGCTGACCTGTAAGCGCATGGCCATGGTCGCCCGAGATGTCCATCTATCTCTGTCAGCCACCTCTGCCAGATATGCTGGCTTTCTACCGAAACGCGTCTTTGACGTGCCAGACCTCATGGCCCAGCTCAACCCGTGGATGCCGGCCACTCTACGGCTCTGCAACCACTGCTTGACCAATCGACCCTTGCGTGAAGACTACTGGAACACCATCGTCGGGTGCGAAATCAGCAATTTCTGGATTCAGAAGACGGGTTGGACCTTCCACGACGCCAGCTGGCACAAGCAGGTCCACGACATCTGTCCTGCCTGCCACGTCTCCTGCACTTTGAGTGACTATGTCGATTGTGACGGCTGTCGCACTCTAGGCCGACTTGGCGACATCGACTGGTCTCGTGTCACCGAGTCCTCGCCGCGGCGAATTGGGCCCGACTCTCAATCTGGCGGCAGCGTAACTTGACCTCACCCTAAACCCTTGTCAAAGATACTACTCCGTATGATGTACGGAGACTGAAGAGAGCGCCATATCAGTCGCCGATCTCTTCAGGAAAAGATATTGGGTAGTCGGACCTAGCGTTGCCTTAGCAACGACTAAGCCTAAACAATGGCTTCAAAGGCCAACCTCATCCTTTTTCCTTTCATCTATCTCTCACCACGGCCAAGGCAATCTGGGACGCCATGAAAACATACCAAGAACCAGGATCTCTGGTGTTCGCCCAGATCGTCCAAGACATCAGGGACACCACTTTGGCCACCTCTGAGAGCGTAACGGACTTCGCCAACAAACTCCGCCGGCTCAACAACGAGGCAGAACGAGTGGGAGCCCACTGTAAGCTCCCGGAGACCTGGATGGTCCAGATGTTCATTCGAGGACTCGATGAAGAATTCGAGAGTTTCATTACCAGTTTTTGCCTGAGTCACTCGATCGTGGGCGAAGGAGGCTCAGCCCCCGTCACCTTTGACCTAATCGTCAAAAAGGCCTCCGAACACGAGAACCTTGTCCGCAACTTGGCCGCCTTTCGCGCCCGAGCTGCTGCTGTCAAGGTCACCGCTACCAGACAAAAATGAGGTGGCAGAGTGATGATGGTGGTTGGGAATGAGAATCGACCATATTCAATACAGATGCGGAATCGATCAACCAGCTCTGGATCATCACGCAGGATTGGCTTCCGGGCTTCTTTCATGACTCGCCTTGCAACTGGGCTCATTCATTGAGTATCTTAGCCTCAACAGCCACTGTCTCCGATCAGTCCTCGATCCTTAGGAAGGGTCGAGCCGAGAAAGAGACCAGAAGGACCTTAGGGTTAGGGTTACTGTCTTGATTCCTCAACAGAATACACCCTAGCCAAGACACTGTTTCCTGCAAGGCACAGACAGTACTGCAGCGTGTTGAGTAGGTTCTACACGATGTTGAATGTCGTGGGCAGGCCGGGCATTTCCATTTCCACTTCTGCAAGGGGGCACTGGCAAGTGGAGGAACATTTAAGATAGGCTGCAAGAACGCGACATGTTGTATTTTTGGTAGCTGCAGGTAGGGTTTGCATGTCAGGCACCAATGATCTTGCTCCATACCTTACACAAGGACATGAACTCGATGAGAGTTGGTGTGAATAACTGGTTGGAACTGTCGGTGGACTTATATGACGCGGTGTCGAGGCTAGATGCCGATTATCGTATCTTATCTTATCCCATCTTATCACACACGGCCAGAAGTTTCTCCTTCCCTTCGCCTCATCAGATCTCCATAGTGGGCACAACTCGGCGCCTGAGCCCGCCCTTGCTGCCTCGGCACTTTCAACTCATGCTGGACAAGTTCACATCGAACCTGCGGAATTGCTGCCCATCCCAAAGCCCTGGTCTCGGAATTCCTGTGCCTGGTCACAGCCGCGCAGGCAAGACTAAGACTGGACTATTCCTATATACATCGGGCGTTCATCCTCTGACTAGTCGTCATCAACCTAACCTTGACCTTGATGTTGACCTTGACCTCAGCCTTTCCTTCCACCCAGATCGATCGATCCCTTGACTTGTAGCGCAACGCAGCGCGCCCAGACAGAAGCATAGATAGAGACTGGGCCAGAGACGGGCCAGAGACAGCAATTCCCATACAATGGCGGACGCCCTCTGTGGGCCGTCCAACCCGCTCCAAAGCCTCCAGAAGCACAGCCAGGCCGATCGAACGCTGCAGCAGGACCGTCTGGTCGGACCCAGACAAACTCCTGGAGAGGTATGTATTGCGACATTGAGAATCACTCTACTCTAGTTCTCTTCCATTTCTCTGTGGTCGCGCAATTCATTCATGGCGCCGGCGCTGACATATATCCCACTTGCAGGGATTTCGAACCGCCACGGCCGACCCACGGGCAGCGTCGCTCGATGCCGAATTCCATGCCTTTGAGAATGCCGCACCTGGCTTTCTCCAATTCCAGAAAGCGCAGTTCCCATCACACGAGCAGTATCGTCCCCTCTATCCTCCTCAAGCAGGAGCGGCAGCGCCGGTCGGGTGGGCTGCGGACTTCAAGAGACTCAGCCTCAACAGCCCACCTGTGCCGGCAGGACAATTCCATACAGAGGCTCCGCTCGTCAGGTCGACACCTGGTGGATGGCAGAATGATTTCCTGCGGCAGAGGTCGGGCACAGGCAGTGCCACCACGATAGCCCAGGGAAAGCAAGCCGTACGAGAACCGCAGCAGTTGATGAATACAAACACAAACACAAGCATGTTCGCCGGACGGGCTATGGGTCAATCGTCGATGATGATGACCAACTATTCGCAACCCATGTATGATCAGGCGGCAACATATGGTGGACTAGAACAGCAACAATACCCCCAGACGTCGATGATGACAATGGAACAACAACACGCTCAGATGTCCGACGTGGACTACGAAGCCGCATTTGCCGAAGCGATGGCTCAGGCGCAGGAGATGGATCAGCAGCAGCGACAGCAGCAAGAGACGTCGCAGTCGCAGTCTGTCGAGCCGGCAACGACAGCAGAACGGCTAGAAAGCATCAAGATCGGCTCGGACGCCATCCACTACCGTGAACAGAGCGAACGGACAGCGGAACAAGACAAAAAAGACGCCGACGAACTGGCCCGCACGGCAGGACTGCTGTTGACCAGCGTCAAGCACGATACGAGCAGCAAGTTCCAGAACTCACAGTTTTTAAATATGATGCGGCGCATCCGCGATCGGGAAGTCGAGGTGCAGAACAACGATCTGCAGACTGTAGAGGAGGAGATGCTGTTCGATCGAGGCGGCCCTGACGGATATCGGACTATAAAAATAACGGCGGATGGCTCGGCGCGACAGGCGGAGCTACAACGTGAAATGGACGACTTGGAGTGGCAAAACCAACAACGAACCAAGGCACGGGAACAGGCACAGCAACAGGAACAGCAACAGACAACGCAGTTCCAGTTCCCAGACATGGACGCCGTCTACGCGCCCGACGCAGCCATGACAGACGGCGGGCCGTCGGAGTCCAATCCCGCCATCAAATTCCGCTCGCCATACACCACATACGGCTTCGATGACGACCAGTACCCGGCCATGCAACCCCAGAGCCAGATGGATGCCTTGCACCCCGGCGGCAGGTGGTACCCAGACCAAAGCCCGCGACTGGGTCAGGCGACGATGGATCCTGAAATGTCCGGCGCCATCCCTGGTGGGCGACCCGACGTTGCAGATGGTGACGACGGCGTCAGACTCGAGAAGATGATCTCGGCCAGCGACTTTGAGTACGTTGATGAAAGTGCCGGCTTGGCAAGGCGTTTTGTCCGATGAGCGACATGTGTTGAACTTGATCGAGCTGAAGCGAAGCGAAGCTGAAGCCCAAGTTGAAGCCGAAGCGAAGCCCAAGCTAAAGCTGAAGCCAAAGCCAAATCGAACTTGAACTCGAACTCGAACTCGAACTTGAGATGGAAGTGCAAGGGTCAATGAAATAGGAGAGCACCCAGGGGGCGATATGGGAAAGTGAATTGGCGACGGAATTGGCTTTGGCGTATACTTGTACTTGTACCTGTGCTTGTACTTGCACCGAAGCCAGAAGTCGAAAGCCAGAAGCCAGGCGCTCTAAGCCCTTTTGCTTTTCTTTTTTTCTCTTTCGTTGATCTTGACCTGAGTCAGGTCCAACACAACAGACAGAGACGGATGGAGCTTACAATACACTACAGTACACTACACTCAGTCTACAGCATACCCCAGGAGTCCCGGGAGTTCTAGTTCTAGTTCTGCACGTGAGATGGAATCGAATTGACGACGCAGCACATGCCAATGTCCATGTCAATGTCAATATTGGTCTTGGTCACGACGGGTCTAGGTCGGGGTCGAATGGGGGTGAATTAATGTGAATAGCGTGGGCTATGTAGGTATGTAGCGGAGCGAGCATGATTCCAAGGAGATTTCATTGACATTGACGTTGGCTTTGCGCTGTAGAAGTCCAGGCTGTGTAGAAGTCGGGGTTCGGATGGCTTCAATCAGACCCCATACCATACCATTTCATTTCATTCATCTTGAGATATGAGAATCATTAGTAACCAACCAATCACCTACCCATCCTAAGATATGTTACGAATCGTAAGGAATCATTTCATTCATCCTAAGATATGTGAGAATCGTATGCAATCATTTCACTCATCCTACCTAAGCTATGATGAGAATCTTAACCAACCAACCACCCACCCACCCATCTAACCACCCAACTTAGATGAGATGGCAGGTACAAGACGACCTTCCCATCCACACACACTCTTCAGCACCAAAACACAAACGGCCCTCTTTCCAGCTTCTTGTCACGGGCTGCACTTCCGGCCGCATTGGCATTGGCATTGGCGACGTTGACCGGGGATTCCGTTTCCGACTCATTGTCATCTGTATTGTTGGTGGGATCCGCGGAATCTCCGTCTTCATGGCCTAGACCAGTAGTGATGGTGACACCAACGCCATCTCCATCTCCATCTCCATCTCTGTCAACCGACATTCCAATTCCAGTGTCGGGGGTCTGCCCACCATCGACGTCGCCGTCGTTGTCGCCGTCGCTAGCCAGGAGAGTCGAATCCAGACCCAACCCCAGATCGACCGGCTGGCCATCAGCACCCAACTCCAAGCCGTCCCCTTGTCCGAACATGCCGCATCTCCACCAGCGGCCCATCATGATCTTGCCGCCAGGTAAGATGACGCCTTCGTACGCATACGCGTAGTCCATGTCGTTCCAGTCGAGGAATTCGCTGAGGCGGAATTTCTCTTCAATGTCTTCAATCACCTCTCGGTCCATTCGTGCCGGGTCGCGCCATTCCGGCTTGGAAACCAGTTTCTGCCGCAAGTACGACTCGAGCTGGGCCTCCAGTTCCGAGGCATCGACGTCCGCGGCTTGGCCGGCACCAGGATTTGCTGCCTGTTGGCCGGCCTGAGCTTGCGCTTGTGCTGTTTGAAGTAGCTGGCTGGTCACCACAGGTCCGAATTGTCCGCCATATTCTTCCTCGGCGTGCTCTAGAACCTGGATCAGATATCGCTTCGACGGCTTGTACAGAACCATGACGATTCTACTCCAGCCTGGGATGCCGTCCGCGTCAGAGCCAAGTCCGACCGTCTCAGGTGTTGGTTGGCTTGGTATCGAGTGGATGACGCCCCGAAGACGGAGGGAAAGGTATGGATGGTACTTGGGCAGTCTGGGTGTGGTCAGAGTCGCCTGGGAGTGGGAGTAGGACCGGGACTGGGAGGTGGTTGAGGTCGATGCCAAACTTTTCCCATCGCGCCATGAAGGAAGCTCAACAAATGGAGCAAGACCTCGAATGAAGACGCAGGGCCCAGATTCGGGAATGGTCTTTGCGAATGCCGGGATGGCGCTGAAGATCGGGGACCAGAATCCGTCCACTTGATTATTGGTGGTGGTGGAGAAGTCGAGCTTCATCGGGTCGATGCTCTCCCAGTCTTCGGCACAGCTCTGCATTTCCTCCAGTTCTTGTCGTTTCCTGGGCCATGGATGAACACAACTCCAATGGCCGTACCATTCGGTCGCCATTTGTTTCATGTCATCCTTCAGCGGCCTCTCCCACATTTTGGCCGCAATTCCCGCACTTCTCAGGTGTCTCGCCATTTTCGCGTACGTGTTTTCTCCCATCACGCCCATCTGTCTGGAACCGATGAGTCTGGCGCTGTCGCTGTCGCTGTCATCGATCAGATGTCGATGCCAAAAGTTTCGGATATGCAGAAGGGCGTGCGTGTCCAGCTCGTACTTGGCCTTGGGGGCTTCAACTTGAAACGGCCAAGTCGATTTTCGGGGTCTGAGATTGGAAAGTTCTCTCTGCCGTCTGCCATGCACCGAGTCACGGCCCTCGTTCTCTTCAGGAAGACGACGAAACAGAGTGCTGAATGGCTTGTCCCAGTTGTACACCACGGCCAGATTGTAATTTTCTCTCGACGAGTCAATGACGTGTGCCATCTTCGACTCGGGAGACAACAGGAGGTGTGAAAAGACGAGTTGGACGGCATCGAACATAGCGTGAGGTTGGCCATATCGGCGGCCAGGTTTGGGAAAGAAGAAACAGGATAGGAAGATCCGCATCCACGGCGAGTTGCCGGGAGAGGCAAACACGGCAAGATTCCGCGAGGTCAATGGCGGATCAAGATGAGGTCGAGGCTGGAGATATGTCTCTAGAAGTGAGGCAAACATCAGCAGCCAAGATATGTATCATCAGCAACAGCGAGGGCAACCACTTACCGAGGATCATATCCTTCAGGACTTCCAGCTGAATCGCCAGTCGTCTGTCATTGGGTGTTGTGAACGGAACGAAGTGTGCGAGGACCAGGCGTCTCAATTGATAGGCAATGGCATATTCAGTTGGTCTGCGTACATAGGCGTAATCATATCGAGAGAGGAATCTCTCTTTCCAGATGGCGGATGATGCAGGTGCAAGGGCACGGGCAAACCTGGTGCAGGTCTCAATCAAGTTGACAAGGTCACGATCGTCGACGAGGTAGGAGACGACCAGGTTTAGGATCTGTCCACCGTCAGGAACAGCATCAAAGTCATTGTAGGCAACGTGACCCACCTCGATAGGAATATCTTCGAACTGGCTGCGGAAATTGTGTAGCCTTTGTTTCTTGAACCGAGACAAACGGTAGTTGTCAGCATCGCCAGCATCATTGGCCCAATCCCCCTCGAGCTGTGACGAGGTGGCTGATTTCCTCTTGAGGCCTGACTTTGAGCTGTGCATGAAGCAAGGACTCTCAAGGGATATCTGCTTGAGTTCTGCCTCAAGGGACGACTGCATATTATTGAAATCCTCTGGCGGCTCAGATAAGTCAGAGTCAAGGTCGGAAGGAGAGTCGAGGAAGCTCTGTAGCGAAGGCGTCATCGCAACCGGGGGAAAACCACGAAGTCTGTCAATAGAAGGGCATGTGAAAGTCTATTGAGAAATCAGCACACAGGTTTCAGGACTACGTCAAAGCTTGCCTCAGAGGCCTGCGAACAAAGTCTCAGGAAAAGAAAATGAGGAAGGACAACAACATAGGATGGAAGATCGGTTCCCCGTGAAGGGTGTGGACAGTGAAGTCAAGTCACGTTTGACTGGTTCATTTGTAGCTTCCTCAATCGCAAGGCTCGATCCTGGTTCGCGGACATGTTGGCTAAACCAAAAAAAACCCCCTCTTCCCGCAGAAATGCTCGACAGTCGCTCGACATAAATCTTCCTTCATTTCCATCGGCCATCGCGTCGTAATCGTGACATTTATAACAGCAATCCAAACAGAGTAACAACAGATGACAAAATACAGCCTCCACTGAAGAGTGAGGGCTGGATATTGCTGGCAATATTGGTAGCAGTGGCTGAAGATGACGCTGAAGATGATGTTGAAGATGTGGGCGTCGACGTAGGTGATGAACCAGGGATACTCGCGCCCGAGGCTTTCGAAATCAGATAAATCTCGCCGGACGCATCTGAAGACAAGTATATTCGACCCTGAGAATCGAAGGCCATGGCGACCGGGCGGAAGCAATCATCCGGACATTTCGAGTTGTCCTCATTGGCAAAGACGTCTCGAGCTGCAGTGGTGCTCTGAAGATCATCCACGGGCTCACCATCCTTGCCGAACTCCACGACAGATAGTTTGTATCCCACAGGGTTTGTCCGGTCCCAACTGCCGTGGAATGTGACCCATGCTTCTTGTGCACTATTGTTGAACTTGATGTCCAGAGGGGCCATGTGTGCTTGGAAAACAAGACGTGCAGGCAGTTGATCAGCGCAATACGCGTCTGTCTTGTTCTGGTTGTTTGAGTCCGAGTCGGCGTCTACAGCGTACTGACTCCCCACCGACAAATTGCCGTTGTCCGGCAGGTCATCGACACTCCAGGCAGAGAAGCACCAGGGATAGCCAAAATTGCCACCTTGAGGGGCATACTTTTTCCCATTCAAATAGCCCAGGAAATTCAATTCTTCCGCCGGATTGTCTTCATGAATGTCAACACCCATGCGGGTCAACTGGTCCCCAGAGTTCTCGACCGACCAAATCCCGCCAGAGGATGGGTGTTCGGCGATGCCGACATCGTTTCTCAACCCCCAGCCGAGTCGAAGCCCTTCAGAGGAAAAGTCGTAGGCCGTGTCTGTACGATTGGTCAGGTTGAAGGCCTTAATTTGAGAGTGGCCCGAAGCCAGATTGGCGGCAGCAATGTCGATGTTGGACGTGCTTCCTCTTGTGACCACGAGCATCCCTGGGGCTTTCTCAGAGAGCAACAGAGTTCGTGTGGTGTGATCACTGCCGGCCATGTTCGTCACGATATCGGCACGGTTCGAGACAGTCTTTGACGAACTATCATAAGCCCAGGAATAGACATCTTGGGAAGAAGAGGCGTAGAGGGTCTTGCCGTCACTCGACAACTCTATTCCGTGGTTAAGCTGGATGGCGTTAATGGCGATACGAACCACGACAAATACCAGAACAGAACGTACATTTAACCCAGAAGTAACGTCGGACGATGTGCCCACCGAGACACAGCCATTGGTCTCATCAAGTGTATGGGCTGAAATGACGCCTCTTCCCTGTTCCACCACCAACAGATTCCCTGCTCGATCAAGGAGGATACCGCGCGGTTTCGACAAGCCTGTAGCGACCACCTGCATGCTGAAGCCAGACGCCAGAGAGGGTCGAATGGCACCGGACGGGGAGGGCCCGCAGCTCGTTGCTGACTGAACAGGAGACAACCAGGCTAGGATCGCGATCAAAGCCGCGACAAAGGGAAAGCGGACCATGACGGTTCGTGGTGGGCTGAGGTCTGAAGCTGCAGGGAGCGATCTTGGACCTTCAAGCCGGACGTGCAGAGCGAAGTCTGCAGTTCTTCCTGCGGCGGAAGACCAAGGAAGAAGGCATGATCTGAGGCAGGCTGCTAGCTTTGCTTTATACCAAGAGAGTAGTGATGATGATTTCCATGGAGCATGACCAAGCTGGGACGACGGGGGGCAGTGTGGTAGGTTGCACCCGTAGCTAGAGACACAATGATCTCATAGCCTTGTGCACGTTGTGGAGAGGGACGCCGTTTCCTGCCAGGGTAGCAACTACGGAGTACGTAGTCTCTCCTTTGGGACCGCAGAAGGGCCAGTGCAGCCACAAGCAGCCACAAGCCATACATGCTACTGAGCCCTCACCTCGCCGAGATATCCGTAAATCCGTCCCTGCCACCCACCGCACCGTACCGCGTCTCTTTGTCACTTACACCCAAAGGCCGGTAGGTGCCCATTTACAATATAGGTGTGTACTGTACCCCCCTGGATAGTGCACAGTAACCATTGCCCCGGTGATCTCCGCAATTGCAAAGACGTGTCATCGGTTAGAGGATGAACAAGACTCCTGGGACACTTTGGGTGGTTGTTGTTGATGCACCAGGCCCACGCATATATCATGTCTATCTTGCCGCCCCGCAGCACCGAGGTGTCACGAAATGACTACTAATGGGCTTGGACAACTCCCGCCTCGTTGGCTTGCGCGGTGATCCTCTTCTTGTATGCATTGACATCACCCGGGAACTTCTCGACAGTGCCATTGTCACACACCCACAGACTGTTGCACACATTTTGCAGCATGGTCACGTCGTGACTGACCATCAAGACCCCTCCCTGGAATTGGCGCAACGCTGTTGAAAGGGCGTCCATCGCCTCAATATCCAAGTGATTGGACGGTTCGTCGAGCACCAGAATGTGCGGATTGGTCAATGATAGACAGGCAAACGCTACTCGGGATTTTTGACCACCAGACAGTAGCTCAAGCTTTTGAAGACCTGTCATCCCTGTAATGCCAAAAGCACCGAGATGGCGGCGATATTCCTCGTCCGTCTTGCCAGGATAGTTCTTCTGCATGAAACCAACTGCAGAGGTGTTCATGTCTAGTGCGTCCACATGGTGCTGAGCAAAGAAGCCAATCCGGAGTCGTGCATGTTGTGTGATCAATCCCGATGTAGGCTGGAGCTGTCCGATCAGCAGTTTTAGCACCGTAGTCTTACCAGCCCCGTTGGGGCCCACGATCCCAATTCGCGAGTCCAGTTGGACATCCAGGTCGACGTTGCGGAGGAGAGGTTTGTCAGGACTGTAGCCAAATGCTACGTGGGACATCTGGATAATGGGCGGTGACAGCTTTTCCACGTCCGGGAACTTGAATACGACCGTATACTCGGCCTCGGGAGGCTCCAGAACAGGCATTTTCTCGAGCTTCTTGATCCGAGACTGCGCCTCGGATGACTTGGCGGCATTGTACCGAAATTTATCGATGAAAGCCTGGAGATGAGCACGCTGGGCCATTTGATTCTCGTATTCGCGTTTGGCAGTCTTCTTCCGCTCTTCTTTGGTGGCGTAGAACGAATCAAAGTTGGCTCCCTTGTAATAGTCGACCCTTTCAGAATGCTGGTGCATGATGTCCGTGGCAACTTCATTGAGAAAGGCACGATCGTGCGAGACGACCAAGACGGTGCTGGGATAGGTTTGCAGGTAGTTGGCCAAGAAGGTGATCGATGGCACATCCAACATGTTGGAAGGTTCGTCGAGCAACAACAAGTCCGGTTCACAAAACAAAGCCCTGGCCAGAGCCAATCTCATTCTCCAACCGCCGGAGAACGTCTTGGTGGCAAACTGTTGACGTTCGGTCGAGAATCCCAGCCCAGCCAGAATGCTGGCGGCCCGAGATTCCGCCTTGTCTGACTCCATCTCGCTGAGTTTGGCCTGAATGTCTCCCAGCGTTGTATCGAGCCCGTCTTTTTCGAGGTCGAGCCGAGCAGCGTCTTTTGAGGTGTCTGCCAATGTCGACCTCTCCGCCTCAAGCGCGGTAAGCTGCTTGCTTATCTTGTCTTGTTCAGCGAGCAGATGTTTTCGCCAGACATCGGCATCAAGGACTGCTTGCAGAGCTGGCGTGTCGTCGCCCGTGATCTCCTGTTCAACATGAAGAATAGAGATGTGGGTTGGAATCGCCACTTCACGCCGACTCAAAGCACGTAGCAGTGTGGATTTACCGATACCGTTCCGGCCGACAAGACCATACCTTCGGCCATAGGCAAGTGTCAGTGACGCGTCAGTTAGAATGCGTTTACCGCCAATGGCTATGTCAATTCCATCAACCTTAATGTCTTTGCTCTTTGACTGAGCGTCGGACCCAAGCTGAAGGGGGTTGACGGCCATGTAAAACTCCTCATACGATTGACTGCTGTCTAGTTGATCCAGTAGTCGTGAGGCCTCGTACTCGACATTTTTCATGATTTTCTTATCTTGCTTTGCTCGAATCTTCCGCTCGGCCTTTTCGAGCTTTTTCCTGTCCACTTTAGATTCCACCTTTCGAGCATTGGCAGCTTCAAGGTCAACACCACCGCTGGTCAGGCCCAGAGTAGACGAGATGTTCCGCTGCGAGCTCACTTGGATCGTCTGGTCAAGCTTTCGGGCAGTGAAAGGCATCTGCTGCCTCTCAGGGTCGATGCCATTCGCCTCACTCAACCTGGAAATGAACTTTTCCACCAGGTTGCGGATTGCGGCTTCGTTCTGCTCAGAAAAGTCCCCCGAGGCGGACACGAGTAGAGAAGTTATGGCTTCGAGAGCTTCCGCCTGTGGAGACAGGCCCGAGGGCTCGTCTTCGGAGAAATAGAGCTTCGAAGCATGGTTGAGATATCCCTGGGAGGTTTGACAGCGTTAGCGTCAGCGTCAGCACTTTCTTGTAGGAAGGGAACGCCCTCGATGTAATGAGATAGGGTTAATATGCGAGAGAGTGCCCGTTAGAACGGCGGGGACAATGATAGTGATAGCTATGGAAGCAGGAATTTTCCACGTACTACAGAGTATTCCGAAAGAATTGGGTCAATATGAGGGATCTGGGCCTGGATTTCGGCCTCCATTTGAGGATATTTTTAAACTGAGCTTTCAGGTAATCAAGGTAGAAACACTGGTAGTGGTGGCCAGTGTGAGAGACTGGCTACTGCCGAGCTTCCAGGTCTCCCTTGCGAGGATGGATGGAATTTGGTTTGCAGCTCTCAATGGTGAGTGGAGTTGTGGCTGGAATCGGGAAGATGGCGGGACGAAGCAGTCTTTTCTCGGTGATTGCTGGGGTCACCGTCTGAGTTTGAGCTGAAGCCCGTCCAACTCCCAATTCAGCGTGCTAGTCCCGATGGCGCAGGAGGATAACAAGAAGGCGGAAAGTCGGAGAGGCAAGACGCGAGGAGGGCCGGGAGGATCCTTCGTCTCTGAGGCCTGGACGAGTTCAGAAGTCACGGGTACTGCGGAAAGGTCTGGGTCTGGTGTAAGTGGCCGGATCTAGCTTTTGCTTTTCCGTCGTTCAAACTGGAGTTTGGTTTCCATCCGCTGCTGTCACAGGCCGAACCGTCTGGTGTACGGATATGGATATGGCGTATGGCGTACGGAGAATCGGATATAAAACACTGTTCAACGGTAGACTAGGAAGGACCCATGAGTGAGGTACAAAAGTGGTGAAAGATCCTGTTAGGTGCCTGTCTCACAGTCTTGGCGAAGGGCGGCGCTAGGTCTGTTTAAGGACTAGCGCCGTACTCTTTTTCGATGGACATCGCCTGCGTCTTGGTGTCTGGGTGCGCACTGCGGATACTAGGCACCTACAGGTACCTGGTAGGCAGGCTGGTTTCTTGCTACTACTCTGTAGGACGGAGTACGTACCAGTACCCAGTCCCAGTAGCAGTGGCGCCGAGCTGTCAGGCAGCTGTGGCCGTCCGACACCGCGCCGGGCCTTGACAATGGTCTCATCTATGCTGGCGGCAGACGGACCATATGTCAACTCCTCGCAAGACCGTTAACCAACATGAAGGTGATTTGAGCCGCCTCCGGGCGGATGGTCTAGAAGCAAAAAGACAGGAGACGATGCATGCGGCTTAAGGATACAGGCACAACCCTCGTACCCACCAGCCACCTGCCCAGACTCCAGAGTCTGCACTGCACTGCACCACAGTCACAGTAATAACAATGCGGAGGCTGCAGCAACTTGAAATGACAGTTTCTGGTTAGTCATGCGAGGATGGAAGATGACAGCCTCTCGCTCTGTTGAGCTCTGGAGGCAAATGGAAGTCATACAACGTTACCATACGGTCGGATCAGAATGATCCAGACCTACACACGAGGCATCATTGGCCAGCCAGGCACCAATCCCTTTGCTATACAAGAATCCAGATTACACATACAGTCGATCGATGGTGTGTCCTGTCTAGCTCCATCGGCAGTAGTGACCACTGACCAGACTTGGAAAAGAGCGGGTACCCAGCTGCATCTGCGTCGCTATTCCGGGATTGAAGCCTGGACTTCCGATGGAGGAGGGAGGAGTCTCATGCACGCTGCTCGCAAAACGCGCGGAATCCTTGACTCTTGTCTGCATTCGCTTACACATGATATGCATAAAGACTGACGCTGGGAGGGAGCTTACAACCCCAACTGGAGTCTTGCATACATATTACATACCCCTTGCAGCGTCTGCAGCCAGAAATCTAGGGTGTTTGCAGCGGCATGGCGATGGCTTGTTTCGTAAACATTTGACCCCGGTCCTCTCGCCTATAACTAGGTTAGTACATGTCTCTGCAGCCCCGAGGGATGACGGGCTTTGATACCCCGCAGATTCTTGCCGCTGCCGCTCCGCCCGTGTCCAAGTTGCTTGCTGAGTGTTGGAGAGCACCTTCGTCGAGACGGAGGGTCGGTCGAGGACTGGGCACTGGTGCAGCGGTGTGGTGTAGCGGTGTACAGAGTACACACTCTGTCGCTGTGTGGCTGCCACTGGACCTGATTGACGCAGACTGATCGGATCTCAACTGGCAGGTTGACCATCGTGCCATGGTGCGAGTTAGATCCAGCATCCCACCAGCAGCTTTGAGTGGTGGACGCGTCTTTGCGGTGGTCCCCTGCACCACCTGCCACAACAAAACGGGCAATCAGCGGCCACCACTTTCCAGAAGACCCAACGGGCCCCGTCTGACAAGTGTCACGTCGCCCGAGGCTGATGTGTGTGATGTGTGTGACATGGACGCCGCCTTGTTGTTTACACACTAGGGCTCCTGCTGGCTGGGGGGGGCATCTTACGTGTCAAATAGGCACGCAGAGAGACACCTCAGAGAGGTGCGGGCGGCTTAGGCGGCCTTGCGAGTTCCAATTAAACGACCACTAGCCTCATCAGCATCTACCGAACCAGCGTTTGAGGCCGGACCCAGAGCCTAAACACGCGACGCGGGATCTGACTCTGGGCGTATCAATCAATCTGTCTGCCGTCGACCTCTCGTCATCCCAGGCCTCGGCGTGTATCGTGGCGTCGCCGTGATCCGTCGCGGATGGCCATCTGGCCAGTGACGACCGCTGCATCGCACCAGGAACCTCGCAGGATTATGTATTATACACGAAGGCGATCCACCTCGTTCCCGCGCCCACTGTCAGTACGAGTAGGAGGGATGTAAGCCCCAGTCGGCTGGCCGCAATGCGTTATATCTCAAGCGAGGTTTTTCTCCCTACCCGCCTGCCTCCATCGGTTCATCACGACCGAGCAAAAAAACCCAAAAACACGCCAGGTCGGCGAGCTTGCCAAAACTTGTTTTCTTTCATCATGCGGTTGCCACTGCGGCGGCTGGAAGTGGGGAGTTGGCTATCGGAAGCTGCAGTAAAGCCGCAAGCAATCACTGCAAAGACTGTACGGAGTAAAGTCAAATGCTATCGCATCCGAAAGCCCTTGAAGTTTCCCCCTCGCCAGCCTACTTATCCGACCGACCGGGCCCTTTACGTACAGTCCGGCTGGGGCTTCCAGGGTTTATCTCGCGTTTCATCAAGTGCTCACGCAACCTCGCTACTGTACACGCCGGCTCCTTTTTCAGCTCTGAAAGAGCTTTGCTTCTGGGCCCCTATGAGGGCCCTCATCGTCGCCAGCTGCGTATATTGACATACATTGTACATACATTAGTACTGCACCCAAGCGGCGGGGCACATGCAGGCCGTGGCACTACAAAGGGTCGATCATCTCCGTCTTGCTTTCGAAGCTGCGATGATGCGATCCCGTTTGAGGTCCCTAAGCCCCCAGACGCCATACCAGAGACAACGAACCGGGATGATCCCAGTCATTGCAACCAGTGGCTGACCGTCTTGTAAATGGTCGGTTCAGCTTTCAGAGGTGCTTCGCATTGGGATGACTCAATTCCTCGTTTCTCTCGCGAGGACTAACCTGTTCTGCTGCTGTGCAAATTCCTGCAACGCTATTAGTATCAGAGTGGCAGCACGCTGAGCCGATATCAGAACCCGCTCCACAGCCCCCAGGGAGCCTTTTCCCATCAGTCTTCCTAGCCTCAATGATCAGCATCAACACCCCATTTCTGGGAGCATTCCCGGGTATCACTAGGTACTTCGGTAACGAGAAGGGTTGGCGGCCTAAAAACGGGTGCTGCAGTCACTGACCCAGGACGTGCCATTACAATGTGCATCATACCCTTGTTCGCGTATTCGAAAGGTCGATATAGGGAAAGGGTATGCCCCGGAAGGTTGGATTCCTGGTGCTTTTCACAAGTCATCCGGGGCTGCCTGAAAAATTACAAAATGTAGCACGACATCTGGTTGAGAGGACGTTGAGGCACACAGCCTTGAAATAATGGTGACATTGTAGCCACAATATCTGTACCTGGCCGTGGAAGATTTGTGAAGCGGTCGGCCGCAGTCAATCTGGGTGCGTCCGCCTTGTTCTGCGGACATTGCCCTGTGCTGGACGGTGGATGGAAATAACAGACAGCATCCCTGCTCAGTGCTGGCTCATAAGAGTTTGACAGGACGACCAAACATTTGCCCGCCGCGGTGGCTGCCATTAGGTGCTCATTGATGGCTGGAAGGAGGAGCCTGCTAGACCGTTACGAGCATCTTGCTCCCATGATCTCAGTAATTGATGGACAGCAGCTGTCGTGTGTGGACAGTGGAGGGCGGGAAGTGGAGGATGTCAGGACGATGGGCTTGATTGAGCATGGAATAGTGACTTTTACGGCGCAGAGCAAGGCCCTAGGAAGCCCTGTCCTGTGTCAATCATCATAACAACAATACTAAAATGCAATACCGCAATCAGCAGCGGCGGCAGCGGCAGCGGCAGCAGGGCAGCAGTGCGTGCTGGGGCAAACACTGCCAGTGCCAGCTGCAAGCCAGGAACCGGCCGTTATGTTATGCAACTCCGCTGCCCTGCCCTACAAGCATCCACCCACCTGCGCACCCCATAATACCTAATACCCAATACCCAATACCTAATACCTGCTCTCACTAAACACGGCGCCCATTACTCCTACTAAACACTTGCACTTCCGTTCGAGCTGAGATTGCTTCACCTTTTACTCTCCCCCTCCCGCAGGCCTTCCACCCTCCTGGTCATTGTCTCTTTTTCGACTTCTGTGGCTTGTATCTCGTCGTGTCTCGTTAATTGGAAAATCCTCCCTTAATCCCTCCCATCCACCTGCCTCGCCTCCGCCTCGCTGTGTCGCGTCTCGCCCTTTTGGCTTCCAATCTAGCTGCCGCGTCTGCTCGGAAGAAAACAACCATATCCCTTACTCGAGCACGCCTTCTGGAACGCCGACAACGAGCCATATCCTGTGTTTGAGCAGCCTCTGGACCTGATGGTGAACCCGCCATGAGGACGTCCCATCCACCTAACGGCCACCAGAGACTCTGGGCTGCGGCGCCTCGAGGGCACCTCGCCTACCAAGCATAATGGAACATAGTCAAGAGCATATTGCCACGGTACCACTGCCTGTTGAGTCGATATGTTTGTTTGTTCATGCTTCTGACTTGCTTGTCTAGCTCTGTGCCGTCGGCACCGTCGCAATCGCAGCCACAGGCCTGGCTTTGGGCACATCTGATGGAGACTCATACCTCATAAAGCCTGGCAAGCGGAAGGCTCCTGGCTCCAATGCCACCGCACGCTCTCCGATCACGCCTAACTCTCAGCCCCCTCCAACCCCCCCAACGTCTCATTCTGTCAGTACAACTTCGGCACCTACCGAGAGGGTTGAACGCCGATTGTCTTTGTCCATTCTGCGGAGCAAAACAGTCCGTGCAAGTGCCCCTTCCACCGCTGAAAGTATTGGCACACAGTCGCGTGAGAGTTCCATGAGCCGGCATGGCATGTTAAGACCTTGGACCTCGGACAAAGAGTCATCCGATCTCAGGGAGCAAAGATCATCCTCATCATGGCTGAGAAGAATATCAAGCATCTCGCGTGGGAACCACAGCAGCCCGGCCTCGTCAACTTCCCGGCTAGATGATTCTCCTGGTGCCTCACGGCCTTCGCTGAACGATCTGGACCAGCCAAACAAGCTAGTTAAACGCTCCTCTTCCAACCGTCTTCTTCACGCTGACCGTGATCGTCCCGCGCTGTTGCGACGTCCAGCCACAAGCCATCAAAGGTCGGCCACGCTGTCTGGGATGCCATACACAAGACCACTGACAACAGAATCTGCAATGTCTATGGAGCCGCCGGGCTATATTTCTCTTACTTCGTCGTGGAGACCTTTTTTCGAGTCTGGGTATGCTAGGAAGAGGCACTCATCGGGAGGGTATAATGAATCCTTTGTCCGAACCGTCTCGACACCCCCGGGCTGTCCTCCAATACTTTTGAAGGGGTCTTTGGTTGAGCCTCGAGGATTCCAAGATCATGAGGAAGAGCGGCTGCGGGCCTCTGACCCTCCACTGGGACAGACCAGTCGCAGGCATAAGATGCGTCGAACATTAGGGTCTGTCCGGAGAGGTGCTCCTCAGCGACACTTCACTGATCCGATAGTGCGGTTGAACAAAGACGAAGCTTACGGCAGAATCGTCCCTTCAACCGCATTCTCCAATCTGTCGCCCCTATCCAATGTTTCCGGCTTCGAAATTGACCTACCCGCTGGTACTCCTTCCTTCACCTCCAGCCCTCCAGTCTACGCTGCAACTCAGCATCGCTTCACCGTGCCCAAACGATTATCTATTGCTCCTTCGGATCCGGCAACCACAAGTTCAGACAATGACACGCGGGTGTTCACCGATGATGAATCTATGGATTTTCATAGTGACACTGCATATGATTCATTGGCCACTCGAGCCACGGCAAGCAGCCATTCGGGTTTCCGTCCGCCCAAAATAGAGACCATCTTTGACGAAGTGTCTTTGGATCAGCACCGTGCCGAGGCTTCAGTCTTAGAAGATTTGATGCAACGGACTACGTTGGAGGATTTTGGCATCAATCCCAGGGAAACACAGGAATCGTCTACAGATGTCGGTATGGGCATAAGCGGTATTGAAGACCATGTACGGACACGAGACGTTAGCCCGGATCTGGCGTCGACGCCGGTCAAAAGACCCTTGTCCGAGGGGGAGGATTTTGTTTCAACACCAGTGCCGAGAGGAAAGCGTCGTAATGGCCCCATCCTAGCATCGTCTCCTCCTTCCCTGCATCCCTACCCACACAGCCACCATGAAGAACCAGAACTGCCTCCAATGATGGATTTGGATACCGAAGAAGACATAGACTGGTCTCCAAAACCTGACACCGATGATGCAGTTTCCGCGGAGCTTGCTTCTGCTGTCCCGACCATTCCGATCTGCTCCAACCAGGCCAGCGAGGACGATCTCGAGGAACAGCCTTCTGCCAAGAGATCATCAATCTTCGATTGGTCGGAACATCACACGTTCGGGAGCGATCAATCGAATGGAATGAGTCCTCGACCGAAGACGGTTCACGGCAAACAAAACAAAAACGCCACTCGGAGTCGGCCTGCCGGACGGAAAAGCAACGCAGCGATGCATCTGCGCAGTCAAAGCGTACCAGTTAATCGAGATAGCTTGACAGAAAGCGAGTTAGCATCGTCGGCAACCAAATTTGGTACCTGGGCTCTTGGTAGCAAGCCGGTGAGTGAGGAATGGAGTGATGATTTCGAGTTTGACGATGCGGACGAAGTTCAAGGTGTGGTTGACAATGCCCGCATTGACACGGACAGAAAGCACGAGTCGGTCCAGAGTGTCAGGGTGCCGCAGTCTATCATGGACCGGCAGCAAAGTGTTCATATACAGTTCAGTCAAGTCAGGGAGTTTATGCTCTTGGTCGAAGAGCTCAAACGATTGCGGGCGAGAAGTCTAAGTCTTGGTTTGCTTGAAAGCCACTCCAGACAGCTATGGGAAGACGCGGCAAGTATCATCGATCTGGCAACGCTGAATGAAGATGATGATACTGGACTCCGGCCGTCCTCGCCGGTTTCGGCCGACATTTTCGGCGAAGAAACACCGCCATCTAAACGAGGGAGTGAGGAAGATGCTACTAAGGGGGGTGAAGGAGCTCGAGCAGTTAATCGACGTTCGATCTCCAGTCCAGCCGCGCCTCCATGCGGGAGACCACGCGGCGAGAGTCTGCAAACGAAGACATTCCTGCAGACCATACAGCAAAGCCGGAGTGGAATAGAATCTTCACCCGTGGAGCGAGTGACACCAGCCCGGGAGAAGGTGCCCTTTGACACTCAAGATCTACGAAATCTCGTGGTGCGAGCAGGCGTCATCACGCGGGCATTGAAAGAGGTTGTGCGGAAAGCAGAAGGTGTATCCCTAAGCCCAGAAAAGCCTCCAAACACATTCCAGGAGCCGGTTTTCCGGCAAATATTTGATCCACCGGGTTCATCCCCGAGCCCAGGATTGAGAAAGCCTGGTCTGCCGAAGAGCAAAAGTGCCAACAGCTACCTTGATGGGGCAGGCACAAGCAATGATCACGATATTCCACAACCGTTGAAATTGACCATGGCCGTGGAGGCAAACTGAGGATGGGAATGAACGACATTGGATGCTAGGGTTATCTCTTTCTATTCGGCATGTACAGTACGATGGAACGGCGTTATGAATCAACGCCTCGGGTTCTTGGGGCATTGCATGGGACGGCGTCTTCCGCTTCAGCATTTCCTGGATTGCGGCTCGGGGCATGTTGGAAAAGATCAAAAGGAAAGAGCAAGCAAAAAGCCTTGTAATACTGGAAATAAATGACACGGCGGCTTTTGTTGAATGTTTCACGATTCTCTTGGAGGACTTGGCCGATGGAAGCAACGGGGCTTTACATCGAGTTCGGCGTGGGAGGTTCTGTCCCGCTTTCTCTTTGGTACACACCACGTCCAAGACATAACCAACTACGCAGACAGCTACGAGGCAACTCTCGTTATCAAGCAGCCAAATGCAACCACTAGCACCTGGGTGTCTCTCAGCCTCGGATCGGTGAATGAGGCAATGTAGACAAGGTAGATAGGAAGGACCTGGGTCTGGAAGGAGAGTTAGCAGCCTCGGGAGACGCGTTAATATAGAGTAGGAAACAGTGATATCGACCAGCGTCCTCCTCGAGACCCTGTTAGTGCAGTACGTCGGACTGTACGACGTTGCAGCGCAACTTTTCCAAGATTACATAATGATTGAAGGGAAGCTCCCCCAAGTCTTGGCGACTCAACCTGGACTTCCGACTTCCCAAGTTCACCGGCTGTCCGCGCCTTGACGAGAAGCACGATTTCGCACCCATCTGCGCCGCCACTCCCAATCAATTGCCTCTCACGCTGCTAAGGCTCAAGGCATCACCGTGTTAAGCTTCTGGATAGCAGATCAGCCACGCTCGCCAACCTCATTGCGTCCGTAGCAAGCACACCTCTCCCTCCCTTTCTCCCTCCCACTCCCACTCCCACCGGCACCGTCGTCGAGCAACGGAGCACAGCACAGCACGGCAACCATGTTTCACCAGCTTCCTCGCCTAGCTCTACAACGCTTCTCGCGGCCTCTAGTCCAGTCGTCCTCCCGTGTGTCGTTATCGAATCAAACACGCACGCCTCTTCGTCTCGCAAGCACGCATTCGGCAGCTCATGCCGCGAAGCACGATGATCACGGCCACGGCCACGGCGGACACGATGACCATTTCGATCCCCCTGGTGGCTGGCTGTGGGGCGAGAGACCTGGTGACAAGTACGAGAAGGAGGGCTGGGAGCCATTTGCATGGTTCTTTGTCGCAAGCTGGGTTGTGGCAGTGGCCGCTTATACAATGAAGGAGGATACTTCGTATGTTTTGCCCAATCTCGATCTTTTCCCTCGTCGCTGTTCATATCTGTCATGGGGCTTTGGACCCAAAGAGGAAGCATATCTGTTGTGGGACTTTGGCACAAACAGGAAGCATATATGCCTAGATCCCCACTTCAAACGAGACTTGGAGTCGCCGTTTCGCTGACATGATGGTGGCGTTTAGGATACAAACATGGGCCCTAGAAGAAGCCAGACGACGACTCGAGAAAGAAGGCTTCTACGATGAATCGAAATAGACTTAACTGTCTCCTTGGTCCTGCATGGCTCCTCACGAAGTCCCGGCAAAGGGTCAAGGCCAACCCCTGTCGTCAAGATGGATGGACGATCTTTTATCGGGGAGCTCAGCTATGAATGCTACTTGCATATTGGTTTGTTTGGTGCGTTGTTGTAACGTTTTTATCATGGAGCCCTGGATGTGGGTGGGCATTATCTAGAAAGGGACTGCAAGGCCCTCTTGCTGCTGGCGGACTGGGCGGAAAGACACAGAGTTGTGACAAAGCATTCAGCGCACTCACAATAGAAGAATCTCGGCCTCTGTGGCAGGTCCAAAAAATGATGGAGAGTATTTACCTTTACTATGAGTGCGGTCGATACTCACTGGATTCTCGCTAGACGCAATGCTAGTATATACATACATAGACACTGTCCACATCAAGGCCGGCCCCCTCGTTGTTGTTTGGTGTGGCAGAATGGCCAGTCAGTCAATCAATCAAGGATACATATGCCGCGCCTTACCTTTGTTTGCCTTTCTTATGAAGCACGGTTCCGGCCACGGTTCCCGCTCCTTCAGGTCCTACAATGACTAGGTATCTATCATAGGACATTCATTGACATCGACATCGACATCGACATCGACTTTGTTTGCGGGGGTTCGTTGTCGACGCTTCACGTTGAAAACATGATTGCCCTAAGTACGGAGTACAGGATTGCGACTACTACTGCCTACAGGCCCTTGTCACTACAACGTGACCCAGAAGCCTAAGCCTTAGGCCACTTTGCACATCCTGGACTCCGTATCCGTACTCCGTACTGTAGCCTGCCTGCCTGGCAGCTCCTATACTTCCTCTAGACTGGAGAGGAGAAGAGACGCAACCAATCTGGATGCTGATGGATTGATTCTATGTGATTTGCCCCTCTGTCCTCTGCCCTCTGCTCTCTGCCCTGGGAACTGGATGGAACTCCTCCTCAGAAAGCCTCCTAAGCCACGGTGCCACCCCTGAAGATCACGCTGGGCCAAACTCTCGACTGGATCTGGATACGACACCCCCGCGGCCTCCAGGTCCAGTGCTGTAGCCGGGTTTGGGGTTGGGCCATGAGGCTGAGTCCGACGAGTTCATCTCATGTCCTGGACATGTTGAAGGGTCGAATCAGATCAGATCCCCTCGTTCCCTGGTGATGATTCCTAGCTAACAGTCATGATTTCGTCGGTCTGATACCAGCCTCAACCCTGATGTACTGTCGTCCTGTACTCTTACTTCTCATCAATGCCTCATTTTTACGTCCACTGTTGCCCTCTTCTCATACCCATCCATGCGTGTGCGTATGTGTATACCAATCCCTTTTTCCCTCGACGCTTCTCGCTCTTGGCAACAAAGGAAGATGCTTCGCGCCTAAGGCAAGTCAGGAGGTTCTGGAAGCTTAGAGTTGAGTTGAGTTGAGTTGAGTTGAGCCATATCGACAGGCGAGTGAACCGCCTCTTTCTGGTGTGGCGGCGAAGGTGGCGAGGCCAGAGGCATGACAGCCTGCAGTGCCAACTCTCCGGAGGAACTTGATATTCAGCCAGACATTCTCCCATTTTCGTCCCAGTCCAGATCGCTGGTCACTCGCATTATTGACACCCTTGGATTCCATGACTGTCTCTTCCGACTGAATGTAGCCAGTTACTGCAAGAACACCTCGACTCCCACCTCGTTACTCCAACCGGGGTCTAGTTTCATCTCGGTCCATGCCACGCCAACATCGATTTCCAGAACACCACTTTCGCCGGGAGCACCCTCGGAGCTGAGCTTCACCACATGTTCTGGAACAGGTTTCCCTTGAATCAACACCATCATGTCTTGCACTTTGCGTGCCTTGGATTGGACGTCTGAAAGCCAGATGCCGAGCACTCCAAAGGCCTTCAACTGGACATGTATCCTCAGGCGAGCCCCTGTTTGTGCATGTGTCTCGCCTTCAGATCTCGACTCCGGAAAACTGAAGCTTGAGCCGATGATAGCACAAGCACCACTGAACTTTCCTAGAAGGCCTAGGATAGCCAGCTCGACATTCGAGTTGGGAGTAGAAAGTAAGAACTGGTGAACAGGCACCGCTGTCCAGATATCGTAACCACGAATTGGTAGGGTGCATTGAAGCAAACTGTCAGCTCGGATAGGATCTGAAGGGTGAATAGGAGACGTTATACGCTTGGAGATGTGTGAACGAACAATCCACTTGCTCCTTGAAATGCCTGTGCCATCAGAAGTAGAAGCTGGAGCGTTGACGCCTGGAAACTTAGTAATGGGCAGGATGAAGCTCGTGTCTGACTCTGCGAGGTTGAACACGCCTAGCAGTCCCGCTCCCACATCGGATTTGCCATCATAAGCACCGACCTTGAGAATGCCCCTCTCGTCATATTTGTCGTAGACACCCATCGTTTTGCCAACGCAGCTCGGACGAAGAATAACCGTCTGGCCTCGCGGATTCAAGGCTGTCATCTGGTGTATCAGTTCCACATCGTGCTCACCGGGGCTGTCGGTGATGTAGATGGGTCCACCGGACAAGCAGCGTGCAGCCGCATGGAAGCCACTGTATGGATGACTGGTTTGGAACATATCCCAATCCGGAAGTACATTGAGGTGCTGTACAAGTAGGGAATTGTGGGCATTCGCAAAAACATGCCAGGCATGAGAGGTAGGGACATCAGGGAAGAAATCGTCACTGTTTCGTAGCATTATTTGAGGGGTGGTCGTGGGAAGGAAGCTGTGATAGAGAATTTGCGGGATCATCGACATGCAGGAAATCGCTTTGCCCGCAAGGTGACGTAAATGGGCTTGTGTCCAGGCTGACTGATAGGTATTGGTGAAGGAACGACGATCGGGTGTATCTGCAAGGAGATCGAGAGCGAATTGGACGTCTGTCTTCACAGCTGTCACACCAGCATTCGACAAGAAACGATAAAAGTCGTCAAAGTGCTTGTGAATATCGTCTGGGTGGACCGCAAGTTTGCGACCGGCCATGGGAGTTCCCTCTCGGAATGTGACTTCAACTGTCTTGTAAGTGTTCGCAATCTCGCCATCCGGAGAGATGCCACCCCAATATCCCATGAGCGCATGCCAGACGGCAACGTCACGGATTGCAGGGTGAGTCTGGCGGATCTTTGAAACAGCCGATTTCAACCCTTCGGGGAATCCGAGCGGGTTTGCTTCGAAAGCCTTCCAGCCACGGTGGAACTGGTTCGTCTCGCCCTGAACACCATCGAGGGATTGCCAGTTATCGTCGATGATGAGTGTTGAAATGTGAATGTCGTGTTTGGCTAGGGAGTCTAGGCCTCCCATGATCTTTTCTGCGTCGAGGTCTTGCCCCAGGGAATTCCAGGTGCAGTATGCAAGGCTGTCATACCAGGATTCCAACCATTGTGGAGCCGGCAGAGGGTCTTCTGATGCCGTCTTTGAATGGTTGATGATGACCGTGTCTGAATCGACAGACTCGGCTCTGACACTCTTCGGCAATTGCTCGAGTTGTTCAATCACCTGTTGATAGGCTGCTGATTGTCGGACTAGTCTGCGAGCCTCGTACATGACGGCCGCATTTGCGACTTCGAATTTCCATGCAGATGCTGCCAGAACCTTGAACTTTTGATCTTTTTCAGAATCATTTCGGGCCTGTACCACGATATCACCTTGTGGGGTGGACTGGAACTGAGTGAGAACTTCGTCCACGCCGTTGACTGCGAGGAGTACAACGTGCAGACCGTCGGATCTTAGGAAAGAAAGTAGAATAGCGGGTTCAGATAGGTTGAGTTGAGTTTCGCCGTGGCGAGGTGCTAGCCATGGTTCCCATATTCTCACCAGACCGAACCACCTGCAGGTTTGAGTGACACGGCCGAGGATGAGGGATTCAAGCTTTGCATTTCCTTCTTCTGGGGTCGGGATAGGATGAGCGGATTCGATTGTGTAAAGCCGGGCTTCTGGAGCATCGCTAGGGGTTTTCCTGATGACCCAACCGTCCAGGATCTCCACAGGGTATGCGCCGAGGAAGTTCGGGTCCACAGGGGGTTGTAGAATCAATTCACCGTCTCTGATGCCGAAATTGTGATAAACCCACAGCCATTCGGAGTTCGAGTCTATGCGATAACGGACGGTGAAAGGTACTCTGCGACCCTTGTAAGTCCTATCCGGAGATACGTATGGACTGTCGAGGTCCCCCGAGAACGTATAGCGATACGTGGACTTTTCTGTATCATCATAGAGGATCTCCGGGGTACGATCCACGAGTTGTAGATCAAGCGCCTGCCATGAAGATCGGGTACCGGAGTAGCTACCATAGTCGTACCATATTGAAACCTCCCAGGGTCTCTCGGGCAAAGACTTTGACGATTCGAGAACAACAGTGAAGTTGAACTATAATGGATTAATGAGGATACACTTGAGAGGGGGGGAGAAGTTTGTCAAGACGTCATGGGGGCGGATAAGATGGTGATGTGCATCGCGCCCGCGCCCGCGCCATTCATTTTTCACGTTTTTTGAACAAGGGCCTTTGGACTCACTTTATCTCGTGTAGGAGGAACCACTGTGACCTGAGCAAGCGGGGGATATGTCGCTAGTTTCGCAAAGAGAGCCATCTGAGCAGGACGAAAGAACTTTATCTGCGTAGGTTTGGACGGCGGGCCGTAGGAGTGAGGGGAGGGAGTGGAATGAACGGTGAAAGACATGCGAAAAGAACATGCATAGCAGTGACCGCGGTTTATGGCTCGTGGATGGTGTATCAGCTCTCCTCGCTACCTAGGTGTCGAGGAGAGAAACATGCAGAGAAGGTCGATGATAGAGATGGGCTATGGATTCGAGGTCGTGGAAATGATAGCGGAACCAATAATAGCCACAGAGTCGAGAGGAGTGGCATATGGAAGTAGGCGGCGCCACAAAGTTTGATGGGCACCCGGACGTCGAATGCAGAGCACTTGGTTGGGTGGTTTGCGGTGTCAACAGGTGGCCGTCGTGCAAGGGGGGACCATCCTGGAGACGCCCAAGGAACCGATCGACGCTGTGCAACGCATCAGAACAGTCTGTATCCAGTGTATCCCGCTGCGGGCGTCTGCTCCGGGGCCTTAAGCCTTAGGCCCTGGTGGCTGATGGAGCCAGATGGGACCGCTTGGTGTCCGGAGGTACTCCGTAGGCAGGACTGGAGGGGCTGGTCAGAGAGACGGTGGCTCGTGCTGGTCGTTCCGAGCTCCGAGTTCAAACATGTTCACAATTCTCAGGCCACTGAAGGAACCAAACCCATCTCCACACGGGCACTGCGACAAGATAAACAAGGATCGTGGTGTCGCCAATTCTACAATGGTGGGTGTGTGAGGAGGATGGGAAATGCCGGAGGGTCGCAGGCTGCAGGCTGCAGGCTGCAGGCAGCACGCAGCACGCAGCACGCAGCACGCAGGCACGCAGGCACGCAGGCAAACAGTGCAGTCACGTGCCGGCCACATGAAGATCGGACACTGGACACTGGACAATGGACATGACTCTGGACAGCAGTCATGGCCGACCCACTGAAGCCTAAGCAATTCTTCACGGTGACAGGTACGCTTGATGCGCTTCATAGTATGGCTGACAAAGGGTCGCCCTCAGCGTGGAGGTCGCTTGCATTGAGGTCCACCTCCACCAGAACATCACCCACCATCGGGTAGCCGTACATGTGCTTGAACGGAAATTGAAAGCCACCGGCTTTGTCCAACCGATGCATCCCAGAAGACTAGAAGACGATCGCCTATGCATGTCGCTGTTCATAATACATACACCTCCTTCAATTCGTCGTCCTCTGAGCAAGACTCACTGCCAAGTTCGACGCCACTATCCACAAATGCAGTCGCCTCTGGTTCTATCACAGCTAGGCTCCTTTCTCGTGGCAGCTGGTATGCCAAATATTCCACTGGAGCCCGTTGCTGCTTCTCCATAATTTCCTTCATGTAGCCTTGCACGACTGGGAGTGGTTTGGCAGCCCGAGCGATGGTCTCGATTGTACGATGGTGCACTGCTTTGACCGTCATCGTCACTGGTTGATAATATCCCTGTTCCTCCTTCCATTTCATGTGCACAGCGCTATTCTCTTCAGCGGATCCCACCCCTTGACGTGACAGTATTTCGGAGCCCTTACGTTCCACTAGAAACGAACAGATCATTTCGAGACCCCCATAGCGGATTTCCAAAACGGCATGTTCTGGGAAAAGCCATCGATCTTGACATGCGGACTGGCTGCTCGATGGTGTACTTGTCAATTCCAGTACGATGTGCTTGATAACGGGCTCTGGTCGGGGTGGAGGTGGGTAGCCCAAGAATCCGCCTGGCGGGCCGACAGGTACGGGAGGCCGCTGTGGATGTGGAAAGGGGTGTATGACTCCAGGCAGAGCCCCTGGTGCCGGTGAAGGAGGGGGTTGATATGGTGGAGCCTGGGCTGGAATGCTGGCTGATGTAGGTGCTGCAGGCGGCTCAGGCGGCGGCTTTGGAATCTGCGCGGGTGTTGTTGGCGCAGCTTCAATTTTCAATTCCTTGTCCCCTTCTAAAGGTGCAGGCCCTAGAGGGTTCGGTACTCCAATACGTGGCCGCTCTTCACTTCTTGCGATCCGCTCCGCCTCCTGTCTTTTCACCACCTCGTTGAATTCGTCAATATGAGCCTGAAACTCTTTGAGCTGCTCCGCGGATGCCTTCGAAGTAGCCACTATTTTCATCAATTCCTTCAATTGAGGATCCGATGCAGCACGTGCTGCTAGCATTTGAATGACTGGGTCGGTAGTGCTTCCTTTTCCTCCTGGCGGCTGGCTCGATCTCTGACTCGGCCCGGGTGGCTGGGGTCCAAGCGGAGAGGTGACGGCAGAGGGAGTCCGAGACACCGTCGGCGCAACCGAGGTCGACTGACGGAGTGGAACGGTCTTCGGTAGACGGGTCTCCTCTTGCTTGATAGAAGCAGTAGAGGGGTCATTTTGGATAGATACAGGCTGAGAAGAAGGAGGCTGAGAAACTGGGCTAAATTGACGAGGAGTTGGCTGCAAAGGCGCCTTCGTGTGACTCGAAGGACCTGGTGCGATTGTTTGGGCTCCCACTGCTTGATGCGCAGTCGGAGGCGGAGTTGGTACATGTGGCCCGGGACGATGAAAGGGGCTTGGAGAATGATACACCCCATAGGGGGGTGGGGGTGGAATCTTGTTCTTCGTGGTGTGCTGGTTGGCATGCCGATGATAAGGTTGAGGGGTCGATGGATCACGAACAGTGTAGAAAATTGCATCAAAGGTATGAGGCTCGATAGTAATAGTCGCACTCCCTAGCTTCTGCATTGATTTGACGTCTGGGTTGTTTGGAGGAGCTTCAACAACGCCCTTTCTCTTGCTAGGTTTGACCCAGTACTTCTGGAAGATACCTTCACACAACCATTGCATTCGCGATCGATGAAGTGATGCCGAGAGTACGGCACTCTCCGCGATAGACTGGTAATCATTGAGAGGCAAGTCGGACGGCTGCTTGTTTTTGAGGGTGGGCAGAGGCTTGTTGGCAACGAGTCGAGTAGGCAAGGCTTCTTCCGCAGCGGGAGTAGATGGTGATGAGCGGGAAGCAGGAGTTTGAACTCTCACGAGACTGGCACGTTTGGTATATTTGCGTTTCTGACGAGGTTCCGCAGCTTGAGTCGGAGTGGACTGTTTTCGAGTGTTTGGAGTGGCTGACGCCGCGTTCTGTCCGGGTGAGGATACTCTCCTCTTGGCCGCACCATCTCGACGCTCTCGTGCCGGCAACATTCGCTTCTGCGGCGTCGAGTCGACCATGGTTTGGGCGGCAGGCGAGCGGAGATCGACTGAACTGACTCTGTGAAGTGTCTTGAGATCGACTGTTGCAGCAATCAACAAAGAGAGAAGAGGCGTATGTATGTGGAAGGGGAAGGTGTGCCGACAGGAATGTCACTCTGCCTTATCTCTAGGAGGTACCTGTCCATGAATACCATTCTTCATCCTGGCCTCACATCCTCCAGTCAGTGACTGCTGCCTTGATCCATTCCTGCTCAATGATGCAATGAAGCATGTCTGAGGTGCTCTTTTGTTCATCCCTAGTTTCCAACAGTCTGCGAGACTTCTGCGTGTGTATCCCAATTGAGTAGCTCCCCAGCATCTCCCCAAGCAAGCCCTCATGCTGATGGCGCTCAACAACGTTTTCCGGAAAGCCTATTGGACTCTAGCAGCATGTGGATTGGCGTATGCTATTTTCCTAGGTGCTTTGACGCATCCGACGGTCCAGCGAAATGCTATGTACGCACATAACATCAATCCTACTCATTTTCAGGATTTGAGCAACGTTGAGCAATTCGGCTTCCTACGCCATCAGGTCCAGCCCTTCACGGTTACAACTCCAGACAATGTAACTCTGTTTGCGTGGCATATCCTGCCCCTTCATCTATATCATGAGCATGAGCAGAGGTTGAAGGAGCAGATTGATTTCGGTGTCCAGCCGTATCACCGTGCGGCACAGAGCGTTGGCATCCAACTCCTTCTCAATGACCCTGAGGCGACCGCCGTGGTGAGCTTCCACGGCAATGCTGCCCACCTTGCTTCCTCTCACAGGCCTGTCACGTACCAGCAGTTGCTGGCAGTCTCAACTCCCAACAAGCCAGTCCACGTTATTGCCTTTGACTACCGCGGATTCGGGTTGAGCACGGGCTCTCCGACAGAGGAAGGAGTCATTCAAGATTCAGTATCTTTGTTGTCTGCGTTAACAGGACAGTCCGAAAGCCTTGGAAGCTGTAGTACTGGCCCCACGAAAGGCATACAGCCTTCGCAAATCATCCTTATCGGGCAGTCTTTGGGAACATTCGTGTCGACGGCACTTTACCACGAATGGGTCCTGAACCTGGGGAGAGCACCATTTAAAGCCTTGGTATTGTATGCCAGTTTCACGTCATTGCCAACGTTGCTCGACTCCTATTCAATCAAAGGTCTCACACCTCCCCTACTATCTCCATTACTGGCATATCCTCGGCTACAGACGTGGTTACTCTCCCAGATTGTGGACAAATGGGAAACGAGCAAAAAATTGGTCGAGTTGGTCGAAAACACGTCGGTTCGGCTGGAATTGGTCATGATGCACGCTCGTGATGACTGGGAGATTCCCTGGCGAGAAGGGCGGGCGAGTTGGGATCGCGTTCTGCACGCCGCATCGAAAGGTGAGATCGTTTTCGACCGCAACCTGGACCTTGAAGAGTGGAGGAGTGCGGACGGCCAGAAACACCTACGGTGGGAAAGAGTTCGTCACGGTGGCCATAACCGGGTGGTGTCAAGTGAGCATGCCAAACTGGCATTATTACGTCTCATAGAATAAAGCTGCCGGAGGGGCTGGACATGAATAATGGATGTTGGAGGTGGCGATGGAGGTGTCATATATACAGTCAGTATACAATATAGACGGTGGCGGTCTTGTCCCGCTGCTCGTTCGCGGATTCGTGCAGGCGGCGGGAGTAGCACAAAACTACGGACCTATAATTTGGTAAGGGTGATGTGCAGAATATGGCTATTGAATAATGTGTCCGGATGATCAAAGTGAAATGAAAGCATACGAAAGATTAGACTCTTATGCAATTGTTACGTTACGTGGCTATATACATGTCCTCCGTACTTAGCGGTCCAGCCGTGCTTTGACCGCGACTATCCCTCTTTGATCCACCTCTGTGGCCCAAGCCCGATCATCCTGGGGTCTTCAGGTCACCACCAGCACTCCCCGTTCCTGCTCTTGGGCTTTAGCAATTCAAGCCCAGCAACGACAACCGACCAAACAGAGTGACAACCCCGTGTCATTCTGTCCGAGAGAGCGACTGATCCTGCCTAGACGCCCCTGAGTCCTCCATACCGCCAGACCTCGCGAGACCTTCAATCAACCTGCCCTTCCCCGGGTTACCTCCGCCTCGTTGCAGCTGCTCATTGTCCGCTGCCATGAGCCCATCGCCGCATCCACGCAGGACCCTGCGATAGCCCCTTGCCACACCTGCACTCCTAGGCAGGTGCCTGAATGTCTACTCCCACTCCTCGAGGTCGCCGAGATGCCAGCGAAGACCCCGAAGACCTTCCTGTGGACCACCACCTGTCTCTTCCCGCTTTTCACTCCGTCCGTGAAGCCTCAAGAGGAGGAATCTCCAGAACAGGTTCTGTAGCTTCCAGCTCCATCAGTAATCGAAGTGGGAGTCATCATGCAGACGCGGAACGGGCGCATTTCGTGGACAGGCTGTCCGCCGCGAACAGCACACGAAGTGATACTTCGCCACGCGGCAAGGAGAACGAGAGAGAAGACGGCGTTCGTCAGCATCACTCCACACGCAGCTCCGGCGGATTCCTTCTAGAGCCGGTGACCAGCTCTAATCGCAGATCGCTCGTATCGTTGACGCCGTCCGAGAGGGATTCGAACCCGAACAAGGGCAGTGAGAGATCTGAGTTAATGGTCCCAAAGAGAAGGAAACGAGACAATGGCTATGTCAGATCTTCGTTCAGAAGCTCCCCCCTCTCCAGCGAACTTAGACCAGACCCTATCATACAAAACCAAGCCAACCCCGGTGTGTTCAATTCTGGAACAGATATCCACGGTTCACCTTCGTCGTCCCGGATTGACTCTCGGCTTGATGAAAGTGTGGCGTCGGGATCGGTCAACATGGAAACAGAACGAGGAACAGTGGCAAAGATCGGTTATGACCAAGATCCTGCCCAGATTGTTAACATGGCTCTAACGTTGAGTGAGGGTCGACGTCGGCTGGCATCTGGGAGAAGATATGCTTCAGCCGAACAAGGAGATCGTCGTGTCATTTCTGCAACCTCGACCACCAGCCCTCGGAAGACGATTAAGACCAGGAGCATGGCCGCGTTTCTCGGATCAACCAGACCGTCATCACGAACAGGTTCGCCCAAGCCGAAATTCTCGACTGTCTTTCATGAACCCGGGAATGCAAGTCAGATTTCGCCCGCCGAGGCTGCGACTTCCGAGCCAGAGCACCAGCACCCTTCTGATGCCGACATAGATTTTTTCGACCAGATATCACCCGCCACGGCAGCCCGGGTTGAGAGAGCAAAAGCATACTTCGAATTAGCCTATGAACACCGTCGCCTGCTGCCACACCTACCCCCGATTCGCAGACCTGGGAGTCCAGCACCCTCTTCTGGGCCCGAAGCCTTCCAGAAGGCGTATAATCCTCTGCAATATGTTCGAAACCGCAAGCTTCGTATCTGGGATAAAACTCCTATTGACAGTGAAGCAGATGGGTGGCACGATTTACAGAGGGTCAGGGTCTGGGTCGATGCTGTCATTTCGAGCCACCCAGAAACCCAACATGACCCGGTTGAGTGTGTCCGTCTACCTCCGTTCGATCAACGTAGCACCAATTCAGACGTGGAAGAGTCGACCCAGTCGCCGAGCCAACCCAAGACCACTGCAACGACTCGGATACCAGATCAGTTTCATGCCAGATCGATTCGACCGCGATCGGACTGGGTTACTTATCCGGCTGATCTCCTGGCTGATGCATACTGGTTGGAACAAGGGATGAACAAGACCAAAATCCAGGATCGAGACAACAACCCGATTTATCCTCCCAACACGCAGTTCAACTTTTCAGGATGGCGGAACACGTCCCCAGTGGATATTCCAACCATATTACAACAGCCTTCCCCTCCTCAGTCTCACCACGATTTATCACAAGATGAGCCGCCATCCTCAGCTTTGCCTGATTTGCCGACCTTCACTTCCGCCCTCCATGCCCATAAGCATTCACATCATCATCGTCGACGGAGAGATAAACTCAAGGATACCCTTCAGATTAAAGATACAAACAGTTCGCAGGAACGCTCGCGATTACGACGGAAGTTATTTCGCGACAGCAGCGATTCCGAAGATTTTGAGTCAACATCATCAGGTGAAGGAGGCAGTTCGGAACGTGGTCGGAAGCGGTTTGCACGTAAAAGACAGCTGTCCCCCGGCAATGAAGGGTTTCTGAGCCATGGAAGCAAGTTTCATATCAAGAAATCACCTCATCCATTCGGAGGATCTCGAAGGGATTCGAGTCCAGGCTCATCTGCACCAAATTCCAAAAGATCCTCGGTCGACCATGGTGCCCTCAACAAACTCTTCAACGTAGATAACTTGAAAAGGGCCTCCCCCCTGAACAGGTCTCGGAACAGGCACGAATCACCCCAATCCGGGCCGACGAAGACCACAACACGTTCAAGCCTTGAGCACGAAACAGGGCCTCGTGCGTCCACCGAATACGATACGACCACTGCTCCGAACTCCCCGAATGGAGTGGAATGGCCAAGCATTGCCATCAATCTTTCTCCACCGCAAAGCAGAAACACGTCCCCAAAACGCAAAACTCGATCTGCCATTCTTCACCCTTTCCATCGAAATCATCACAAAGACCACGACCAGGTCAATACCGCCGATTTTGCCCACGTTCCTCCATCCCATATCACGCAGCGCCAGGGCAGTGACGCGGAAAAACAATCGGACAGTCCTCGGTCTCGTGCTACCAGCCCCATGAACAAGGGGCTGGGCCTTGAGTCTACAAACTCAACGCCTGCACTACAGCAGGATCGTGTAACAGCGCACTCAACGAATGGGCAGGGGGTAAATAATCACAGCAAGGTGAGCACACGTTCTACAACTACTGCTGCGAGTGATTATTCCAGGGTCCGGGGAATCTTCAAAGGTGGACGCATTGCAGAAATTGTTGGCCACGAAGTGTCCCGAGTGGGTGATTTTATTTGGAAGCGTGACCCACCCTCAGTATACAGACATAAGGGGTCGGCATCGACCGCCAGTGTTCGTTCATATGAGGAAGCAGAAGGGGAGAAAGAGGCGTCTCAGAATGGAACAATACCCAAGACACCACCGATGAAGCTACGATCGAGATCTTCCACCCTTTCTAGTACGAAGAGTGAGCGCAACTCGCCGGTCTCAATCAAGGCCAGTTCCCCACCCAGTGGCCGGCCTCTCTACAACAAACCTAATCTTCCCAGTTTCACTTCACCATTTCAAAAGGATCGAGAAGCACAAGACAAGAAGCTGGCATTATTGACGGCCGACCACGATGCCAAAACATCCGACGGCGAGGACGTTGTCTCCCGTCTTACTGCTCAGCACCACTCTACTTCTCCTTCCCCTCGACGGGACCGCAGAACGTTACCCAAGTTGGATACTCAGACACCAACCCCACCTAATGGTTTGAACCGAACCAGAACCTACGGTTTTGGAGCTGCGTTCGACCTAACCAAGCCCCGTGATGCGTCAGACGTACTTGATACTGCGGTTGGTCAAGTAAACCACACATCTGTTCGTCCTACCAAGTCTGCGGGCGACCTTGCCCATGCGGAAGGATCCGAGACTGGACAAGAGGAGGCAGATCCTGTCGAAGTGTCGTGGCGGGACATCAGTCGAGCTGAAGCTCTGCTTTACACTTCGACGGTCAAAGCAAGGGAAATTGGCCGACGGGCAGACGATGACTCGGCGCTCCCGAAGTTCTTGCTCGATACTCTCACCCCTGAAAACCAAGCCTTGCATTCGGCAAACCCGCTACGCGTCAAGAAACGCGAACGGCATATTGTGGCGGCGCGAAACATCATGAAGAATCTGGACAGGCATTCGGCGACTTTCAACGACAGATTGCATTGGTTCAGCAGGTCGATGGCCCCGAGTCTGCATACCCAACTGCAGATGCTCGAGGACATGGTGGAGAAGAACATGACACCCATGGTCAGGAGCACAGCAGATAAGGCTGGAGAGCTTAGCATGAAACTCACCACATCGAGTACACTTGCCGTCAAGGAACTGAACGATTCGATTGATGCCGCCTTCCGGAGGAGAAGAAGAGGCCCAGTCAGACTTGCCCGCCGGGTGTGGTTTGCTGGTATCGAGTGGACAGTTGTTGGGCTGTTATGGTTCATTTGGGCCGTTGTGTCCCTGGTCCAGTTGATATTGGGGGTAATGAGAGGGTTCGTGAAGACGGTGAAATGGTTACTATGGATTTCATAGGACTCAAGATGGGGGTGGTACTGGGGCAGTCTCTTTATTTCTTTCATGGTTTGCTATAGGAGTCAGCGTCAGCGACAGTGTCAGCGACAGCGGAAAAGCCAATGGTTTGACCGACAGCAGGGAAAATAGCCTGGACATGGACAGCTTTATGGCCTGGACACGGCCTTGATTCAGGCGTTGGATGTATGGGGTTTGTGGTTTAGGCCTGACTATTGGGCAGGCCAGCAGCGACACCGACGACGACGACGACGATTCTGTTCTGTTCTGTTCTGTTCTGAGCGACTTTGCATTTGAACTCGGTTTTCCGGATTGGAATCCATACATAGTACATGTAACATGTAGCACACCTAGGTATCTACCTATCTATCTATCTACCTTTCTACCAGTCTATCTACTACACAGTAGCTAGGAAGTAGAACGAGTTGGCGGCATATTACATACGTAGCTTAGGGTGGGCGTTAGAATTGAGTACGCTTTATCAGCTGCGCCCTATCTTGAATCTCGTATAACTTCAATAGCTTTTATTTAATATTTTTTATCTTTACTATAGTAATAGCTCTAGACCTTCTCTATAATATCCTTAAGTATTTATTCTAGTAAGAAACTCAGCGTTAGATAGGAAGCGTAGAAGTAGAAGGGTGCGAACGGATAAAGCGCATTCAATTCTGACACCCACCCTAAAGCTATGATAGCTATCGAATTGCCCTCACGTATTAACGTTGACGCAGCCAGGCAGGTGACCTATACTTATGTACATCTGAGATGCCAGGGCATTCAATGATCTGAGGGGTTGAGAGCCGAGATATATGGTTCTAGCTTCGAGCAGCGCATTCTCCCCTCTCGTTGTACGCTGTGTAATGTCATTAACTCCTCCCCTTGTACGCGGTGTAATGTCATTGACTTGGAGATTCGAATCGACAGTCGCATGTTGGAGATCCAGCTGTGTAACAGTGGTACCGAGTTGCAGTTCAGTTCCGAAACAAACAGACGGTCTCTTTTTGGTCGGAACACGACGAACGACGAACGACTAACGACGAGATTGACCATTTAATTTGATTCGTTCTCGCGTTCGTCGAGGCAGACGCACACGGCAGCGATCAGGGTCAAATCGACACCCGGGGCGACGGTGACGAAATACTAGGTCGAGGGAAGTGACATCAGCTCTTGTCTTCACAGTATCTCCATCTCCATCCATCTCACGTCGCAGTAATGTGGACGGGGATGAGGACGGAGATGCATGGGGACGGGGACAGGGATGGGTTGGGGAGAGAATTGGTTCTCACCGTCTGCTTGTCGCCGAAGATTTGACGGACGTTGAAAAAGCTCCGCGAGATATGTGCAACGGGACGGCCGCCGAAAGTGATACTCGCCGAGCGGTCGAACCAGTCACCCTTGACCTCCAACTCCACGTCGTTCCCATCAGCTTGGTTGGTGAAGTGAACGGTTGATTTGGAAGAGAGGACTAGAACAGAACACCGCGGTGGGTGGCTTGTTAGATCTGGTATGAAGATGGCTGGCATGAAGATGGCTGGGGCTGGTCTGGAGGCAGTAAACCTAGTTGGACATGGGGAATCCAATTCACCTAACTACCGATAACCAGGAACGGGGAGGTCTGGTGGTGACCTGAGGACCCCAGGATGATCGGGCCACAGAGGTGGATCAAGAGGGATAGGGGAGGGTTCAGGGGTATGTATGTATGGAGAGCGTGGAAGAGTTCTGGGCGAGATGGGAAATGGGAAATGGGAAATGGGAAATGGGAAATGGGAAATGGGAAATGGGAAATGGGAAATGGGAAATGGGAAATGGGAAATGGGAAATGG